CAGTGCTATCCTGACGCACTATTGCAATTCGTTCATGGGCCGAAACCCCCAAAATTTTTGGATCGAAGTGTTTGTGGTTGTGTTTTCTTGAAGTTGGCTGGCTTTTCCCTGGATTATTTTGCGACGATAGTCCACAACAGAACAGAGAAAGTTGTTGATAATCTACCCTCTGCAATCCATTTTCAAGTTCAAACAGTCTCTGGATGCTTTTGTTCCACCTCTAATCCACATTTATCAAGAACTGAGCAAACATCATCACCGATGAACGTAATAATGAGGCGTTGACTTCTTCAAGAACATATTAAACAACTGAGATTCTTTTTTACAACAACAGTAACGTACGAATAAATAACAGCTTAGATATTCTTTCTGCCTTCTGAAATTCCTTGAAATCAGCAATGACACTCTAAAGTAAGTTTAATATCAAAATTTGTGATTGCCAATACTCACAGCTCATAAACGACGCGTCCAGCTATTGATCAAACATTCTTTACAGGTCACACGGGAAAATGAACACAGGGCAACAAGGGCACCCTTGTTTCCATGGATATCTTCTTTAGTGGAATTTTACTGGGAGCAAGAAAAATACGTTTGCAACGGTCATTACCATAAATGCAGATTTATGGAGCAATTTAGACAAATTGTACAATCATTGACAATTCTCTATTTGAAAAGGGAAAAGTCAAAGGAATCTACTGGAAATGTAATTATCCAATAAAGAAACAATCAAGACGAAACTTACTGTACGTAGGTTTAACAAGAAATGAGCGGAAAGGGGCGGATCGAGATGGATATGAACACCCTCCATTTATTAATGAGCTTCAAAAAAAAAGTTGGCAATAGCAGAACATGAAGCATTTTCAATTCCCTGATTGAATGGGGGGGAAGGAAAGGAAATTTTGGTACACTTTCACAAAAAAAAAAATATTCCTAGGTAGAGGTCTGGAATTCAGGTTAAAGTACCCCAGATTGAAATTTAGCCAAATCTCCTATTCTATGTTGTCTTCGTGACTTCGTGCTATGATTACCATTTCGCATTATTGTGGATTTCAAAGGTTACACAAATCAAAAAATAGTTCACATTGTAAACAAACCTTTCCTACAACTATCGATGAGGTTTGAAACCTCAGTCCTTGCTTTTTCACAGAGGTATACAATAGGGTTGCGTGGGTGCAGAAAAATGAATGTTTGTTCAATTGTTTTTCACAGAGTGATTCAACGAGAGAAGCTCAGCTTATTGCAGCTCCTTTCTAATTTGTCAATAATTGTATTCCATCATATTATCTTAGTTCGTCACTGTGTGCCCAACCTAATAAATGCCAATTATATTTTGACTGAAAATCCCTCTAGTCTTTCAATGTCTATGACGCGAGCATCAATTCTTGCCTCCAATTACGTAATTACTCTGCAACGTCCCATGGTTACGTCATGATGACTCGCCGTTAGCGAGTATCCAAATATGGTAAACAGCAGATCGATTACCTACAGAATTTGCCTGGGAGAGGATTATCGATAATCTCGTTTTTCGAAGACGATGGAGGGCTGGAGTAAAGGCAAAAACCTAAAGAAAACAACCAGCTAAACCCTTTCATACATCCAAGATAATCCCATTTGATGAAGCGATAAACTTACTTCAGAGATGGCCTAAAGGACCCTAAAGATCAAAGCTAATAATTCCAAAAGCTCAAGCACCGGTCCTGAAATTCCATCCAGTCCAAAAATACTTTAACTTGTGGATTGCAAACAAATCGATTAAAATTTCCTTAGAAAAATCACTGTTTTACTGCAAAACATGAATTTTAGAATTCATTAACTCCAATATTTTTGAACAATGAAACTGAAAGGCATAAACTTAATAAACACGTACTCAGAGAGCAGTACTAAAATGCAAACATCTTTCTTCTCATACACCTGTCTGGAAATTATCTACCAGGATCCATGCTAACTTCTCCCTTAATCATCTAGCATTTTCCCACTTTATCATCTAACATTTTTTCAAATACAGTTTCCAATTTTCTATTAACTAAAGGTCTTTTCCAGATCCATATTTCTAAATCTGTTTGATACATGGTTTCTGAAAACGCTTAAAGTTAAAATGACTAGCAACTCTGAGAAAGAAACCTGAAGTGCAGATAAAAATTCAAATGGCGAAGAAACAAGTTTCCAGACTTTTTAAGGACACTACAATCCCAGACAAAAAGACTCTGTCCTTTGAATAACAGCCCTCTTTTCCTTCCAGAAGAAAAAATGACAGAACTACTAATCTAAAATCAATTCCCATTCTCACACGACATCGATATTTGGCATCTCCAAGATGAAGTTGCTTTCAAAAATATCGAATAGACTACAATGCCTGTCAAAAGTCTTGGAACACTGACGTCAATTTCCAAGGTCAAAATCAATAATTCTCCTCTCCCCTATAGAATAATGTTTGTTTGCTATCAAACGGGTTAGGATTTTAGGAAGCACTTTCTTTTGCGCTTCCCTTATGATATTTCTCTAAAATTTCAACATTGTTTTAGGGGGAAGGGGCGGAAGTAGTGTTTTTTTTCTGTAACCAGTAGCGTAACGGGGTATGCTAGAGCGAAAAACGGCAAGGAATCTCTTTGAGAAAGGGCGTTTTCTGGCGTTTGAAAGGCTGTGAACCCCTAGTTTTTCCTTGCTCGTGTCGTTTTTGCCCCCCCCCCTTCTCAAATCTTACCGCTTTTGCTACGCTATAGCCTGTTACAGGTTAACCCTCTAATCACCTGTCACGCATGCGCCGTCGTTATTAGTCACAAGATGCTTAGCTATATACATCATGAATCAAGGTTTGACCGAGGGTTTATTTGTTAAACATGGTTATGTAAGAGTGCGTTCTTCTTTGCCACAGTATCACCCTGTGTACCACAGTCTATGCCTTCTATTGCCAGGAAATACCGCTTACGGAACGGTGGGGGGCTTAGCCTGTGTTCCAGAGCCCTAACTTGAAAGGACTCTAAGTTAGGGGTCTGGAGAACAGGCTAGAGGGAAATGTCAGTGGTGACGGGGTCTTTCGAAAACGATGATAAAAACAACCGTTATTACAAAAAATTTTATTCACCGGGGATATATTTTCCTGTGAAATGAGCAATCAGTTTTTAAGGCTAGGATCTGGATATTAAAAGGAAGTTGGCAAATTAATGCACTAAAGAATTAGTTTCTAGACATGATACGCGCTTCAATTCATGTGGTGTCCCGGCAATCAGCAGATGATCATATGCGGTGTCGTACTGTTTGTGTTTAATATTCCCACTAAGTGAACTTAATTATGAGTTATCTTAACCTTTATTTGAATCGATATAAGTTCTTTGGTAATCTTACTCAGCGGATGGCGCTAATGTAAATCTAAAACAATAATTTGTAGGGACTTTTCATTTTTAAATTCTTTTAAATGGTATAGATAACCTGTACGTAAACATCAATTTGTCGTTGATGTGTCACACGCTATTTCTAGTACGTACCTAAAAAATCCTTAACCGGATAACAGTTATATCAACAAACCTGGATTTCCTTGAAAAAACCCCCACACAAAACAACGGTCCCCGGGAAACAAGATACAAACTGCTAAAGGACGACCTGGTTATGTGCAAGAAATATAATGAAGCCTCGACATCCTCCTTGTTGGCGTCATGTATCTTGACTAAGGGAATACAAATAAGTAGCGCATAAGGAACTCCGCAACGCGACGAGAATAAACAAAAACAAACACACAAATCAGTGATGGCTAATATTTCGCCCCGGCAAACGGGGCTTCATCAGAGCAAAAGTAAACGAACTAAAAATTTACAAATTTCAAAGATGCGATGTGGCCGTAAGGCGGGGTTCCACGAATACAAATAACTTTCTTGTACATTTCTTGCACGACTACCATTCTTGCACATTTCTACTCACAGACATAAATGAAGATTGGTATAAATCTAGTCAAGCTTGATTGTACCCTGCTCTGTGATTGTACTGGGCTGCTTCTTTATCATTCATGCTCACTAGACAAAGAAGCACCAGTAACATAACAGGGTCGAAATGGCTATGCATTGACCGAGCAGGCGTGAAATTCCCAATTGTAATTTGTTACTACCTGTTTCGCGGTCCCTTTTCACTTTCCATATACCTGATGTTCAATACAGCAGTCTGTTTTCAATAAGACTTGTGGCCTTTGCCATACACCTGCACACAAAACCAACTATAGCTAATCGAGAAAAATTCAAGAATTGCACAATATGTCTCAATTTAACGCTTGGGACGCTGGGAAGGCGTCCTCCAAGGGTTGATGATGCAACGTAAATGGCATCTCAAAGTACTAGTCTGTGATAGACAAATGCTTTAGGAGAGAAGAAGCACTTACAGTGTAAATTGTACACTACTTCCCCCTTATTCTATCTGTGTGCCCTTAAAGTTTTATTACTTCATGTTAGTATCTTCGCACAAAAATGTATAAATTCTGTCCAGTCTCTCACAATCTTCAAATGCAAGTCCCATTAATAACAGCAAATAGCACGAAATTGCGAAAAGAGAGAGCGTCTCAATTGTAGTTCCCTGATTTCATCACTAACTTGCAACGTAAACTGTGTGTAGTTGAATACTTGGTTGGTTGCTCGTTTGCCGGTTGGATCTTATTCAAAAATCTTCTTTAAACTTGGCACTTTTAACACGGGAACTAAATTATATTTTCTCAATTTGAGTAAGGTGTATTGCCTTGTACCCTGGTAGAAAAAACTCATACCTTTCCTACAGATAAACCCTAGTTTTATCACTCCTCTTGGAAGTATATTTGAAATCCTATCCCAAATTCTGCGGTCAAACTAAAAGCCTTTTCACATCTCCGATTCTACCTTTGGATTTGACCTGCCTAGGTAATAATGTTCACATTAAACAATATCAAAGCCTTATATCTTCCGAACATTAGGACCTCACACTTAAGTGGACCAAGGTTACAAATATTCGTTAGGAGAATCAATAATACAATATCAATGGAAACTATATAGGCATATGAAAATCAAAACATGTTTTTATTCTATAACTAAACCTGATATCAATGATACAGTAATTTCCAATATACATGCAAAGTTATAATCAATGTTCAAAATTAAAAAGAATGTCTTCAGTAGAGCCTCGTCATTGTGTCTGGCTTCTTATGGGGATTCTTCTTGCAATCTGATTGCCTTGAGAAACAACGTTTCATCTGTTGATTGGGACAGAAACCTCACAAGAATCCTTGATAACTACTGACCTTGTTAGGCCCAGAATTCTTCGCAATGACGTTACGATTCAACACTTTGGGAACGCTTCTTGTCTCTTAGGCCTTCGATTTCAGCCTCAAGCAGTGCACATGCTCTTTCGATCTCGTAGTTTTTACTGACTAAACCAATCCAACTGCAACGTGAAGGTAATTTTGAAAAAAACATGGTAACCTTAATGAAGCCAAAAAATAACTACAGGGACCTAATGGTATCGATCGAACCATATCTGTTTGATGGCAGGGAAACACTATCTTCGAGAAGAATTTTCAACATGTGTTTCTCTCATTACATAGGTGTCCTGCTCCTGTTTCATTTTTTCCTAATCTTAAATTCCTTTAAAAAAGACTAAATTTAGTGGCCTGACTATGGTTGAATTCTCAATCAACTATAAACCCTCTAGACAAAAATTATTCAGGATTAGAAGATCAACTGGCATTTACTCTCTGATTACCTCATTGCATTTCTTCCGATAATGATATAGCGTTTGTCAGCAAGCCGGCCCATATTACTTATCGAAACACTTGTACAACGGATAATAATTACTATGCCTGTGCCAGTTTTACTGTACCGTACAGCGATATCTTCATAAATTAATGCTAGATTTCAAGGACTCTCAGATTCTTACTGTACAAAATGAAATGTTCTTCAAATTTCAACAGTATACAGTGGCGTAACCGACAAAGGTTGGGGTTAGAGCAACCAAAGGGGCCCCCAAAGATTTCCAATAGACAGGCCTTTTGGCACTATTTGATGTGAAAAGGGTTTTAAAAGTTAACATTCCCCCGTTAACAGATTGCATGATGCCTCTTTTCTTCTAACTTGTTAAAAACTACCGCTTTATCTTAAATCATGATGTTTTCCTTTGAATGAAGTGGGAGTAATCCAGACCTTGGATTTGAGGCAAAGGATGTGGTGGTGCAAACGTCATGAGTGGAATACATGCTGTGCAAACGTTGATAAAGAATATGGCTGATAGTCCTGTTCCATTTGTTAATTGCGGCAACTATATCTGGTCATTAGTGACTCTGTGGTGGCAGTACCCGAGAATGATGACTTCTTGGAGACACTGAAGAATGTTTTTAAAATTTTCGGTTCAACTTATTCGGTTTATTATAATTTGGGAACGAATTCTACGGGCAATCGGCACAACTTCTCGTGAACTGCAATCCCCAAAAATTGACTTAACTACTGCATCTCGATTGATATGTTGCTCTATTTCAGAGCTTGTTGTGCTACGCGAATCCTGGGACTCTGTTAAGCAAACTGCGTCTGCTTTAGCTAGTGCTTGGCACACAGTAGTTGATTTAAAGCCAAAAACTAGAAGTAGAAGGTCTGTTATTGGAGCATTTGAGGACAAAAATTTCAATACGCCAGAACAAACATTCAAATTAATATGTTTCTAAGAACTGTCGTTACTGCTTTGATGCAGCTTTAAGAAAGGTTTTGTGGCCAAGATCTGGTTACTCCAACGTTCGATATTTTATTTCCAAACCCTCTAGCAAGAGCCACCAACGAAGACATCTCCAAACCATCAAACAACTTACTGAGCCTGTATCCTAAAGATTTTACAGAAGACTTGGAATCAGAGCTACGGGCATTTGCTATCGAGTTTCGCGTGGAAAATAAAAGGGAAATGGACAGCTGTAGACTTGGTTGATTTGATGTTGGAAAGTCTCGAGTCAACTCTTCATTTTCACAAGTCTACAAAGCTCTTTTTCTTTTCGCCACAATTCCTGTCACTGTAGCTATCGCTGAGAGATATTTTTCGAAGCTCAAATTTGATTGTCTTGAAAAAACTTCAATGTGAAAGGACCAAGCAAAATATTCCTAAGGGCCCCAAACTGTTCCGTTACGCCAATGAAAGTATATATTCTCATTTCTTTTGAAAGGCCAGAAAGACAATTTATATTTGAAGACAACTCACTAACAGCTATTAACAAAAAAAGGAATAACCTGGATTCGAGTTGCTGCAATTGATCGCCTGCCTGGATCTGATAACAAAAAAAGACAAAATGTAGAATTCAAATTCCAATTTCACAGCCAAACTGATTTTAACAAAAAGGCATGATAAATCTCGCAGCATTATTTGGCAGAAATAAGAACAATCATCTAAAGAGAAATAAAAATTGTGTTCTTTTTATTAACAAGCAATAAAAAGGCCTAAACGGCAGTTCACACCTTCCAAACGAGATCACATAAAATTGTGTTCAAGTCTGAGTTAAGTAAAATGATTTCAAATGATACAATATAACAAAGGATCTGCCAAATTTAAAAACAACCAATATGGTCTTCTAATTACAATAAGAAATATGAAAATACAATAAATTGCTTGCATATAAAAACATGCAAAAATAAACCGGAATGGCTAAAAAGGTGACATGCATGCTAGTTCTAGCATCGAGACATTCCAGCTTTATGCTATCAATTAAAAAGTCAGCCGCAATTTATAACTGTGGGCCGTTTGCTACCTTGTAAAGAAGTAGCAAAGGTTGAATTAGTTTTAATTTCTTAAGTTGTAAAATCTTGTTCAGTTATCTTGAGTTGAAGAATGCTGTTACAAATGGTGTTATATCGAGTTGAAGAAAGAAATTCGATCTTTCTAAAAAGTTCAAATTAGATCTAGTTTGTTCAAAATATATTTTTTATTTCATATTTTATAAGATTCTAAGTTCTGTTCTATTACATCATTGATGGAATGGATGATCTATGAACAGGACTGATTCACTACTGAATACATGCGCCACGTTTTAAATTTGCATAAAGGATACTGAATAGCAGTCCTGCCACATGAGCGTGGTTAAATGGGTTTACAAAAGTTTGCCTCACCTGCACAGATTTCCGCTCCCAGTTTATGTCTTGAATATTCTTTCTGCAATGAAAATGGCACAAAAGATAAGAAACTAAGGACTGATACCATTTAGATGCACAAAGAAAGGATACAAGAATTTCTTATATTTACAATCACGTCTTTTACAAGCGTGTGCTTAGTGAACAGTTAGCAATAAAAACACACACCAAGGCATAAAATATAAACACAATGATATCAAAGACTTTGTTAACGTCTTATTGATCATATGATGATTTCAACAGACCGTAGAGTGTTTAGCTGACGTTGCTGGTCATCTAACATTTGCTGCAAAACTTCATTGTATGTTCTCCAAGCGTCTGCTCCAAACCTCGACAAAAGATCCAAATTTGTGATCCTAAATGGAAGAAAATTGTTTCGGTTGTAGGTTAAATTGTGGAAACTCTTTTTCGGGAGCAAGATCACACTTTTTAATAGCTTCGTGGTGTTTCTAGATTAAAATTGCTGTTAAAAAGATGATGACAGAGAAAGAGGCAGATGACAAGATGAAATGTGACAGAGGGAGCTATTATGAGTTAGGGTAGCAAGTTATATAAACTTGCAGGAAGATAAAGTTATATAAAGAAGCTGATATCGCTGTTAAGAAAACATCTTGTCATAAAATCAAGATACATTTTTGGTAAAAAACACTTTTACTAAGAATCTGTTGCACAGAAAGGGTCAACTTCTGATGAAAGCCCTATATTCTAAAATACAAAGAAAAATCGAAAAAATCAAATAAACGGCCAAACTCTCTTTTATATCGTTTAGAAGGTTCAATTATCAGTAGCCAGAGTTGGTATAATTTTGATATCATCTGCAATTGTGTATTAATTCTTCTCAAAAAAGCAAATCTCTTCTTGTCGGCAAGTCGTATAATCAGAATTCTTGACTACGGTTTAATTAAGGAACGCTGTTTAACAAGCAACAGTGGAAATAGTCAAAACAAACGAAAATCTTTTATCTTGTAGGAAATAAATAATAGACCAGGTGATACATTGGTATCAATAATATCTCATTAAAGCGGCGCCAGAAAAGAAAATACAAATAGCATTTCTTATAAAACTTCTGTATCATTCTCTCGAGTAACACGCATAGCAAGCCTTTGTACAGGGAGCCTGTTGTTTCAAATTACGTCAAAATATTCGAGATTTATTTTTTAAGGCTCTTTCAAGCATGCGAATGGAATGAATACAGCAAAGAAATTCATTGCCAGTAATTATGAGCTAGTTTTTTCATAATCGGATGAGTAAAAGGTGTTGAATGTGTAGTCTGTTATTCACGCTAGAAGCTGCATGATATATGACATAGAAAGTTAAGATACATGTGACAACATGCAACAAATTCCTCTTCAGTAGTTTGGACTCATCTAAATAATCACAATTCATTCATAAATTTCATTTCATCTTAAGTCCATCTTTCTTATTTTCACTTTTGTCTTGTATTTAGTGACAAAAAGCTCAAACCTTCAAAGTACTTTGTCGTGTGAGTCACCAGTTTAGAGTAACAGAGGGCTCTGTGTTGGGTTTATGATTAAGAAAACGTTGTGAATAAGTCTTACGTTGCTGATTAGATACGTAACAATAGGCCTCTAGCATAGTCCAGCAAAGGGAAATCCAAATGGCCATCGTAATGCGTCGGAACATATATATATTGAAAAAGGCAGAGTTGGGGCACACGGCCTAAAAGCTCAAGTTTTAGTTATTCATTTTTGTCCAAAAACACAAAAACTAACACACAAGAATTGTTCGAAAATACAGAGTTGCTTCCAGTTGCTACCAGAGAGGTGTACATAATCTGTTTATTAGCAGAAGAATTTCGGGAAAACTATTTGTCCACTTTTTGTAGGTGCTTTTAATTTGCTCTTTATTGGATGTTTCACTGTGATGCAGTCGAAGGGAAACTGAATTGTATACGAAGACTCTTAGGCATTCCCAAAGACCAGTTTTGTGAATAATCACATGGCAAATGTATCCATTGACCAAGATTTAACAGCATCTAAGAAAACCAGCTTTCATGCTACTTAAAGCAACACTTCTGTGGTCAACGTTAAATGGATTTTTCTATTCTAAGTTACCAAAGCCATAACCACAAATCTTATACCACATCGCTGATGTCGATACTTTAATGGTTTTCTTATTATAAATTCATCATACCTAGTTGCTTGGTGTTCAAGTTGAGCCATTGAGTTCTTGAGACATTCATTCCAAGCAGAGACATCTGCCTTCTGATTGGCCGATGGTTGCGGTAATTCATACCTATACGATCGCGATCAGAGACAGATGATGAGACATATGCAGCTTAGATTCTGTTTCGCGTCTACTGATTGGCTGGTTTTATCCATCCATTATCTATTCAGTTAGAACTAGCTAATCAAAGTATCATGTGATGACAGATATGTAAAGTGACTAAATATGCCTTTCTCACTAAACTTCTTCGAGATGAAACGAAAAACCATTATTCTGATACGTTATGTAAAAATACCTTTCACAAAACAGTCCCCGCAGGATAAAATGTCAGATACCGTAAATCCTCGAATTAGCCACCTGGGGGCTTATTTATTTGAGATATTTTTGGGTGGGGCGTATTCGAAGGGGAGCTTATACGAGTAGGGAGGTTATAAAACTATTTTAGACATTAAGAAGATATTACTCATTGCTAACAATGGGCCTTTGCGAGCGTGGCGACGATCCAAACAATGGCAGTAAACTTTTACGGATTAACCAAAATTGATTTCAGACTGTCTAAAAATGCATTATGGGATGCTTGCGTAGCGCAATGGCTCATTGCTAGCAATGAGTCTTTGAAAGACTTCGTTTATTTTAATAGGAATTTTAATATGAGCATTTAATCAATTATCACCAAAAGCCTGAATTTCAGTGGTAATTCAATAAAACGCCAAAGGCAACCACAGATGGCAAAAATCATCAAATTGAAGGGTCCAATTCGAGAATTTACGGTAGCAGTGGGGGCTTATTCGAAAGGGGAGGGGGGCAATTCGAGGATTTACGATAATGTCTTAAATCAACGGATCGTAGGTCATCATCCGACTTTAAGTACCTATAGTAGTGCAAAATGAAAAGCAATTTAATAAGAAAGGTAGTGTTTATGTCTTCTTGTGAAATCTTGAAGCAAGGCAAGAGGGTATGAATGGTGGCACTGGTCGATTTACTCTAGACTTAGATAATGCTTTCCTCAATCTTACCCGCTAACATACAATGCCAAATGCTCCGGCTTTGTGTAAAATACATTTATGGAGTTCAACGTTGCGCAGGTAGGGTATAGATTACACCAAATATATGATTTGACTGTAGAGACATGAACATAAACAATTGCAAACAAAATAAAGGCAAAGCATGTACCTTTTCATGCTCAGATGCTCTAAAGGCTGTTTGTTACCGATTCGCTCAAATTCTTTTTTCATCATTGCTGTCTAAAGACATAAGTTATATGCATAAAAAGATTTAATAACAAAAGGCTTTTTGTCAAAATTCTAATTACTTGGGAGCAGGAAGTAAATACAATGAAGGCTTTAAGCAAATTGAATACTTCAGTAGCAGTAGGAGAAAATAAAGAGATAGGAAACCTTTAAAATTTCTAAAATTTAGCCACAACATAAAGAGCAGATTGTATTCAGCTAAACAAAGGAAAAAGTAAACGAAGAGCATGACAAAATTTAAAAAAAAGTAGAATTTGTTATTTTGTTACCTCGAATGAAGTGTACCTTGGCTCAGGTAGGTACTCTAAGTAGTTTTTTGTTGGTCTGTATCTTCTTGTTTCTTCTTCAATCAATGAGTTTACCTGTTGGTTATGAAACCAGATGTCATCCAAGAGGACGTAACACATCTAAAAGTATTATTTACTGTAAATCTGAAGCCGCATCGATACGATGAAGCTTAGCACAGGCATAGCATGGGTATGTGCTAAGATTTTGGATATGACATGGATATGAGTGAAAGATTTGTCCACACTACAGAGAGAGAATTGACAGTATTAACAGAAACTTGGCCCCGAGGGGCAATTCACTCTTGCAAATTGGGAACGAGATTTTCCCTTAAACAAAAGAATTTCTGGGGATTTTCAGCTGAAACAATAGGATTTTTAGAAAAGGTGTAAGAGATTTTCTTTGAGTGATTTGCCCCTCGCTTGGTCCGAGCCTGGTCGAGAAACACATCCACGACAGAGACCATTTTTCCTGAATGAAGCAAGTAAAAAACAAACTTTATTTTCATAAACCCTATGCCTTCTTACCAACATAAATACGCTATCAACTTCCCCGTTTCGCATTTTTAATCTGATAAATTCAAAAGGCCTGGCCTAAACTTCGGTCAACAAAGCACTCAACTTGTTGGAGGTAAGCCTAGGTTTTCCGCAACCGCAGTAACCAGCGCCGGGCCTATATTACAGTTAACTTGGGTAACAGCAAACTTTCGAAAAAGCTCTCCTAAAAAGCTGCCAGAGTACGAAAAAGCAGCCAATTTCTTGAATATTCTTTTCGTTGTTTTAAGCCTAACACCTATATGTTGTTCAGTACGTTTTAATCTAAAAGCTTCTTTGTCAAATTAATCCTTCATTCAGTTTAGGCCCCCTCAGGGAGATGAAGTTTTGGATAAACAAAACTCTAATAAGACCTACATTCGAATGTACTTCTATCCGATTTTCAATAGCGGTTCAATATAGACACGAAAAGATTTGAAAAACAACGGAGGATTTTGAAATGCATGTTTTTTGATAATGCATTTATGTGAACTGTGGGCAGGGCCTCATTTGTGTTACTTTGAAAACAGAACGATGACTGGCTATTAAGAATAATGAATGTGCTTAATTATCGAATCAACATCAAACTCTATCAAGGAGTCGGTGGAAGGTGGCGAATTCAACTTATTTATATCACATTAGAAAGAAAAGAATTGTTGCATAAAGAAACGCGAGGTTCTTAAAGTTGTTGTAAAAACTTAACCAGGTGTTATTAATTCTGCAGGTTGTGTCAACTAGTGTGCAAATTAAGCAAATCTTGTAAGAAGGAAATAAAAATGATAATAAAAAGTGAGAAAAAATGAATGTCTGATTGCGTTGATCAGTAGTCCTGGAAGATGAGGGTCATTGTCAATTACGATGTTAAGATAAGGTACTTATATCTTCCTTTATCTCAATAGTTTCTTTTTCCTTCATTTTGAGTCAGTGTTCATTGTCACTTTTGCCTCACATAATGATATTTCATCTCAACAAAACAACCTAGCAACATGCTCGCAATAAAAAGTTTTGTGATTCTTAAATTCCTTGAAAGGAACACATTAAATTAAATTTAAAGTCAATTTTCTTGACGTATAATGTACTGGGAGAAAAATTATTCAAAAGAGCTGCTACACCTTATTAAAATATGTCAACTGTAAACATCAATTTCTAACGTCAATTGTACAAGAAAAAGTACAATATCTCTTTTTGGTATGCGCCAAGATGGAATGTTGAATAACGTGATGTGCAGTAGTTGGAGCTTTAAACAGGATATATTGGAATTAAATTGAGATTTAAAAGGTTTATAGCTTCAACACGAAGCAATTTTTTGCAGTATGTAAATCTATTATGTATTACGTATTACATATTACGTATAACGTGTTATGTATTAGGTATTATGCATTAGGTATTATGTATTTTGTATTATGTATTAGGTATTATGTATTAGGTATTATGTATCATGTATTACGTATTACAGACTATGTTATTTACTCTGAAATAGATTTCATTCAGAAAAATGGGAAAAACTTGTCAGGTTAAATGACTTTTCGCCAAATTCAACATAACATAGTCAGTAAAAATACTCTGAAAGCAATGTTTGACCCCTCCTCACAGGCAATATGCAATCCATCATGCAAAGAAAACAAATAAGGCTTATGTGCTAATAATCCTAGTAACTGGCCACCACTGTGCTAAAGAGAACAGCAATAAGAAAGCGAGGCTAAGATTAGAGGAACAGGACCCAGCATGAATCTAATGAGACAGCCTTTGCAGAAAAGTTAAGCAACATGTCTTTGAGCAAACTGTGCTTAAAGAGCATTTGCTATTTGTTTGTTGTAAAATTAAAGTGTTAAAGTAAGGGCTGGGGGCACTCTCAGTCAGAAAAAAGAAAGCTTTGGTTAAGAAAAGAATAAACCTATCATCTAACATTTCTATGACTTATATTTCGTTAACATAGTTCATATGAGAAGAAGAAAATGAAAAAAGAAAAAAAAGGAAGAATCATTTCCTTTGTAAGATCATATACAAATTGTACTAGCAAGCTTGATAACCTGATGAACTTAAAAGTGGATTAAATTTAGAGAGTATTGGAACTTGTGCACAGAATAGAAGGCTTCACTGAATTTGTCACATTGAGAGAAAAGACAAGGATTATGATGATGATTTTCTCAGCAACTGCAAGAGCAAGCAGTGGGAAACATAAGCAGTCGGAAACATAAGCAGTCAGAAAAGTCATTCAAATAATATCAGTTGTAGGGTTATGGAAACCTTGCAGATTGTCTTAGCATTTTGTAGACAAATATGCATGGTTATTGACTTGAAGCACATTTGCAAGCTGGACTTATTCAAAACAAATGCCCCAGTGGCTGCTAGGCATTCCTTTTTCTTGTTTAAAGCCTGCCCCTTTGAGGCATGGTTCCTGCTTGAATTTGCCCACCCCATCCCCTATCTACAGCTACAGGGTTGCTGCATGTGCCGTCACAGTGCTTTCAACCAATTGCCATAGATAATTTCTATTGGATCTGGATTATGATACAAAACTACTATCTAAAATAGTACTAAATGGTTAGGATATAGATCACAACAGATGCGTACACACCCCATTTTTCAGGATTATAAACCTGACAAGAAATACTTTCCTGTTATCTTTGCTCTATGTAAACAAGGTTTATAATATTCATTTATTGCTTTCCTAGGATGGTTTGCAATAAAAATACAAGGGGTTGGCACTGATTCTACAAAATAAATGCTCATAAATCCATGAGCCATAAGGAGGGGTCTGTTGTTCTTCTTATTCCTGGTTGGAATCCACGTTACTGAAGCTAGAGATATTTGACATGGACATACTGGTCAGAGATATCATAATTTCAGTTACATACTGGTATAAATTAAAGAAATAATAATGCGCAGGTGGGATTTTCCACAAAGATTTTAGAGGGTGCATGGCTGATTGTGTGCCTCAAGATATACTTTTTATCAAGATGAGCGATTCATTACTTTCGTCTAAAATCACATGAGAGGGGTAATATTAGTAATATTAATGTGATAGCTTTTCAGTTCAATTTTAAACACAAGTGGTACCAAAGAAGTATATAACTCTTGACTTTCAAACGTTATAGACCTCTAGGAGAGAAACTTTATTATTTTGATTCTGAACTATAAATAAATTTAGCTAGACTATTGATACATTTTTAATCTAAAAATTACTACCAATAATAATAATAACAATAACAAATGCGATATTGTGAATAATAACAATGGTGACACCAATTCAGATTTTTTATTTTATCATACTCAACCGGTACAAATAGTTTTCCATTGTTTAACATGCATATCATGTTGTATGATTCACTAAATGATGAATGCTGTACTTTAAAACTGGTTCCCGGGGCAACAAGACAGTGTTTCTGATAAAAGTAATCTTAAATGCAAATGGTGAGGTGCCAGATGTCACTACTTAAGCCTGGTACTCACCTGGGGACTATCATGATTACCATGATTATGATTCTCAAGATTAATTATTTCTTGACAGTAGAATGCTCAGCTCAGCTAAATCGTGTAATCACTGACACGTTAATTCATGTATCCAAAATGGCTATTCATCGGAATAAAAAACTCCTTGCAATGATGAGCATTGTGTATATCTTGAAAAACGTATACAGAGAAGAGCAAACTTTAAGGTAAGCGATTGAGAGAGAAAGAAGAGAAGGTTCTGGGTCAGAAATAAATTTTCAAAAATAAAACTTTTAGGAATATCATTGATTGGCTCATGAACTACGACTGGATGAACAAGATTTCAAAAGAAAGGTCTGATCATTGGTACCGCATTTGTACCGCCTCGTCAGATCATGATTACGGCAAAAAATATCAAAATTTGATGATATCATTTTGCAAAAATCATAATGGTTTTATCACTAATAGAGGGCATAACTCGATTACATTTGATGTACTCACTGTGGATAAACATAACTACAGTCTTATTGTTATCCTGATAATCCTGATAATCCTTTAGTGAGTACCAGGCTTTCACAGGTGCATGTCAAAATGCGCACCTTGTCTTGCCTGGGTTGGGGGCATCACATAACACAAAAACAGTTGCTGTTGGTTAAAAGGATGATTAAGAGTTTCTATCATGCATACAACTTTTAGGAATGCGAGTTTTTGTTGAGCAGCGTTACCTAATAGTTGTGTTTCTGTGACGACCCTCTGTTGACAAGTAGAACTTCGATGTAGTCTTATTTAACGTGCAGAGAACACGGGGTCAGAGGAGCTTCAGTAAGACGCCTGTTGACTTGAACTGGGGTTATCGTAACTAAATTAAATTAATCTATCTACATACATATATACTAAACTGACTGTTCTAAATATAATTGAATGACGCCAGGAAAAACAATACATAGGTTGGGAGACACAAGGTGACGACAGATGATCAAAGGAGAGGAAATGCCATGTGGGAATAGCAGTGTTTTGATGCTGATGATCTTCATGGTGATTAATGATGATGATGTTGTAATTGCCTGCTGGGAAATGTCTTACCTGTTTAGAGGAATGTGTTGAAAAGGCAGAAACAAGTGTATGGCGTAGGATGGAAAATAGGCCTAGGCAGGGTCACTACAAACTTTTTGGCAATGGCATTCAGCTTTAAACCTGTGGTGCATGCTTCATAATTTACTGACCAATATCCAGGATGAGCACAAGGTTTACGTGCATTGGACCCTTGTACATATTGTATTTTTTATTGCTTCTTTCTTAATGCATGCAAACTTGGCAAATATGCTCGCAGGTCGAAGCTGATAAAATACTGTTGCTCACAGCTACATGTAGTTAAAATCATGCATGTTTTCCCACCTGCCAGGCTGATCAGATCGCAATCTCGACTGGTCTCTTTGGCATGTCTATTTTCTGCAAAATTTTGTTCCTAAATGCACGAGATTAGTACCTTATATTGTTTCTATTCTATTTTCTATGGGTCTATACTTAACGAATGTGGGACATTTACTGGATGTGACCTCTCGTATGATTATTTATCAAGAAATAAATTATTCAAATTGACTGAATGATATAAGGCCTCTCTGAACCATGCAGGATATCAATCGGGATGACTATTGATATACATTTGAAAAATTATAACAAATATTTAAAAACTTTTACATTACCGTATCTCTTACACCGGGTTCTTCGTAATCTTGGTCAATGTAAGGTAAGGCGTCAGGGCAAACTTCGTGGCTCATATGTGCTGCGGTCGCCATTTTGCCGATCTCAAGCAAGCGATTGATTTCGAGGCAATGTCATGATGGTTGCTCGTTTTTGTGTTTTCACAGCAACAGCAACAAGTCTACAAGCCCAAAGGGCGAAATAGCCTATCGTGGTACCTGTTCTCGTAAATTGATAAGGCGTGTTAAAACTTCAAATTAATAAAAGAAACATATTGTTAAGTGGGTCGATGTGGAGGCAGTGTGACACGTTTTTATCTTTTGCATTGGTCACTGAAATGAAGTGCACGAAAGAGGGACGGCTAAATAGAAAGCTGAATAAATCAAATTCTTTTTGTTTTCTGATGAGGTGAGCTTCTAATTTTTGTGTCTGGCTTTAAAAAGGTCAATTCAATTGTGCGCTTTCAAGTACCAAAGTAAAGACAGTTACCATTTTTCGACGTCGATTATGTCTTTGATAAAACACATGCTAAAGTTTCTGGAATCATATTCACATTTACACTCAAAATAGTTGCGATCAAAAAGTTAATGATAAATGATGCATTTGATACAACTATAAAACTTCTTGCTACATGTTAGTTGTTTATATTATACACATTAACTTAAACAGGTTGCAAATTTCAGGTAGGGAATAAATTCATAATATGAATGTCCTATATTTATTTACAGGTAACAGCAAGATATGATAAATAAATAAGAAGATATAAGTACAGAGAAAACAGATGTAAAGATAAAAGAGATAAACTGCTCATTATTCCAAAATAATGACTTTATTCATATATTAAAATCATGATTTATCTTTTTAATCTTTGATATCCCTCTAACCTGAGGTGATGTCAGATGATGTAGTGTTGATTGAAAGGCTTGTAAATTTAGGTTGGTGGAAAGTTTATCATTGACTGTTATCCAGTTTTTGATAAACTTTGTGATCAATATATTTTGTTTGGTAATAAAGCATTTGTATACAAAATTTACTGTGTGTAGAAATAACTACAAAGGTATTGTTTAAATAAATTTAGTATTGTTATAATAGCAATGTTCAAATTTTTTTGTTTTCCAGAAAGCAATAAAATATGAGGTAAAATGTTTGCAGGGAAAAATGGTGTTCTTAACTTAGCAAATGTTGACCCCAAGACAATAGATACATCAGAATGGAAAAAGCCTCCAGTATCTGATTCAGGCAAGCGCTTATCACATCAGCTGAGCATTGGGGATCTGCACCTGGTCAATCATAAAGAATCACAGGATTCTTCAGTCAAAAACAATGATCCTCCAGAGGTTACCCATAACTACAAAGACCAAGTTTTTCTGAACTTGGGTATTGAAATAAAATTGTATGAGAAAGACAGAACTCACAATCATGGAACTGGAAAGGACATTTTCAGGCCTGCTGTTGTTTTGAGTGCCTGGTTTTTTTGTAGCTTTGTTACAATTATGCTGAATAAATATATTCTTTCCACTTTGGATGCTGATCCCGGACTTCTTGGTGAATTTCAAATTGTCATGACTACAGTGTTTGGTTTCATTGCAATGCATCTTCCATGTAACTTTCTAAAACCGAAAAAGGAAAAACATCCAGAAAATTACAGCAGAATTATTTTTATACGGTCTATGGTGATATTAGGTTTGCTTCGGTAGGTACCATCTTTTCAATGTTTCGGTGTTGTAAAGGTATGATCTGAAGGCCATAGTAGCAAAACTCCTCAACAGACTTCAAAAGTAAACCTATGACAAAGTAGATAAAATAGGAGCACAAAATGCACCAAGGCAAACAAATTTGTAATTAATATAGGAGGAAATATGATTTTATATAAATACTGCTGCACTATTTCACTCCAAAGCCACCACTTTTTAGTTCTCCTTCAATAATGCCATTACCCATAAGCTAGAAATGAAACTGCTAGATTGCAAATAGATCAACTTGATTTGACTCATCAGAAGCAGGATCAGTGGAGTAATAGACTAGAGTTACCCTAAGTTTGAAAACTAAGGGCCCCTAACCTCCAGGGTTTCCATCGAAAAATGATTTTTAATGTTATTTTACTGCCAAGCTGGTATTTTGGATGGGGCTCAGAGCCTGCATGATATCTCAGTCTAATTGAATGGGGTGTCTATTGACAAGCATGTCTCCGCTACGCCATTGTGCAGAATGTTTAAATCCAAGTCACAATCAAAAATTGCAACTGACATCCAAGTGCTTAGGTAAAAATTGATTCTAAATTCAGGCTTATCTCATGCATCAGGCTTATCTCAAGCTTAATTTATGTTCCAAATTTCTAAACGTAAAATTTGATTTGATGTGAGTTAAACATGCCATATAACTTATCCCTAAGAGAATGGAGGTAAAAGATAGAAGGCTAAATTGATATGTGTCTATGTATGTAACAAAGATGTCATAGAACCAATCCTTTAAAAGTCTTTTTAAATGCATATTTCTTTATTTTTTATTGTGGACATTCACATCATTTCCATATTTCATCTGCTGAAAGGTCTTTTTGTAAATTTTTAAGTAATTATTTTTGACTAAAACAATACTAACAAATAATCAATTGTTCTTATTGTAGGTTTGGATCCGTTGTATCCTCAGTTGTTGCAATGAAAAATGTTGCAATTTCATTCTCAGAAACAATTAAATCATCTGCACCATTATTTACTGTTATTACAGCTTACTTTATACTTGGTGAGTTACTTTTTAGAATATGTCATTTACTTGTTTTGTATTACACAAAGATAAGCATTTGTTACTACCTAGCTTCTGGTTTTAGTTTTGAGAATACCAAGTAGTGATGAAGTGTCCTCACCCATCCTCTCAATGTGATCACACATTTTGATTCCTACGCCTGGAATCACAGAGAGCTGGTGATGCACTTAACACAAATATGACTAATTAGTGTCTATGGGAAATTAGTTTGATACCAAGCACATGCTCACTTTTTATCTATCCTGATTGCCTTTACCCTCTTTACTCATTCATTACATACAATCTTGAAATGAGGTTACGATGACTTCTAAGATATTTAGAATAAGGAGTCTTTGCTCCCAATTGCAAATTGCATTTTGCTTGCTCTTAATGCTAAGAAAATTACTAAAATTTTATTTTTCTTCAAGCCACAAGGTTCAGCAAAATAGTTTTTCGTTTTCAAACTTCAATAATAGATAGATTAGTTGGAATCCATGTTAAGAGCCAATGCTTTCCTGCTTTCAACACAATGCATATTCATATTTTTGAAATGAGTTTCTCCTCACAAGTTAAACTGTGTTTGCTTTTTTCCTATACAGGGGAGTATTCTGGGATATATGTCAGTTTATCACTGATTCCTATTATGTTTGGCTTGGGCATTTGTACATCAAACGAGATTAGTTTTGTACCAATTGGGTTCTTCTCAGCTTTGCTAAACAATGTTTTTGATTGGTAAGTTATAATCAAGCTTTTTCTGATGGCATATATACAAATTGTTGTTAACAAGAGAGTTATTTGGGCAGCTACCAACTTTAAATTTTGATAGCTGTAGTGCTTCCAGCTTGTGATTATTTTTCTTAGCTTAACCATGCATTCCTCACCCAACATAAAATATATCTGTATAATTTCAGCAATGCTTCCATTTAATAACCAATATTAAACTGCTTTTGCTAGAAATGAAATGAATGTAAATTTTTGGTTTAATATTTGAAGTGCAGAAATATAAAATACTCCGTGGAAGTAATTGTGAAGGCTTTTCAATTGGATTTTTAACAAATCAGAATCTTTTTATTTTATTTCAGTATACAAAACGTTTATTCAAAGAAACTTCTTACTGGGGACCAAAATTACAGGTCAGTCTGACTGCTTCATAAGATTTGAGTTTTCTTATTTCTTTTTGAATGGGTTCTTCATCCAGCCTTTCTTTTCCTTTATCTTTGTGTGAAAGTCCTTCAAATACTCCTTCAGCCTTATATTTTCAGCTTCAAGAACCTCTGCCTTCTGTCTGAAATCTTTTAATTCGTGAATTGTTGCATCTAAAGTCTTCTCCTTCTCATGGAATTTTTTGCAAGTGACACAACCGTTACTCATGATTTCGGTAACTTTGTCTTCCATGCCATCCAATTTTGATAGACTCTTTGTTGCTTCATAACTTGATTCTTCAAACATCACTTTTAAAGAGTCCAACTTTCCTAGCAAGCTAATGGTAAAGCCTTTTCTTGTCTGAAATAGAATAGTTATTTTGTTTAAAAGACCTGGCTGATTTAAATGGTCAAAGGAACATTTATGTTTTTCATACTGTGCCTTTGAAAACAAACAGGCTTTAGCAGGTGCATGTCAAAATGCGCACCTTGTCTTGCCCAGGTTGGCGGCATCACATAACATAAAAACAGTTGCTGTTGGTGAAAAGGATGAATAATAGTTTCTATCATGCATACAACTTTTTGGCAATGGCATTCAGAGTTGATTGAGTAGGTACAGGAACATGTTATGTGGCATTCTGTTAATAGTAATGGTCTTTTTTCTGCATTTATCTGATGTTTGCTTTTCATCATGTGCTAATAGTAGGCTGAGAAGAGTAGCCCTTTATTCTTTTTTGAATAGAATACCTGTCGTGTCAGCCTCTTTCTATCAGTCATAAACTAGAAATCTTTGAACCTGTTGCAGGGGATATACAAGTTTACCAATCAAATTACCTCTAGTGCTTCGATTTGGATGTCATTTGCTTTTTTCCGTAGTAGAGTTGCTCTAAGATCTTTATTTGCTTCAGATAGTCGAGTACATTTGTATTCAGCCACAGAAAGCCCTTTTGTCAGTGCTTTTACCTTTTCTGCCTCAATTTCGTACTTTTCGCTGCACTTTTTAAGCTGGCCTTCTAACGAAGAAGCTCTTTTCTTCTGCTCACCTAACGCTTGGTTTAAAATGAATGATAGCTTTTCCAGACGTCCAAGGTCTTCGTTTGTTTTTTCGTATTTTTTAATCAATACTTTGGTGGAAACTCTTCTTGTTTCAGCAATAGTTTCCAACTCTTTTTGAAGCTCGTCTTTCAAGGCCTTGTTAAAAATCTAAGAAAGAAGAAGTTTCTTTTATACTATCTGCTAGCTTTTTTTCTTTTTCCAGAATAAATTCTTCCAATTGGGGATACAACGCATGGTTATATAATATTTGATTATTCATCTCAATTCGGCAATATAGACGAATAATTTAGTACTCGAAAATGAAGACTGCGTTTCAGGAGACTCTTAAAAATTCGGAAAATGGAAAATTGTCGAGCCAAGACTGGGGATTACTTACAAAAAAGTTCCTAAAAATTAAGTTATAGAAATAAAGATCAGAAAATTTATCTCATGCAACCAAATAAATGCCTCGAAGCAGTAGACATAAGAGGAATAGTGTGTTATTGGTCCCTTAGAATATTGAAATGTTTTAAAAAATTACTCTCAAGTTGGCCTCTGCATTGTACAATAGAGTTTGTAAACCGTTGTCACGACATTACATTGAACCTATGAGCCTATGAAAATTACATTGAAAAAGCAAACATTTTATAACATAAGAATGTTAGAATATAGCTTTTTTCAAGGCTTCTTTCAAGTTCTGTACCGCAAAAAACTCAACATTACATTGTCTGTCATATATTCTCGAACTGATAAGATATTCTGTAGTATTAATGCATAACGCGTTTAAACACAGGCAAAGTGACTATCAGTCATGCCAGATTTCTGCATGCAAGTATAGGTTTCTTCATAGTTTCGACCTTCTAACATGTCTGTATTTAAACAGAATTCACTATTAATTTTATCATTTAATGGATCTACAGTTGATAACGTTTAAAGCTTAAAATTGTCTTATAATCGCGGCACTGTCCCTGTAATTATTTAGAGTTGTATTGCACCGATAAAGCATTATATTATTCCTGTAAATATTTACATAAAAACCTGAAGCTGGTTTTCTTTAGCGATTATCCGCGCGTCTTTCAGTTGCCGTAGCAAAAATGAGTTCTGTCTTTCTAGCACCTCGTTATCTCGTTGAAGCTGTTTCCTTCGCTCGCACAATGGTACTTCCAGCCTTTGCATAAACTCCAGTGTTTTTGCTAAACTCTCCTCTTCTAAGCGTGCTTTTTGCTCTATGCTAGTTATGCTTTCTTGTACCATAGCTAACTTCAGATAGGGGATACCTGGCTGTTCTCAACTGCTTTGAAATACTTCTTATTTCCGGAAGCAACAACATTTACCTAGAATCCATTTTAGCAATTTTTTGCGATTTGTTTCAGAAACTCTTCAAGCTTTATCTGGAATAGCTGTTCCAACTTTAGTTTCCAAAAGTTGTTTAGCCCTGTCAGGGCTGCTTGCTGGGAGAACGATATTCCAGCTTATAGTTTTCGCTTCACCTCAAGCTGCTAGAAATGCTAATTTCCTCAAGCGTTTCCAAGCGTATGATTTTGAATCATGACATCTGATTTACTTTGTTACGTCAAACGAACAAACCTTTTTCAATTTGAATTGATAACTTTGACACAAAATTCTGATACCATACTTATTTAGTGCCATCAATACTTCGGTGGTTTCCGAAGTTTCTCTTGGTCGCATAGGGGGGGAGGGGGTGTGGGGGGCAGGGATCGAGTATACTACCAAAAGATATATGAAAGACGATCTGCCACCAAAAGTAATATTAACATGCAAATTTTAAATTATTTACATATGTACATATGTAAATTTTATTATTTGTCAGTTCGGTCGAGCCTTTTTGTTTGCTAAGATGCTGATACCCCTGCTAAGAAAATACTTGAGAAAATTAATAATAATGGTTTATGTTAGTCAAGGAAATATTTCGAATTTAAGGAAACTCATAAAGGTTCTTTGAATGCAAAAGATGCATCACAAGCTAAGGCCACAAACCTTGGTGCCCATTGTTTGTGTTTCGGTGATTTGCTTTCTCAGTCGATCATTCATTTTCCTCAATTCAGTGTTTTTATTTTGCAACTTCTCTGCCTTCTCTTTGTCGTTTTTAATGAGATCTTTCGAAAATTCCAAATACATCCTATAATATCGCCCCAACTGCTCTTTTAGAACCGAATCTGGTATATCAGCCATTTTTACTATAGCAGCATCAATTTTCTTTATTTCGCTGTCAAATGTATTGAGTTGCCTTTAGTCCTTTTATCATCCAATTCTCATTGTTACGCCAAATTGTCCGCCGTAAGTTTGAAGCCTCGTTTTGGTTATGAAGAGTTGCTTGAAGATTTTCTAGGGTGGCTACTTAACTGACGCTACAACAGAAAAAATTGAAGTTGCCAGTTTTTGAATACTTTGGATTATGAGTCTCTGTTGTAGCGTCAGTTAAGTGAGGCAATAGCGAAACAGAGGCTCATGGAGTAAGTCTAGGTGGCTACTTCGGTTCCTTTTTACGGAACCAAAAGTCCTTCGTTTGCTAGTCGGACTGCGTGTATACCACGAGACTCTGCTTGCGAATGTTTTTGGATGAAACGAGCCCAGAGTTCTGTGTAGCTTTATAGAATATTGTAGAATATATGTAGTTCTGTGTAGAATATTGTTACTGATGCCCATCACAAAACGAGATTGGCATTTCTTTTTTCTTTATGCAGTGGTAATGTCCTGAAATAAAAATAACTTCTAGACTATAACATTGCAAACTGACCCGGTTCAGGGTGCGGATTCACTCCAAACACCCCTGTACTCGTTTAAAAGTAATAACAGCCCACTCGCAGTTTTAGATGATAAGAACGTAACCCATTAGTGTTGTTTAGATGATTGATCTAAAAAGCTATTCATTCCAGCAGCATCTCCTGGAATACCGTTACAAGACGGTGCAACCCCCTTGCAAGGTAGAGCCTACATATAAATGGCACATTAACGACAAGAGTTACTCTCCGTTGTGGGAGGTAGGGGGGTGCATTTAGTTGCGGTTTGGTTGTATATTTTATTATCTTAACTTCTTTTTCAACAGCCCAATGGATCTGCAGTTTTACACCAGCGTTGCTGCAGTTATAGTACAGCTACCATTTTGGTTGTTCTTCATGGTAAGTAATGATTAACCACTTTTCAAAGTTCTTATTTGTTCATTTCACATAATATTTAGCCAAGGATATTAAAGTTTCACATCTAAATCCAGTCCTTTAATCTTTAATCATTTGCGAGATAGCCTCAAGGTAATTGTCTTTGTTTTTTATTTATTCGAATGATGTTAAGCTCATACATAAATTCGTCCGGCTCTATATGCGCGCCTACTCTTGGGGCCGTTGGGAGCATGGAAGGAGGATCCGGGTCTTTTCCTTGCATTGAAAATACGGACGTGAGAAGGTGATATTAGAGAAAGATCGTTAAAACCTATGTAGTTATAGCATCTACATCTATGTCTTAAAATAATCAAGGGTCGACACTGGACACTGCAGTTTCTTAATGATACGACAAATTTCAGTAGTATACCTTGTGTTTTCGCAGATTCCTAATCTTGTTAATTTTGAAATTTGGGTTGCTTTTGGGAATTTTGGGAAGATGAGTTGCTAATGACACCCTAGCGAGGGTTTTGAATTAATATATGAATAAATATTATGATCCATTAGCCCAGCTTTCTTTTTATTGCCACAAAAGATGTTTAATTAAAATCGAAATACTTTTTCCAGGATTTCGGTGACAGCATTAATGGCGTTGATCGACATTTGGTTGGAGTCCTCTTGCTCAACAGTGTCTTGTTTTACTTTCAAAGTTTCACAGCCTACTTTCTTATGTCACTGATTTCACCAATTACGTTCAGGTACAATAATAAACATTACATTTATTTGTGTTTTAGTTCTTTAAATTATCCCAACTTCCTCTGCTTGCTAGATAGAACATTCATTATTGCATGAAAACTTACGCTGGTGCTAATTAACGGAGGAGAAATATACATGATAACGAATTAATGCAAATGACAAACAACGTGCAAGCTTCAATAGATATCATAATTGAAGTGGTTTTGTATAACCCGGACAGAAAAACCATTGACTTGCGCTCTCTTGTTTCTAAAGTTTCTAAAGTTTACAAATTTCTATCAAAGTTTCTATAAGTTTACAAATAATCAACAGTTTTTCAATGAGCTATTAGCTAAGGATAAGAAGCCAAGTTTTAACAGATCTTGCTTGCATGGGTTGGTTAGTTAGGAAAAAACCTTGGTACTTCGTATTTCCTTTCAATATTAACTATTTTCATATAAGACACAGGTATTGATATTAATTTATTGATGTTTAACAGGGGCACGCCAAAGGGAGTGGGCTAACAGATGTAAAGTATATTATAAATTGTTGATAAAGAAATCTGTCTATTCTTTGACATTCTTGGCAGAGAATTAATTTGAGTTTCGAAAGGTTTTAAAGAAAATTGAAAATGTAATGACCCACTTTTTTAGAAAAGTTTCTAAATTTAGCTAAGTGCAAAGACTAGATTCCAAAAAACTTGCTCAAAATTTGTATGGGATTTTGAGATAATCATGATGTTTAGACCAGCTGTTGGTCGCAATACTTACTAATTGTTGCAAGCACACTTTCATTCCAGCGTTGCAAGCACAGCCAAGCGTGCGGTTTTAATATGGTTTTCGGTGTTGGTGTTTGGCAACAGTGTGACAGTCCTGAGCGCCATTGGAACTGTATTTGTAGTCGTTGGCGTATTTCTCTACCACAGGGCCAGGCATAAGGAAGCTGCAGAACGAATGAGACAACTCGCTGAAAAGGAAGTAAAACAACTCTCACAGTAATGCATGCACATTCACGTTTACAATTGTTCTTTATAATTCACAAAAGTAGCAACATACTTAAGTTTTTCTTTGATAATTACTCCTACACGATCCCATTTTGGATTTGATTATGTGTAGTCTCCAATTTCAAGAAAATAATAATTTTTACAGACTTGAGTAATACTTTAGTTAAAGCATATTCAATTTTCGACATCCTGGTAACTTAGTATTTCGTTGAATCCTCTATATTGTCAATTCCCCTTTGTACTGAATGACATCATCATAAAATTATCCATAAAGCTTTAGAGCTGACTTTTGCGCAATCCCTAACACATAACGAGCGACTAACCTCTGAGAGAGACCAAAAAACAGCTACAATATATTGTTTTTCGCTGGTTCTTCCCCGGTTCTTCGCCGGTTGTTTGCCGGTTGTTCGCCGGTTGTTCGCCTGCCAATTATCCCTGTTTTCTGCTACAATCGCGAACTGTTTCCGAAGATTTTGTTTCTCTCACCGTCATACGACAATAAGCATTTTGAAGACCACTAAAAAGGCCACGTTCTTGTGCACCTATTAAACTCATTGGCTGAACATAAATCAACATCGTCTTAGACCGGTTCAAGCGCACAAGAATTATTTTTCCGTCAATCAACAAGATTAAGCCCTATTTTGCAAAGCCTTATTAAATATGACATTGACTTTGCACTGATCATCTACATGAACTTAACACTTTGAACAAGAACGAGCTATGCTCAATTAAAAACTCATATCTAGCCAGCTCTTCTTACTTTTGTTTACATAACATATTTTTATTTTAATTGGTTTAATTCTGTAATATTCTTAAACAAAATACATCAGCTTATCCTCAAGTGATCAGTAAAAGAAAGCTATTGAAAATATTTTCGAACTTATAAAATCAATGGGACTAACGTTGCTCATAGAAATTGTCAATTAGAGTTTATTTCACACCTGTACATCTGAAGCCAATGTTTTTGAATTCAGAAAAAGGGAGTTGAAGCCTTTTACCCAGGGGTAAACTTTGGTGAATCGTTCTTTGTGGGCGTGGATATTCTCGTATTCAAAAGCCAATGTCCAGCTCGGGAGGGGGGTGCTAACGAATAACTCTATTGTATTGATATGCCATTTTTATGTCACGTCTTAGGCTATACTTCCTTTTAAAGATTTGTGAATTGGTATTTGTTGCAGTGACGTAATTAGACAAAAAACGATATGGAAGCCATAAAAGCCCGGTAAGGTGATCATCGTGAAAAATAAAAACAAGTAGAGTTTACTCATTTCAAGCTAGCTTTGAACTTCTGGACAGAAAATTCAATAAAAATGTACAGGTGATACTCTTTTCATCACTGATCGACCAGTGATCCTCCAATATTGAGACATCGGTCAAGCGAAAAGACCATTACCGGACTAGAACCCTCTATATACATACAGATGTGGTCATACCGAGGGAGTGGCGTTTAGTTCGCTTACTTGGAACAAAGATGTGCAAATAATAGGGGATGCTATAGCGCCCATGAACAGAGGACTCAAAGAACCAAAGTTAAAGCAGTGTTCCTATACAGTGGATGCGGTTGGCGTTTAAATTATCTCTTGCACATGCTTAAATGATTTAGTGAAGGGTAACTCTGCAACCGTATCCGGAGACTCATCCTATATAATCATGATGTCCTCCAATCATACTTAGTTGCACAACAAAGTTAGGAAAAACGACACAAAGTATACTGTAATTGACTTAATGGGCGTAAATACTTCAGATCCCAAAAATAAAATATTTTCATACAATTTATTAAATAGCAAAAACCAATTATCAATTTTCTACTAAAATATTATTCTTAATGAATTAGTAAAATAACTTGCTAGCATTGATAGTTATATACTTGAATAGGCAATTTTCTTTGTACGTTTAATCGACAAAGGTTAATATCAAAATTCTAGTATATTTGTCTTCGAAGCAAATGGCAAATTTTTCACCTGTTTTAGGAGTAATACAAGACTGACCTCGAGTCTAGAAATGGTTCAAACATGGTTTCAGAGTAGTTGCAACTTGGTTCTATTTTTGTTCCAATTTGGCTCCAACTTGGTCCAACTTTGTTCCAACTTGATGGCAATCTTGTTCCAACTAAGAAATGAATGTTTTGCTCAGCAATTGTTAGAGCTGTCTACAATTTCTGTAGATTCTGCCAGAATTCTGGCCGTTTTGTTCCAACTGCCCTTGCCTTTAATTTTCTTCGAGGCCGTTATCGAAGAGTGCTTTCGTTTTGCGTGTCGTAAACTATCACCTTTTTGCGTAAGTGGCCTCGAAGACCTGGTCTGGTATTTATGCTTTTTGGTTGGTGAAGACGACTCGACAGAACCGCTCTTCGGAATATCCTGGTCATTGGCTTTGATAATATTTGATTCAGCGATCGCGAATCCATCTCGAATAGCGGTATTCCCAATGTCATCTTTCTCCAGGTGCTCATCAATCGCACTTTCGATGTTGCTGTTGGAATTCATCAGGGGGACATCATGATCTTCTGGTACCTCAACAGCATCATCGACAATAATTTTAGACAGGAATTCTAAAATATTATGAGGTTCTATTACGGGAAAACTCTTGTTTTTAAAAACTCCGATATTATCTGCTAGCATCTGCAGTGGGTTACCCGCATCAAACGATGCAAGTTCTACTGTTTCGGAGAAGCCATCGTCACTTAAGTTATCGCTTAAATTTTCAACCTCCGTCGATTCCGTTATTTGATCCATCTTCGAACAAAAGGCTTCTTGGCAATTGTTGTTTTTAACAAGCAAATTCAACTGTTGCAATATACCGTCTGGATGTTTTCGAATTATATTCTGGAAACTCGGGTCCTCTGGAACTATCCCGCTCTTTTTTAACGATAATATTATCTGAAGAATCGTGCCTAGATCGCCATTGAGAGTCACTGAATAGGTTGAGGCTTCACTAGCCAGCATAGGCTGAGTTCCAAATTTGACATGTTTCTTGTTCAACTGAGATTTCAAGTTGCCTCCATTAGGCCTTCTTTCAAAATTGCCTCTATGATCGTCAGCGTTGCCAATGGACACCTTTTCATCAGCCGATCCGATTGCCTGCATAATATTCTTTACGTCATTTCCGGCATTTTCCAAGTAGTCCATTGTTAAAACTTTGCTTTCTGCATCTTCAAACTTACCACTGTTTGAATACTGAAATGCATCTAACTTCTTTGCATTGCTTTTTGCCCTACGACGAGCATTAAGTACTTGTTCTTCTGCAGGTGGGAAAGTCAGTATCTTGGCTAGGTCTGGTTGTTTCAGCATTTTTATCTTCCTATCGATGGCTGAGTCATTTGAAGTCTCCTTGCAATTATCTTTTTCCATGAAGAACAAGTAGTGACTCCGGTTTAAATGCTTCAATCGATATTTGTAGCTCTGTTGCAAAAAAAACAAAATGTCTTTTAGGATGGTAAACAGAAGCCGTATCTTGAACTTCAAAGTGCAATGCCCTCTTCCCTAGAAGTTTTTGCTAACATTTATCCCGCGTCATTTCTAGTGAAAGCGAGCGTGAAAACACCTTTAAAAATCCTTCTTGAGAATTATTGGAACACATCCATGAAATTTTAGAGCTCCAAGAGTTTTTAAAAAAAAACCTATCCTGGTAATTATAAGTCTGTATAAAGCTATATAAATGCCTTATTTAGAAGGAAAGTGTGCTAGAGAAGGAGGGGGGTTTTAGAAGAAACGATGATGCTCTGGGGAGGCATTCAAAGCTTGATGTCGTCTCACGTAAATATTTTTAAACTAAAAGTTTCACTATAACTTTTGTCAGCATTTTCTACTCTTGATGTATTGTCAGCACGAAAGAGAAAGTTTAAGGTCTTGATGTAGAGTCAGCACTTACAGCTGAAGTTTACCGAAATGCGAAAATATCTTATTTACAATTCTATCGTTCCTAGACCACAATTATGCTTTGGCAGTACGATATGAAATGCCTCGAAATGCAATAACGTAATTAACAGCGACTAGAATTTATTCATTTTTGCAAAAATATCAAAATAAATTAGCTAACCTTTTTATGATTGCATGCCCAAGATTTGCATATCTTGCAATGGAAATGGGGGTAATTCTTCTCGCGATAGCTGCAATCGTCAACATGACATTCCTCTGTGAAGTATTCGTGACACACCATCTTGATGCCGTCCGGAGCTCTTTGCCTTTCCTTTTTGGTTTTCAAGAAATGGTACGGAATATGCCTTTTCATGTTATCAAGCTAAAAAAGAGAAAAACATTTCTAAATGCAGCTCAGACGTTTTTCACCGAGAGACTGGGCTATATTGCAATACCATAAAAGCTCTATTAAGCCCCCTCTTTAAAGCCCCCCTTATAAAGCAGAAACTTTAAATAACCCTCCTCTCTATTAAGGCCCCCTTTTTAGCCTTTGATGTCGAACATCGAAAACTTGCACATTTAGTGTGTCTCTTGACGGGTGTGATGATGATAAGATCGTGTGCATTAAATACGGCCTATGTAAAGACTAACTTGTGCGACTGAGTAGTCAGTCAAAATTTATTTCGAAGATATCCAAGGGTTATCAATTTATCCAGGGGATGTTGATGAAGATGAGGACCTTATAATTGATTGATTAAACTTTCGAAGCTGCTAGCAAAGTTTTTATGAAGTGATGAACCATATCGCTGATGTGCAGCAAAGCAAATCTTGTAATTATGGCAAATTGGATTCTCTTCGAAAGCTGATTTGAAAGTTTTAAAGCTGAGTTTGAAACGAAAGATGATTTATAACTCGGATGATACGCCTGTCAAAACAGTAATAACTGGACAGGATTCTAACAGGAATATAAAAAAATGATGCAAATTATTATCTAGCTGATATCAGCCAAGATATAATCTTTCCTGTCTTTGGTGGATCAAGCAGGAAGCAAATAGGCTAAAGACATAAAAGTCTGTTGTAAAAGCCTGAAGAAGAGATTTATTCTGGATGTCAGTAACACCAATAATACCCATTCATTTTGAATTGAAACGAGGTCAGGTTGGGAGTATCTCCAAAGCTGTTTGGAAAAAGCCTCTTAAAAGATAGACAAAGCCTCTTCACAGTAAGGGACTCTTTGCATCAAGGACTCTTTGCATTAAAATTCTTTTTAACAAGTTATATGAAAAGACAAGAAGCATAGCTTGAATTCAGGCAAAGATTATTTAGGATATTAGAGTGAAGAAAACTAATTTTGAGGAATTTATGACTGACTGAAGACAGCCCTTCACAGGCCTTCTACAGTAGCACAATGGACTGGGACTGGCGATAGGCCGAACATTATCTTTTTCATCACAAAATGGCAAATGGCAATTTTCTTCTTGTTCCTAAAGTTTTAACATTGCTCGTGTTTGCTTCTCAATAATAATACATATGTTTTATTCAGATTATCTAACCAGATACAAATACTAAAGAAAGATCAAATTCATCATACATACCCTTTCGGATATATAATCGCAAATTTTGCAATGAAAATGTCTCTTCTTCATGTTTCGACAGGGCTTCAGACAATCTTGAAAACATCTGACTGTATCTTAGAGAGACAATTGTGTTAAAAGATATAAACAAAAACAGTGCTCCGTAGCTAAGACAAAACAAGTGTGGCCAAATAATGACGTCACAAAAATATTTCAATAGGAATTTTTCCATTCCTAAAGAATAAAATAAGTACTAATAGATGTGAAAATTAGTTAGATGCGGTACAGGATACCTGATAAATGGCCACACGAATACAGGCCTTTCTATTATCAAACTACTGTAATTATGGCCTTGGTTCGAAAACTCACGAACGAAGCCAAATTAACAGCAATCCGTTGGGAAAATCTTTAATTTACCACATCGCAGGGAAGATTTAGCTGATTCTACACATTTAGAGGCACTTAAAAATATTTTTATGATGTCATCATTTTCCAACTCTATGAGACTTTAATCAATAATAGCTCACTGCTGGTCGTGATAGATTTCGAGTCCATTGAATATCGATACATGACCATAAACACTGCATACAGGGCAAGGTATCGAATCATAACTTTTCAATTAGGCCCTCGTGATTATTCACAGATCTGTGAAATCGAATTTTCTGGTATCAATACTTACGGACGACACTACAACAACAATAAAGAATTAATTCTTACTAAAAAAACCTATAAAATCTCTTAGAAACTGCAGCCTGCCAGCATACAGAGTATTTGGCCTTTTACAGGACCCAAAGCAGCATGATTTTTTCCAATTTCTTATTAATTGGGTAAAAGTTTAAATACATGCAGTATTTCATCCTTAATTAATCAACATTAATTTCTTGGGGTATTTTTGTTTAATATGCAGCATGATCCTCGAATTTAAAGATGATTTTTCATGAAATAAACTAGCCGGATTTAAAATATTTCCTTGCATATAAGAAACTACACAGCCTAATATGAAAATTTGAGTTTCTTTTAAGCGGGGAATTATCGTATTCCAAGAAGCCTAGGCGAATGGTAAATCTTTACAAACCCTAAACATGCATGATTCCTGTTCAATTGCTAAATTGCTTCTTCATACGTTTCAAGTGATCTGCCTACGCTATTCAGGTAAGAGAGGGACAATTGTTGAAAGTACTCACAGCCTAACGCAGTTTGATTAACGCAGAGGTAATAATATGAACAACTAACTAACCTAATACAGCAATGCTCTTTTATATGTTTATTGTAATGTTCTAGAAGTTTCTAGAAAAGTATCGCTCCAGAATGTTTGAGAAAGTTGAACTAATACTACGAATATACTAGAATGATATGAGAGGTTAAACTAGAATGTTCTACAGTATCTTGAAAGTCTGGTAAGAGTGTATATTTCCAATAACAATTCAATCTTGAAATAGTGTATGAGATTGCCACGAAAAGATTTCCAGAGACTTAAAAAAATAGGATATCCACAAAAGGTGTGCGGTATTTGAGCATTATAATATTGGCTCCAATTTAGACTTTACGGTGGTACTTTTAACTCTCGAATTCTGGCACCAATGCCTTGTCGTAAACGGTACGGAATACCTTAATGAGCAAAGATTTATTTTGCTTGTGGGAAAAGCAATTCATTTTTCTAATGTAAACTTGTCTCAATGTATCTATATGAGGCTGATAATAAGGAAATATTTGAATACATTACTTGACAGTTTTGGAGCATAGGTGGAGCATAGTAATTCCTTGTTTATTGAGGCATCTCCGTTTCAAGGACTCCACAGAAATGCGTCATTGTAATACATAAAGATATGCTATGAACATGCTGATTCAAGGCATGGCTTTCTAAACACTACTTAGTTATGCATTTTACTATAATCAGAGTGAATCCATTGGCAACTTCAATAAGAAAATTGTTTTACAAAAATGGCTATTGTTTAAATGTAGCAATGAACTTTTGCTAAGGATTATTGAAGAAAAAATTTGCCTTAGCTTACCTAGAATAAAGAATCACATCTGATCCGTCGATTTAAAGGCTTGCAAGAGTTACAAGGCGCATATAGACAAGTAAATATGGCACTATTTGATTTGATTTCTAATCTCTTCTGCCCACCCTACTCAAATACTGTCGTATCCGTCTTGCTAAAGATTTTCTTGAAACAATGTATAAAATCTAAACGCTTTCCATTGACAGACGATAGATAACATAGGACAAACTTCTGTATTGCAGTTGCCTGGTGATCACATTGAGTGTTAAACTTGAAAAAGCAACTTAGAATCGTCCTTTTCGATACACCAAGTAGGGTGCACAGCTTTGCCTATACGGCATCGAGCATTCCATGACAGACCCTTAAACTGTTATTTCTTAGTATTCCTAGTTTACGGTTTTAGATACACAAGTTGTATAAGAAAAATAGCGAAAAGAGTAAAAATTAAGGCGAGCTATTTGGCCATAACATGGAAGCCATAGGGAAACAACAGTCATCTTTGCAGAAAATGCAGCCTCCCTGGTTCTAGAGTCTTCTATCAGATAGCTCTTGTTACTTAACAATACGAGCCTATTGTTCTGGAGAAAAGATTGTTGCGAGTCAAGAATTCTTTTTTACGTAGATGCTCTTTGCTAAGATTTGATATAATCAGTGTTTGTACACTGGCGCTATTAATTCCACACTAAATATAAGCAAGATAAAAACTGGCTTCGAAACTTGGTGGTTTCTAGGGAAATCCAAGAGTATGTCGCCAAGGTTATTAAAATGCTAAATTTGTCACTTTTGGATTAGTTTGGAATTTCATTCTTGCAATCCGAAGAGCGGATTGGAATCATTATAGTTAAGAAGGATGTGCAGAAACTTGGGCATAAAGGCGAACTTGGAAATGTCCTAGAGTTGATTACGATCACGCGACTAGTCTATTAAGCTCACGCGCTTCAACAGAGTTAAGGTTTGTTGGGTCAAGTACGCAACACTTTCACTTAGACGGCCCTTTTTTAATGTAATGCAGGAAAGCTAGTAGTGTTCTTGCCTCCAATTTCGTTTTTCAGAATTGCTGCTTTTTCTCCAAAATCGTTCCTAGCAGACTGAATACTATCACGAGTGCGAGCTGAGATGGTGTACTTCAGAATTCGTAGCAGTTATGTCTGTTTAAACGCAAAGTATGTTCGAACCATCCAAAAAGCAGGCGTCATCAAAAAAGCGAAAAATAATCACCCAAACCTTCTGACACTAATTGAAATCGATTACATATGTCGATATATATTTGCACATTGGACCTTGTGGATGAGGATTGGACTTTGAGATTTCAAGAATAAAAATCCATGGAACTAATGTAATGATACATACTTTGACCTTCTGACCTCATTGCTGCTTGACCTTTGACCTGAATATTGACACTTAATATTTCTAAACCTAAAAATATTGCACATGAAGAGGTGGTGGGTGAAAATCCGCGAGTGTCAAGTACGGCCTTCAGACACGAAAAGATAAAAGATTTACATTCTAATTCTGTACATAGCGGGCTGCTGATTAAATCTTTTGTGAATTTGGCTCCACTGACGATATTGAAATAAGATCAATTTCAATTGGCGTAATAAGGAAAACGATATAAGCTGAAACAAGGTAATTTTTCGGCCATATTATTTTACTAACTGTAAAATAAACTGACTGGTGAGGAGGTCCTCGTCGAAACATGTGGTAAAAGGCTGGACTACGGTCTAAGGACCCTTAACTTTTAATCAATTTACGGGAATCTCTTCAGCCAACAATACCAAGGTTAAATAATAGAACTTTCTTGAAATCTTTCAGTTTTTAGTTTGAGGAAAGATACCAGAAATGAATAAAGGGAATCTTCGGCATGCTCCACCTTCTTAATGCTTCAGAAAATTTCAGTATTGATTCTTCCTTGAGAATTTCTTAATTTCAATGTAATAAATTTCAACATTTAAGATCTTATATTTAGTTTTTCATTTTGGGATAAATATTTTATTTTGTATCAGAATATATTACGGAAAATAAGACACTCTAAAGTGGCATCTAGAACATTCTAACGAAAGGAGGGATGCTATAAAACTAAAGTAAATGAATTCAATTCTAGTCTTGGAAGCGTGTATTTTCATTGTTTAAGTCTACAGGTTTATGCCGACAAGCCAACAAAATTGTTCAAAAAACACAAAATTCAGAATAATGAAATTTTTCCAAATTCTAAGATTTCTTAATTTTTAACTTCGAGCAATGAAGTTTCTTAATTTTTTCTGAAAATACATAACTAATCTCTAGCAGCAAACTTCTTATAAAAAAGTATTTGAAAGCACCAAACGTTTATGTTGGATCTCATAGCGAAAAGGCAGCATAAAACAGCACTATAAACAGTATCTTTTGAGTACTGTAATGCTACTTACTTAAAGTGCTTAACATTTTCATTGCAACGTGTTTTGTTTTGGAGACTATCGATAATCAATAAAACAGGTTCGTGATCCTGTCTGTTATTTTTTTCATCCATATATACTCATATTTCATAACAAACAAATAATAAGGCAGATTAACAGTACAATTTGTCGATTAAAAGCGATCAAATATGATGCAATATTTGAATTGAAAAGTTGATGAGATGCTTATATGTAAATCTCACTCTTGATTCCGAGCAATAAAAGGTATTAGAGGCCCAATAACAAGGTTAAAAAATCTACAATAAAAATCCCGATGTCAACACTATGGTGGGCTTAACTAACAAAAGAATCAGTACGTTGTTGTTGTTTCCTATATATGTTACAAGTTACTATATATGGAATAAGGGATTCCATATATAGTAACTTGCCCGTGACGTTTACCAACGAAGCAAGTAACAGGCAAGAAACAAATTCAGGCGAGAACATCTGTTGAGCAAAGTCAGTGATTTCTCGATTGGCTGGGTTAGAGAAGCCAAACGAAAACAATTCCAGAGGAAATGTCATAAAGTCATAAAAAGATGACTATTTATATCGTTTATCTTTATTTACATACAGCCTATAATATAATACTTTTAACTTAAGTGCAATATAACTATAAAACCAATCTTTCGTACTTCTAACATCTAAATGAAATTATCCAATTAATTATTCATTTAAATCTATATTTAATAATAGGTACTCCCAGTAATGTGGTTAATATAGGGCTAACCGTTTCAATATATTCTTAAACCAATAACGTTCTATATCAAAGACAACTTTTGGAAGTACTTGATCAAAAATTGTTTTAGCAGTGATAAAATTTTTTCAAAATTTGATTAAAATTCCCTGGTTTACATAGGCGGGGAGCTACGTCTCATTAATTTAGGAGTTTAAATCTGAAAAATCCCAAGATAATTCTCTTGGAAAGCCTTTCAAAGATAAGAATCTTAATTAACCATAAATGAATTAACAGTCAGGTCTATCTAATAAAACGGCTTAATATCTACCATGAAATGAACTTATTACCAATCTCAACGTTTTACGACCCTCAACAATGCATGCTTTTCTCGACAATAATGACACATCAGACTTTTAGAGAAGAGTTCAGAGGAGTGCACTTAGTGACATATTTGAAAAAGTTTCAAAACAACATAACGAAAAATACTTATAAGGTAGCTTTAGAATTACGTGTAAATAAAGTTAAAGTCTTCATAAATATTAAGGAAAAGATGTTATTTAAACTTAGCAGTGGCAAATGCTGGCTGGTTGCGAGATCTTCATAACTTCAGATAAAATATTGTGATATGCTTTTAGAATGAGAGCATACGTGTTCACAGCATTAAATGTTTTTTCTAGTGGTAAACAAAAGGTCGCTTATCGCTTATCTATTTTAAGTATCTTTATCTATCTAAAGTATCTTTACAGTTTTCTTTTGGAAAAAAAATACTTTTAGCAAGAAATTTAACGTAAAAATTTTATGTTGTCAACTGAAACGATGGGGCATGCTTAGGAATGCACGGGTTAGTTGACCATCAAGCCTTGTGAGTGATTTTTCTGTTAATTATGATAATTATTTGTCATCATAATCAAAATAACCTAATTACCTTGTCCTCTACTGGATGGCTTTGGCACAGGTGGTGAGACGGATCGCGTTGGTAGTGGAACATCCCCAGTCAGAGGACGCGATCGGTTACTGCCTGCGGTATCCGGAGTTCTTGGAATTTTGGTTTTTGTTTGGAACGGATCAAGCCTAAAAGGACGACAAATCGGTTATAATCCTCAGTGGATCATATGCAAAACAAGAAAAATGTTTGGAAAACAATACAAAATCTACATAAAAAGTAATTTATCACTAGTACATATTGAAATTCACTTGACTGGAAAATATTTGGTCTAGAGATTAGTGTCTAGATGGAATGACGACATTAAATTTGAATAGGCAACGCTGCAAGATGAAATCACGAAGACCTTAAGGATTGCATAGTTAAACATGAAAGTAAATTATTCAAGCAAAGGCAAAATTATTGGAACCACGGGGCAAAAATGGAACCTCATCCACAAAAATGGAACAGTTAAAACCAAAGGTGCCAATAAATTCCAACAGAAATGAGGCATCGTGAAAGTCATCAATCTACAGCGAAGAAGAGGTGCATAAATGGTTGCTGTCTCGCCAGACCTTATTTTAAGGAGATTTTATCACTGCACCATTTATTTTCTAGAATCAACAAAATAAAAAACCAAGGCTGTATGCAAACAAGACTGTACGAAAAGGGAGGATGTTTAAGCTTTGAATCTTTTTTCGTTGTAGACTACAATTTACAATATAAACTTTTCTTTGGTTTGTTTGCGTTGCTTTTCATATAAGTTCGGCTGCGTTTTAGCCTCTATTTGCACAATAAATTCTTGATTATTATCTTACGGCATATTATCACTGTAAAACTTTCTAATTATCACTGCAGATTTTGGATTTATCATTGCGAACGTTGTCTTGTCTGTCATAGAGCCTTTGGATCAGGATTCTGTCTCGAGCGACTTCGCAGCAGCTGAATTTCGGCATTAGAAGGATGTTGCCAATTTCGCATTTTACAGCATGCAGAAGCGATAGATAAAGTCGCAACTCATCGGCTATATTAAAGGCATTTGAAACGGGTAAAAGTGGCTTACAGCAACTCGACCACGAGCGGTTGACCAATCAAATTTCGCACAGAGAAAAACACGTGAACAGTTTCAGTCTTTCTGCAAATCGGTGAAATCCTAGACCAGCGCGCAGTGGTTTAACGTGATCAGTTTCCAATTCCATTCTTGTGCGCGTGCTCTGATCAATTTGGCCTAAGTTATTTTTGGATTCGCTGTACTTATGCATGTCAAATGCCTTTAAGTTCGGTGCTAAGTCACTGAGTGGGTGGTTAATGGCTTTCTCCATTAAAAGGTAATCAATATTGAATTACCCTTTGACTACCAAAGGGGCCATTATGACGTGCCACAAATGCCCTAGCCATAAAACTGTTACAATGCTATCAAATCATTTCAAATCATGTCAGTTTAAGAAATGAAATATTTTCCATCATTGTTTCAATATGTGAAGCTGGATTAAGAAGACGATGAAGAAACAGCAAAGAGTATATGACATTTTATAATATTTAAGACAATGTAGGCAAACGTTCATAATTGAAAAAATGTTAGTCTGGCTTGTTTAAGTAAACAGTCCATCCAGTAACGCCTGGCTAAACGTTGTACAATCAAATTTACAATAAAATAAACAGTTAAATCGAAAAGTATTTTGGGTTTTAGATTCGGCTTTGAAATCTTCAGGCAGCAACAAAAGGCAGCAAAACTCAAATATCTAAATATTACGTTTCATACAGGAAACGTTTTCTAAAATTGTTTATAAACATTATGTCAAAAATGTTATTGGAAAATAATTGCAACGATAATGCAGGGTTTAAAATCTCAAGAGTTTAATAATCTTAGGAAATCTGAGTGGCAAGTGTCTCCAATTAAATCGATGACAAAATGGCATTTTTTTCAATGCTGTGTTTGTCTAAGCAATGGTCATTATCAAGAACTTAAATACTTCTGTCTTTTACCAAGATAGCAGTACTCGGAACCAGGGCCGTGAAAAGCCAGCTCGGGTTCAAGTGTGATTCACAAAACTGGGCCCTCGTAAAATAACTTTCTGTGACCAGGCCTTTCAGTCTCTCGAACAACTAGGGAAACAATTTAGGGAAACGCCCTCTTAAGGTACAAGTGTCTGAAAATATTCTTAAGAAGACTTTGCAAAAACATTTTATTCATGAATCAAGGACAGGGCATCGTATTTCTCTATGATAAACGTACAGGCATCGACCCCACACATGTTTTCTGGGATGTAAATAGATCTTGTAACAATCTGATAGTAACATGGTGTAAGATTATTATCGGCCCCTTCGGAGCACGGGCCCCGAACCTTTTGCTCCTCCTAACCACACTCCTTTTGACGCTGTTGCCCAGGACAAGATAAACTTTACGGCACTCGTTTGAAGGTTTGGCGGGGGCAACTGAGCAAAACTAAGAAAACAGCCTGAAAAACAAATAATTTTCCATTTGGGATTTTAATAATTACTTTTGAATTGGTAAGATATCAGACCGAAATATGATAAACGAGCAAATATTTAACACAATAGACATAAAAGATCAACCAGAAATAGCGAAAATATGTACCAGACATCAGAGGTTATCTTTGAGATAAGGGCTAAAAAAAGCTGCTTATAGAAAGGACAAAAAGAATACGTTTCCGTGTGGAAAAGATAATACTTTTTTAGTTTCACTTTGTTTTACCTATGGCCTCGTTTCGAAAATTACCCTAATAGCACAAATTTTGGTCTAAATACCGATTTTCATCCCCTTATTGCTGGGGTGATTGTAAGATAAATTGTGAGATGCGTGGGTTTATTGTAAGAAAAATTATAAGAAAAAGATACATTGTAGGGAATTTGCCCATGAAAACGTACGAAGGTCCAGAGTTTTGCCGGGTGGAAGAGCAAACTTCTGTTCTAGAGAGAAGGTGCATTTTCGGGTTCCCCGTGGGGGTTTGAGGGATGGGGTTATAAAGGACTGTATGTGTAAGCAATTGTCGGATGAATAAACTGAACAGGCAAACACGGATAAATAATTCCGCAACACATGATTCACACTGGATATCACACTGAATCAACTGTTTCTCCGTTCAAATGGAAAATAAAGGATGATATGATGCCATTACTTCCCAGTCAGAATTATTCATTTTAACAAAAGAGAAATGAGTTCACGAGAGAGCATTCAATAAAACCACGCCGTGCAGGATCCACATCGACAAAGAGTCATGACTTGCCAATAAGTTAAACTCAAAAAATTGCAAAACGACCGTTTTAATATTAATGCTTTTCATGGTAATGACTGAAGACATATTAAGAAGAGTTTAGCCAGAACTAAAAAGTGTTTCCGGAGGCTCGAAAAAGATGCAAACACCGGACTTTAATGAATTGAATTCAAATATCAACAATTCGGTACAGATATTGCTAGACAAATTGTAAACTCCAGTCTGGCCATTTGGTCAGCTAACAAACGTTATTATTGAATTACTGGTTTTTCAAAGCCGCAACTTTCTGCTGTTCAAGCAGACCATCACACACAAAAAATTAAATCAAATATATTACGTAATTCTGAAATTTGCCGAGATCTCGTTTGAGTTTATGGTGGCGAGTCCCTTAAAAGCGGGAATTCTTAATGATATGTAAAGACGTCGTTGTAGATCACAACCTTTGAAATTTTTACCACCATTTTCCGGATAAGCATGACTTTCCCTAAAACTTTTAAAAAGTTTCTCAATGCGTCAGCCCCGGTGGCACCTGGCTCTTGTAAAAGAATTTTAGCAGATAACTTACGATTCGCTGCTGCAAAACAAATCTTCGAATAGTTCCTTGCGTATTGCATCGTATTCTGTAATTTCGATGTCTCCGGTCGCATCCATTGCTTGAAGTAATAGGTCCTCTTACATGCATTTGACCATATGATACGGGCCACATATAGAAATTGCTCGATTTTCAAGCATGACACGCTAGATGATTTCCGCGATGTTTTTGCGCTTCAATGCTCATGATTGTTCCTTGTACATTGAAATACACTTCACGTTCTTAGGCGTATTATGCAAATTGTATTGTGCGGCGAAAAACATTTTCTTTGATTAACAAGATTATGAATCGTGTGACACAATCAAATCAGCCATCCCCCGTCATAAAAGCTACTAGTAGGGTTAACTGTCGATTTCCACTCCAACAACACGGGGGAGTATTTGTACAGCCTTTTTGAGGCTTCCAGTCTAATATACAAAATTACAAGAAACATTGCTATCCACATTGCCCGCAGAGGGGAAAGAATGATGTTGGTTTAAAGGAAAGATTTACGGCAAATCCACCCTGGGCTTCAGCGTTGGCTATGATTCAAATATGACCACTTTTCCAGGGTGATGCAACCACTAGATATGGTAAGGTTCTTCCAAGATTTCAAAAAGCTTTCAATTTCAATGATTTCATAAATATCTGGATATGCTTTAACACAGTGTTCTTGGCAAAACAACAATTAATTTATAATTACAAATGAAAAGAGAAAGCACCTTTCTCTATTAGGAAATTTCACGGTTTGCGAAAGTTATTAGAGGTTTCCAACTGGATTTCTCGGGGATTTCTCCTTTACCCATCAAAGGCTCACAGCCAACAAATTGAATATGGCTTGACTGAAAAATCTACTTTCAGATTTAATATCATGAATCTTTTTATTTCAAATTATGAATAAACATTTAAATTGCCTGTTTCTTGTGTATTGTCTTGATGTTTTAAAGAATGGGAGCCAGTTTGACTGGATTAAAATATTCATTAAAGGATTAAAGGGTAGAATCCTTGAACGTGTGTAATATTGCTAGCGTGTATCATGAAAGACAGCTGAAAAGATCACAAGGCAGATCATGAAAGACTAAAAGAATGGAAGGAATTTCAAGAGAAATGTAGAGATTCGGCACAAAGAGGGTAACGTCAAAATCTTTTTACCCTCCCAAAATAGGAAATTAACAAGATTGTTATTCAGTGTTTCATCAAGTGAAATCTATCTAAAAATTACTGCAAGTGAGCGATCTGATTTTCTCAAAAGAGGTATCTAATTGTGTCAATATGGGAAATAATGTTTGCAAAATTATTGCTACGAGATCATCAACATAGAAGTGAAAACCTCTTGGTTAGGATCATGCTAGTTTTTGTAATACAGTTACTGTGCGCATACCATATGAATGCTTGAAGATTTTTGGTATTTATGCTTATGCTAGGTCAGATAAAGAGCGTTGTATTTTTATAGCTCTAAGAGGGATGACTTCCAAATGAAATTCGTGTCCAACAAAAGAACGAAACTTGAAACGGATAGATGCAATGGTTGCCAAAAACAGTTGGAACTCAACAACAAGTCACTCTGTCAATGCTTAATTTAATTGAATGAAGCAAAAGCCTGATACGCTGATCGTTAAAAAAGCAATGTGACAAGGGTAATGACTTTTGTCTAACTGGAGATGAATCTCATTTAGGGGTAGCAAAGCGGAAACTCAAGTGCGGGATATGAAAATGGGATTGAGAAAGAATAACCGGAAATGCTTCCAGAGGTTTAAAGAAAAATCATGGAAATGTGAAATAACTTGCCCTGGGTTATCTTTTCTGACCAGTAGAAAGCTCAGTTATTACATCATAGTGTTCTGGCGGGATAAAGAAGGAATAAAAAAGTAGTGCTCTTTATGCAATACATGACTAAATGCTGAATGATTACAATCTCTGTTGTATATTTCAGTAAGAAAAACGCCTACAGATATTTAGTTGACAGGCAAGGCCAGTTTTTAAACCACATTAGATTTTTATTGGTGGTTTTGGGCGGATTGCGTAATCGTGTTGAGGTTGTGGTACAACCAGGATTCCTAGATTTGCAATTTCAGGCAAAATTTTCCAATCTAGATAGAGTGTAAAGATTTCGATTTTAATTTCAGCTACTCTACATATTACTGAAAGTCGCTTTGCAATTCCTTACCATAACGTGTACATTTTGGCTCAGTTTTTGTTACTTTGTTTGTTACTTTTACCAAAATTCTTCAATTGGGCGCTTATCGATGACTTGAAAATAGTTTCATGTCCTTTTAGATGGACTTCGAGTAAGACTTCGAATGAGCGATTCAATTTCATACAAGTAGTAGTTATTGCAAAATTTGGTTAACAAAGGTCACTTTCTATAAAACAAGAGCCTGTCTAATTTCCTTGCCTATTAAAATAACCCAGAATTAACCTTGATATCAAAGAAACTATATAATAGAATTGGATAGCTGATAACAGATGCTAAACAGGGAATGAGGATGATGTCATTCAATTCAGTAGTATTTGAATAAGACCTGGTAAAATCGAAAACAAACATCAAAAGGCTAGAACGTTTGAAATGATAATCTTTCGAGCTAATAACATCTTAACATGGCTCCACTTCCAGATTGCCGCTTATGATTCTGAATAAATGCCTTAGCAGAGAATTATGTTTTCTTAGGAAGCTTTTGTTGGATGAGTGTCAATGGAGCATTAAAAGACTCTGTGACCATCTGAGGAAATTGCAAAGGGGGCGTGGGGGCTAAAATGGAATTCAGAAGGTTATAAATATCCCAGAAATCATTGCTGTTCTCTACTTCATATTAAGATGAGATGAGAGGAAAGATGTGGAGGGAAGATGAGAGCTGTGGGAGCCAAGCAAGAATGATGTTTACAAGGACACGCCCATTAGAAGTCAAAAACACCCATTTGGGAACTTCCGGTCAAAAAGGAAACGAAATTAAATTAAAATCATTTGCATGTTTCGGAAAGATGAGCAAGACAGCAGCAATATTTTGCCAACAAACGCCTCTATTAAAATTATATTCAAACAATCTTCTTGTGGTTTAGAATTTAAAAATGGCTTTGAAAAATACAAACATTTTGATACAGCTTGTTTATTATGTACGTTGCGTGTGGTACTTCATCCAGAATAACGACAATATAGTCAGCAAATAAATTTAGTACCAAAATGAAAATATAATAGTTTGATTGTTAAAAACACAACGTTTCTAACATGTACTCGTTATCAAGTGTCTAGAAAAGAAACGAGCCGAGCAAAAAGAAGGCGAGATTCGATATATAGAAAAGAATGCGAGATGCAACGTAACCGAAAAAAACTGAATAAGGGAATGGGAAGAAAGTAAGAAAAGAGAAGGAAATAGATATAAAAAGAAATCATCGAAGGAAATTAAAATGTTTATTAAAACCATTAGGATAAAGAGTTTTTAGGCTTAAAATTAAACCTTTATAGCTTGTTTATCAGTATGTTTCAAAATTTTTCAATTTTCAAAGTCTTTTATAAAATTATTTTCTTACAGACAAAGATATCCGAATTTATAGAAATATTTGACATTCATTGCTTTGATATTCAAGAATCCTTCCCCTAACTTTCTGAAGTTTTTTAAAATTGATCACATTTAAGAGTTTGTCTTTAGAAAACACGAAATATTGTTGATTATGAAAGAATATTAAGCTACTGTAAAAAACGATCAGAGAATTTTAATATGTTAATCCTAACATTAAAGAAGATCGCCGTGGTTAGCAAAAATTTAGCAGAAAGTATGAATTTAAAAATTGAAGAAAAAATGGTAGAAAGTTGATAAGATAGCAAAGAAGAAAGTTAAAGAATAAATTTTTGATGGTACAAGATGTAAACGGCTTTGAAAAAAGGAAAAAAATTTTCACCCTAAAGCTTTGCGGCGGACATTCCTCAGAGTAGGAAAAGATCAGAATAAGGGCCGAAAAATACATTTCGCTAGTACAGAGACCAATTAAACTATTGACCACTCTCTTACGCAAAAGTTTTGTACGATATGTATCTATAGAATAAGTTCGGTTCTTTCTCGTTAGGCAATAAAACAGTAGACAAAAAGGAAATATCCAAAGACGGGTCTGTCCCCTATCACTTTTTTCCTCGTTCGCGTGTTTCACGAAATTAAAAAATGCATTTTCAAAAATATAGAAAGAAGGGCTGTTAGTTTTGATTTGTAGCAAAAGAACGGGAAAATCAAAATTTATTCAAAAAACTTCCTTATTTAGCACAAAGGTAACTGCGGATAGCAGTTTTTCCATGCGTACTTGAAGGAGCGTACATGAAGGAGCGTACATGAAGGAGCGTACATGAAGGAGCGTACTTGAAGGGCCGTACAATAGGCATGGGTACAAGTCGAGGGACGATTTTTCGACAGCAAATATTCTTATCAGAATCCAAACAGCATGATCGCTTTGGCGGTCGATGTTGACATTAAACGTTGCCTTGTAGGTATCAGATAGAAGATTTCTAAATACGGTTAGGCAATTGTAGACTTGCACTTTGATGAAACGCAAATATTGTGCTTTGCATTGGTGATTTGCATTGAAGTATCCATGCTACTGAAAGTCCCCACCCTCGTGCTAATCAAATAACGTAAATTAATTTCGGTGTAGCAACTGAATTCTGAAGACTTTATTTGATGTCTTTAACGCAGCTTTGTAAGTTCCCAAGTCAGCAGTGACGTAACGGAGGCATCTGGTGTGGCTCCTATTTATGGACTGGAAGAAAGTCCCTGCCAACGCTGTAGAGCATGCCAAACTCAATAGCGAAATATAAAATTTGAAATGATTCTTCTTAACTTTGAGGAGCTTGATTAAAAGCGTTAAACTGTTGCTGCTCGAATTAAATATCATCATCATTGTCATAATATCAAATAAAGGGCAGTGCTTTTGGAAGACCTTCCAGTGCTAGGAAATAAATTTTGAGAAAAATGAAATGGAGGTATCAAATGGGGTTGCATGCAAAATGAAATAGGTGATCAAGACTCATTTAAAGGAAAAAGAGACGCAACTCTTAATTAGATTAGTAGTGACCACTTTTATGTATGCTTAAGGTTAAGGCAGTGATGGGTTTTCACAACCAGCAACTTTTACAAGCCGTTAACTACCAACACTGCCTGCTGTGCCAGTGCTCCTGAGAGCAAGATATTTGGGAAAAGCAGTTACAGATGCTGCTAATCTTCAAGGAAATTTGCCGTTTGAATATCTAAAAGCCAGGCTGGTATGATTATAAGAAATCCTGTTTTGATACAAAGGATTTAACAGAGTGTTATGCCTGCTAAAAATAGTGTCGACTGAAACCACGATTGGGATAATTTTAGATGCAATTTAAGAACACAAAGGAAACAGCCATGATAGAGAACAAAGATACTCCTCCAACTGCACACCTATTGACATTGAAATGCCAAAAGACCCTCGACTCTGAATAAGCAGTATGCGCTGTTTTGAATGAGATTATAAATATGTTGGGTCTAGAAATCCAAACGGCAAAAAACACATCATGAAAACCGAGCAGCAAGCTGGTACAATTCGAAAAACGATGGATCCTAGAAAGATAACGATTATACAGAACATATTATAAACATTGCACAGACCCTTTGCCCATATATAAATGGCATTTTCAAAAAGGCTTTGCCCTGACATAAAGAGATTGTCAAGCTGCCGTTCCTTATATCAAAAGGGACAGTTGCTCATACCATATCAATCTCTAATGATAGGCTCTGGTACCACGGGTATAGCGATAGTTTAGTTGGTAACAAAAAGAGACAGAGATATAGAGAGAAACGAGAAAGCGCGCGCGTTATGTATTTAAGCGGAGTAAAGGTAGATCTCTTTGACGTCTACGAATTAGATCATTGTTTATAAAACGTAAATAAATGGTGTTTTACGGGGCTGTAGCTGGGATAGTGAAGCAGAGATGCGAGGACGATGAAAAGGCTGTGATACAACTAGGGCTCTCCAGACTTGTCTTTTCAGGCCAAATTTTCCAACTTTGGCTTTCTCCAGTGTTAAAATTGCCAAAAAAAATTTGCTTTTGGCCTACAACTAAAATTTGACCTCTTTCAGTAGAAATTTTGAGGACATTAGTTTGTTTTATATATACGTAAACACCCTAAGTAGAAACAAAATTTAAATTGAAAAAGCAATACTGCAAGTATTAAAAACAAGCCTAACGATGGGCAAAGAAATTTTTTTTTTTAATTAAAAAAATTCTCAATTTCTTGTTTGAGCTTGGGAAATTCGACTTAGTCTAAATTGATTAAGTCGAAATTGATTAAGTCGAAAGCCATTAAGTCGAAAGTATGTGAGTCGAAAGCCATTAAGTCGAAAGTATGCAAGTCGAAAGCCATTAAGTCGAAAGTATGTAAGTCGAAAGCCATTAAGTCGAAAGTATGCAAGTCGAAAGCCATTAAGTCGAAAGTATGCAAGTCGAAAGTCATTAAGTCGAAAGTATGTAAGTCGAAAGCCATTAAGTCAAAAGTATGTAAGTCTAAATTGATAAAGTCGAAAGTATGTAAGTCGAAAGCCATTAAGTCGAAAGTATGTAAGTCGAAAGCCATTAAGTCGAAAGTATGTAAGTCGAAAGTCATTAAGTCGAAAGTATGTAAGTCGAAAGTGATTGAGTCGAAAGTCTGGCAATATATACTATGCTTAGGCCGTTACCCGGCACTACAACTGGAAAGCCTCCATAAAATTGAGAATGACCGTATACAAATTAAAGTATACTTTAATACAGTATAGTTGACATGCACCCTTTCCGTATTATTTAATTATAGCAGTTCTAGAAGTGTGACGTCATCTAGTTCATCTTCCTTCCTTTTATGATTGCGAATACAAATATAGTGTGGTGTTTTGGTTATCTTCTTTCGTTATCTTCTTGGTTATCTTATATAATGATTATCTTCTTTCGGGCTCGCTCTATACTTGACAAATTAGCAGCTTAATTTGGCTAAATGCTTTGAAGCTGTATCGGGTCCTTTTTTCAAAATGCAGCTGCTTTTGAGTTCAGGCTAAGATAGAAAACTCGTCTTCTCCTTAAACTAATGACTTTATTGTGCATTTAAAAGGTTTAAAGATTTTATCGGAATGATATGACAGGTTATACATAAACTAATGAGGGCACTTCTTTTCTTGTGGTCTCTTTTGCGATCGATATCACAGTTTTGGCTTCGTCTCGGATACGAAGCAACATTTTACGAAAAATGCTCTGATTAACGAACACAAGATCTCACAGCGTTTTCAAAGAAAAATGAAGTTCTGTTGTGAGATATCATGATATAGTGAAAAGCCCAGAAAGCGGATACCTGCGTAAAAGTTAAGTCACAATTAGGGAGGCATTAGTTATCAGAATGTTGCTTGAACGTTACTTGAATGTGGCTTGAATGTGGCACTGGAAAGAAAACTTGCGACAAAATAAAATATGTCTCCTGTCATGGGAGATGTTAAGCATAAGCAAACAAAGACGTTACACCTACTTGGTTGGTCTTGATGTAGGCCTACTTCGTGGAGGTGGCATCTAAGACAAAGTTTTAGTACGATTAAATACATCTTGCATTTCGAATACCTCACTGGGTAAACACAGCTTGATTCAGGAGCACCCCTGCACAGCATAAAATATTCAACAAAATCTCTAAAGAAAATAGTAACCAACTGCTTTATATTGAAATGAATTAAGTTTCAAGATGTATTGAATTCTGTTTACCGTGATACAAGATAGCCTTTACAGTACATAGTTACAGAAAGCTCGAGCCCCCTGATAAGGTTTTTTACATTCCCCTGGAACCTTCACTAGGCCCCCTTTCCACTTCAGTCTTTTTGTTCGCACACGCTCGCAATGTGAATCTCCTGATCTAATTGGCTACTTGATGGAAGGATCACAGCCTACTATCAACGCGAGCGAAATGTCTGCCTGCTTAAAGCGATCTCAAAATACGTATGTGCGTACACAGAACGATTGAAGTTGAGGTGTGCGTGCCCTACATTTTCCATTCATCTAAATTCATCTCTGGAAAAACCAGTTGAGTCTACGCGCAGACTACCAGAACACCTTCGAGCCCACGACAGATCGAAACTTCTTAGCGCGAAAAACTTTAATCGCTTTTTGGAGGTCCAAGTTACTGGGATAATAGTGTATCATGTCTAAAAGTTTCATTCCACTTGGAAGGATTATAAACATTACATCTACATATTGACACATAGTTTACAACTCTTTATCTTAAGAGGTCTTAAGTTGGAAAGAGAATATTAAGCGAGTCGAAACTATGAAATTAATAGGCATTCTCTTTAAGAATAATTACTAGGCTTTTTACAGATTTAGATTGTGTCATTGGGGGCAAATTGCTGTCATGAATTTATGGAATACGTACCTCTTGATTTGGCTCTGGAACTGGTGTTCTTTCTGTAAAAAAGAAAAAACAAGTTGATGATAAAGAATTATGAAGAATTAAAGAATTAAAAAAACATGTCTTTAAATCAGCACGTAAAATAAATGTTCTCTTGTGATATTTTACCAATGCATAAAAGGCACGAAAAAATAACTAAAAGAGGATTGCTTAGCACAAAACAAAAAAGTTCAACCATAGTCACAGAGCGATCAAACCAATAGCCTTCAACAAAACTAAGATCAAAATGGAAGCGATTGAGGTTACACCTACTATTTTATATAAAACGATGTAAAATCATAGTGTTTCTAAATATTTTACCGCATTTTGGCACAAAAACTTCCCAATGGCTTTCCAAACACGAAAACCAGACATATTTGGTATAAAAATTGTTTTATAGCAATGAGCGCTGCAGCAAGTACGAATAGCTTTGAAATAATTCATTTGCTGGCCTATGTTACATAGACTTTTTTCCAGTTACAATACACTAGCAATATCGCTAGAGACTGAAAATCATACTTTAACCATTCCCAGTCTGACGGGAACTGTCGACTTCTTGGCAGTTCCAGAAAAACCCAAGCACTATAAAGACAATCTGGCGAATCCTCTTTCCTACTGGTTAACTTCAATCTGCATCCAGGTATAAACTTACGGTGATATTCTGGGCATCAACCGGCGTATTATTCAAAGAAGCGTTGTTCGATGTGAACCTTCTAATACCGGATACAGTAGTGTCCCGTATATGAGAAACAAACATTTAAGAAACATAGACCCTGATTTTCAAAATAATACCCCATTTTGAAGCCAAACACTTGTATAAGATAGTGTATACACAGTGCTGATTGTCATACTTAGGTGATATAATTTGTATCACAATCATAGAGGTCTTGTCTGAGCAGTTAATCGATAGAAAATGGTTTTTCTAATAAGAAACTTTACCCTGATTCAAAGTTTATATCATTTTATATGAAAAAAGTCAGACCTGAAACTGAATACGTTTTTTCTTTTATGTGACACACTACTGAACTTAATACCGGATAATTTCTACCGGATACCTTACAACCAATTTCTTTACCATGATAAACTCCTTGCTCACAACCTCTCGTTAACAGATCATTCCTACATCAAACCGTAAATAACGTCTCATAAGTTTACGTTATATAAGAGCTGGCTTTCATTTTTGGAACAAAATAGAAACATGTACACAAAATGTCTAAGCTTTCTCTTGTCGTCCAAAATTTTCCAGAACTCCAAGACCTTATTGTTTAAGACATTTTGCACAACTCCAAGAATTATTCAAATATCATCAATTTTTTAGGATGTTCAGAACTCCAAGACATTTTTGTTTGAGAAATTTTGCACAACTCCAAGAATTATTCAAATATTATTAATTTCTTAGAATGAGTTAAGCTAATTATCTTCTTTTTCTAAGAATAATTTATCAAACACCTGTGCAGTTGGTAGCTCGAGTTTTGTATAAGTAAAGCATCAAAAGTGGTTTTAAATTTCAAAGCAGAAACAGTCGAGAAGCATGAATTAGCTTACCAAAAGCCCATGCATTCAAAGGACAGAACAGCGAGTAATGAATTTTTCAAAAGCCTCCTTAAGAAACTCCAAAAATTAAAGATCAAATCACAGCTGCCAGGATATCTTATGATTTGAGGATGGATAAAAACCAAAGGAGATGAAATTCTTGGTCAACCGGATCAGAGTTTCTAGAAATAAGCTTGGTTTCATAGTGAGAGGTGCAGAGCTATCAAATATAAACTGAAGTTATGAAGATATAGCATTACACATAGCTGTCAAATTATGTAAAAGGAATGTGGAGAAGTGCTTATTTAAATCTGTGAGCATTAGGAAGAGGATTTAAAAGATCAAAGTAAAGGTCTTGAACAGAGTCTGCCAAGCTCTAGAAATACATTAATATGAAAAACTGATATAAAAAAACATTTTGGCTCCATATCCTTTCCTTTGCGCCAGACGCATTTATACATGCAACCGAATATACTGGAAGTTACTGGAAGCTAGGTAGCGTTGTCATCGAATTTCATACATTTATTTTCTTCATAAGAAACTTCGCCAAAAAAATATTGGACGAAAAGGGAAAGTAAAGAATCTTCAGTACTCGAAGCAAAAAACAACGAGAAACAAAAGAAATAACTCAGAAGTCCAAAATTCCACGAAAATCCAGCAATATGATAAGCTAGGTGGCATAAAAATTTAAAAATCGAGGAAAGATGTGGGACTGAAAAGAATATACTTCCCTTAACTAAGTAAAGCATTAGAATGGACGCAAATCTCTTGACAAAAATGTCACAAGCATTTGAAAAGAAATAGACACATTGAAGAGTATTGCCAGTCTTTACAGCTTAGAAAATCTCTCCAGCAAGGTTATATGTATGGGAAAAGCTATATAAATGAAAAATTAAATGTAGGACCCAAAATTATACAATTAATGACTCGCAAGAAACATTTAGTTTTGAAATTTTCAAAGCATTAAGAAACTGAAGTACTCAACATTGGCCTTTGTTTCATATAAAAATCAGAAAAACTTTGGTTTCAATAAAAATATCATTCTGTCCCAGCCCTGCATTCATTTGATATTTGAGAAGTAAAGTGACGTTTCTTTTTCATGCTTCCTAGCACGGACTTAGTGTCTTACAGTTACCTTAGTGGCACGAAAATTTATTGGCTGTCAAATTTGGCACCTGACAATAGTGGTTTACTGGGCCCCTAGATGTAATTTGAATTGTCTTAAACAGTGTACAGCAACAAATTTGAAAAATGCAGCATTTTCACTCTTAAGGCTCACATGGTATTTGTGTCATTCGTACAAACATGAAGTCATTCCTTAACCTTGCGGTACAAATTTACTCATAATTAGTACTCAGTTTCTCAATTATTTTGTTGAATTCAGTATTCGGGGATGTCTCGTAAATTTCAAATGCTATAGAGCTGCAATTTATAAACAAAAACACGTAGCATAAAATGAAACACCTAAGTAATGGTAATATCTTTTTCTTTTCATTGCTTATGCTAATCAACAAGGAAATAGGTGCCAAATAGACGAAAAGGTAAATGCGTGTATGTGATGAGAAAACAAGGCAAATGTGTGTATTAGATGACCAAACAAGGCAGATGCGTGCATGAGATGACCAAACAAGGCAAATGCGTGTATGAGATGACCAAATAAGGCAAATGCGTGCATGAGATGACCAAACAAGGTAAATACGCGTATGAGATGATCAAACAAGGCAAATGCGTGTATGAGATGACCAAACAAGGCAGATGCGTGCATGAGATGACCAAACAAGGTAAATGCGTGTATGAGATGACCAAATAAGGCAAATGCATGTATGAGATGACCAAACAAGGCAAATGCGTGTATGAGTTGACCAAACAAGGCAAATGCGTGTATGAGTTGACCAAACAAGGCAATGCGTGTATGAGGTGACCAAACAAGGCAAATGCGTGTATGAGATGACCAAACAAAGTAAATGCGCGTATGAGATGACCAAACAAGGTAAATGCGTGCATGAGATGACCAAACAAGGCAATGCGTGTATGAGATGACCAAACAAGGTAAATGCGCGTATGAGATGACCAAACAAGGCAAATGCGTGTATGAGATGACCAAACAAAGTAAATGCGCGTATGAGATGACCAAACAAGGTAAATGCGTGCATGAGATGACCAAACAAGGCAAATGCGTGTATGAGTTGACCAAACGTGGCAAATGCGTGTACGAGTTGAACAGACTTTGCCCATGCATTACAAACAAATTTCTAAACCTAGTTTGGGATAGGCAACGGGTCATATTCCGTTCAGCATCAACGAATAACGTTTATAATACGTTTCCTCTTTAAGGAATCAAATTGTCTAGTTTATTAAAAAAGGTTATCTACCACGAAATTTCTACCAGCATTCTTTCGTTTTGAATTTTGAATTTAATTACCGTTTCGCCGTGCTGCACTTCCAGATGATTGCGTCTTGGGGCGACCCTGAAAATGGAACAAGCAAAATAGTGAAGAAGATAAAAACAATAATAAAATCACCCCAAAATCGGGTTGGCCCCATATCAAATACAAAACGACATTCTGTTAAGACCCCACAGGCTGCTAAGTGATTCCACTTCTTTGAAGATAAGGATTTCACACAAGGTTATACCTAAAATAAGTCTGTGTAATTAAGTTAATGCTTGAAATTTTTTTGAGGTTTCCTACTTGCGGTGAAACTGCCGGACAGGGCGACACCATACTGATAAACCTAACTACACAGAACGTCTGAGACACTGGCAAAATAAAAAAATTGAATATCACCATCGAAGACTAAGTTCTTTTATGGATATAAATAATCAATATATTTAAAAGAACTCTAAGGGGGGTATGACCTTGGTTAGAGCCTACAAAGATTATTTGAAGCTAGCCACGATAAGAACAGAAACCACTCTGGATGCATTGATGTTCTAGAAGAATGCCTGGTTGAAACAGGCCATTATTGTTGAATTGATGTAGAGGGTAGATGAAAAACAATGATTGATATAATCATTACGAATGTAAAAAAAACTTGTTAAGGAAAACTTACACTTCGGGAATTCAAGTCAGCTCTCACGGAACTCCTGGAGCTCAGTTCTTGGAGAAGAAACAAGCAAAGTTATGCATACGACCATTTTAAATTTACAAAATAGCTACGATATGTCAGTCAGTGACGCCCGCTCAATGGCAAAACATTTCGGCGTTTTCTTGGTTTTCAAAGGGTGTGGACCCACCATTTTCCCTCGCTCAACCTGCCTTTGCCCCCTCCCCCCCAATAACACCGCACTGGCTACGCTACAGATAACAGAAGCATTCGAAATTGATTAGCCAAACCAATTTTACTGCAGATTCGCATCGAAAACAATCATAGTACTGCAAGAAAGTTTATGTCAGTAATCCGGTCAAATTGAATACTTCAGTAAAGCTTCCCTTTAGAATCACTTCCTAGTTATTTATTCTCTATCAGTTTTGATGTCAAATCAACACATTAAATTTTACTCCAATTTAGCAATACCAATTTCAATATTAAAGCCAACCTAAAGGAAAGCGCTGCAGTGAAACGTATACAAAAACGTCATTGATATTACAAAACTTTCATACATTTATGTTTTGTTTTCATGACCCTATAGAGTTCTCAGTAAAATTACAGCAACGCTAAAGTCTGTGCCAAAGTATCAAATTTTAAAGGAATTTTTAAATCTTATATGAAAAGCCAGCATTATATTTAGCGGCCATAGTTTCGGTCGAAAAAGGCGGGTTAGCGGTTTTTCCAATTCATCTCGTGCTCGTTTATGAAAATAATTTAGCTGTCTCCTTATAAATTCACTTCAATAACAAGATATGGTTACTGAAAAAGCTAAAAACCCTGTTTTACAAATACTTGTGTTGAAATTGATGCTTGCTAATGAGATAAAACATTCTAATATTTTTGTCTCTTGTAGTGAAAAGCTTCTTACGCCCATCAAATTCTTAAGTCGGCGTCTATAAGCTATATTGGTGGAATGAATAAGCATTTACATCAGGAAAAACATTGTTTCGTTATCCCTTTGAGGCTTTGCAGGCGAAAATGAATTTGTGAATCAGAGAAAACGGAATCATTGCCATAAACCCTTTCAATCAGTAGCAGGTTTGAAATATGAAACTTAGTTATGAATTAGAGCAAGGAAGGGTAAGGGGGTCTAGTATAATGTGCAAAAATTGAAAAACATCTCACTACCTTCTATTGCTGTAAGCTTCGAGTGCCCCCTTGGTGTGACTGGGCGAGTGAGGGGTTTCTCTTGAGTGAAGGGAGAAACATCTCCAAGCGCCTGGAGTGAAAATTACATTATATAAGATTCGATAATAAAAAGCTTTTGGTGTTTGTCGTATTTTCATTACAACGTGGGGATGTACAATTTTACATTGCCATAACACTTGTAAGTCAGGACAATATTTATCAACTATTACAATAAGATTAATTAATATTTAATAAAAGTGAATAGTTCAATTTAATACGAATAGCTTAAGGAGCTCACACTTAGGCCTAAGATGCAGTAATTTATATGAAATATACTTTTGTGCTGCAATTAACGATACACAGATAACAGAAGAACAGCACAGTACTATACCTTTGAATCAAAGTTTGTTGAGACAGAAATTGAAGACAGTACCTTGAAAGAAAAAAAGGGACAATAAAAATTGTATTGAAGCCTGAAAAACAGCATATAATAAAAAATCTATTTATTGCATTATATGTAAGTAATTCTAAGAATTATGCATGGGCAGAGGTAATGAACTATGCTTTGGTATGTATAGCGAGACCGTTTCACATAACAACTCCGAAGTTAACGCTAAATGCGAGAATGGAGTTGTCTGTATCATTAGGTACAGAGCACTGTGAAATAGATCGATGTCTCCAATACTTTATATTTCTATAGAGCTGTACATATCAAAATTAGAATAAAATCAAACAAGTTTTCTTCAACATATCTTCGAAGGAAAATGATTTCTTAGTTCACAGTGAATTTGGAGAAAGGGTAATGCAATACGAAAGAAGGAAAGATACTAGGAGGAAAATTGATTTTATTTTAATATATCTTAAAGGAATTGAGAGCAGATTTTAAAAGGCTAAAAAATAAACGAGAGGCTATTTCATTAGGACAAGTATCAGAGTATCAGATGCGAACGCAGGCTTTGTCCTATGAGAAAAGTTGTTCGGGAGATGAATCATGCCCGTCTTCCAGACATGCACTAGTCCCCGTTTCAGGGTTATGGCACATGCGCAATATCACTCGAAGCTCTGGTGGAAAGTTCAAGAGTTGTATGGTCACAGACAGAACAGCTGTACGAATACTGCTATTAATGCGCATGTGCTTTGATCCTGCAACACTGACTGGTTTAAGACGGTATTGTTTCGAAACAAAGGACTGAAGACCGGTTTCATTTGACCGGTTTCATTTGACCGGTTTCATTTTGTACCGTATTAAAATGAGCACGGTTAGGACTTCCATTTACACGGGACTCGTCGGAGCCGTTCCAAATGGAACTGCTAGCCGTACCAAAACGGGATCGCCTAGAACAAACGTCCCATCTGGAACCGTTCCAAACTTCTCGTGTAAGCGCAGCCGAAATAAGCCAGTGCTAGCGATTCATCAGTACAACCTCAATCAAAAAGTTACAAAAATCTCAATGAGGACTGTTTTAATTTTGCAAATATTTGAGCTCCTTACCCCAAGGTACTGTGCGGAGAGCAGTTGCTCTCCAAATAATTCTCCAAGTTTTGCGATTTGCACTTCTTCCTCATCGAGTTCAGCATCCAAAACATCACCTTCCTAAATTTCATTAAATGAAATTCGAAAAACAGAATCAACATCATTTTCAAACCTTCTGTTAGAAATTAATATTTAAGAAGAGTGCGTGTAATGGCTTGTAAACAATAATGACCCATGAATAATCTCAAAATTCTGAGAAATGAGCCGGCAATCGATTTTACTCTCAATCTAACGCAAGGCATTGGCAATACACAATTTCTTGCAGTGCTCTAAAAATCATTTTTCATTCTTGCAATTTTTTAAGTTTTATTGATTAAATAAATCATTGAATGAAACATTTTAACTCTGGACAAGTATTTTTATAACCTACAATCAGCAAAAAATATACATTGATAAAAAATTTTCTCAGAACTTTTTATATAATTTTTATTTTTGGCAATCCATGTATATTTTGGGCAGGTCCTTTATTGATAACAGCACGTTGTTGCTGACCAAAGTTAACCTGTATAAATATGATATTATTATTATTATTATTATTATTATTATTATTAACTGGTGAAGATTACCTCATCATCATCTTCGTCTTCTTCTTCATTGTCAGATTGTGGATCATCTGTCGCAGATTTGTCAACTGCAAATTGAAACCAGTTTCCGTTACAATGTTATTTCATCATAAGGCTACGGGCAGGCAATTTTGTGCATTGGCATCCAAAGTATAAAAAACCCAAGCTTAAATGATGGCAGTATTACCCATTACCAGTGGCGGAACGGGCAAAAGTTGCTTCTAGTTAGGAAACTAAGGTCCGCCAACCTTTAAGGGCCCCAAACCAGAAGGGCCCCCAACCTTTAGGGGCCCCCGGTAAAAATGTTTTCTATGTTATTTTACTATGAAGCAGGAATTCTGGAAGTGATAAGCAATTTCAACGAACCCCAAGCCTGCATGATATCCCATTTAAATTGAGTCTGTTGACAAGCATTTTTTGTTTTGTCTGTATTGTTTTACAAATGCTTAAAATCGTTGCGCCCAAAACTGAAAAATTCCTAGGAGCCCGTCTGTATCCGCTACTTCGCTGCCAAACGCCAGTTTTTAGCGCAATGAAAGCATCCTGAAACCCCTCTCAAAGCTCTACTTTTAAATGAAAAGACGAAAACAATGAGATCATGCTTGATATTTAAGAGTTGGACCAAAATACCAGAAGCTAAAAAGAATTTGCTTCGAAGTTGAAACGCAAAGGACATATGACTGTTGTAAGTTAACCTTTTTCTGTATATAATATTTTGTTATATCACAACAGAAGGTGAAATTGTGTGTTTATATAAAAAAAGGATTGCAAAGTTCTTTACAAAGTTTGTAAACTGCCATGAATTCTTATCTCTATGTAAAGGAAATTGTGGAAAAATCTTTGCAGCTTAAAATTTTGCGGATCGTAACCGTAGAGATATTATCGACCTCAAATCTTCTTTACATAACAGCTGCCTTTCACAGCATTTTCTATTCATTATTACGTCAATAGTCGCTTTCAATAAAACAGACTATTGGTGGTTAATATTTTGGTTAGTCGTTAGTCGAAATGTTAAACAAAGCAGGCGGCATATTAACTATGAATGAGAACTGTAATACTTTAAAAATTTACTGTGGATAAGTAAAATTATTGTCATTTCTCGGATTACATGGATGGGCATGTCAATTCCAAAAAAAACTCTGCTATTATAGCATAAAATTCGAGCAGGTTACCTAATAGAGGGCCAATTGCACAAAGAGCAAGGGGAGTATCAGTGGAGAATGTCTAATAGCAGCTAGGCCCATGAAAAACAAAGTCAAAAACTGGCTTTCAGCTGCCTGGAACTGAAACCTATGGTATCCCAATACATTTTTTTATGACCCTCGATTTACCGTGGAAAAAAGAATCACGGACCTTCAATCTCAATAGCATGCTACTTTTTAAAAGTCTTTTTAAGAGATTGAAGCCATGGCTGCAACAAATCTCTATATATGATTATCTAAGCTGCCACAATTACCACGCCTTTCTTTTATTTTTAAGAAAGGTTTACAAACGTTCTGGGTCATAGATCCAAAAAAAGATGAACAATCTTTTGGAGTCTGTGATCAATCAACGGTTTACTAACACATTTACCTGCTAATATTTCTTCCACGTAGGTCAAAAAACAACATTATATAAACTGACATTGAAAAACTATTTTGAAAAGTAAGTAACTGAATTAATTCGACAGGAAATGGAGCTTTGGCAGATTTTAAACTTCTTCCTATGACCTCAAGAAACTTTTTACTTCACATTTTCTCTCTGTACCTTTTCCCAGATCATGTTCTCCTATCACCTACTCTGAGATATAAGAACCAACCTGTATTCATTTGTTTGATGATGAATTTTATTTGACGATTCATGTCAGGGTCATCATCTTGCACATAACATCTAAGGATTTCTTCTAAGCCCTAAAGTTAGACAAAAACGTTTTGAGAGTGGTAAAAGCAAAAAAAATTAATGACTTGTAAAATCATTTGACAAATCTGAAGATAGATAAGAGGTTCTCAAATAATCGCTTAAGAGCTACTCTACGAGTAAGGAATTATGTGCCAATCAAAGTTGCACCATTTTTTCAAAACATTGTGACGTCACTGTGACTGGATCATGGACTCAGGTCTAAAATTGCATCCTGTAATTGGATCATAACATTTAATCGCGGGATTGGATCAGGGAATCGAATCATGGGATTGAATCACGTGATTTGATCACGGGATGAGTCATGGGAACGCAAGTGAAAGGAGGCTTCACCACCTCCAGAAACATTTCTAATGAAAGCTATAATTGGTAAGACAGGTTCGGTATTCCGTGCTATTTTCAAAGTCATGAAGTGCTTCAAGTGCAGCGTCACAGGGGCGACTGGACGGGATATGTCCCCCAGTTCTCGGCTAGATCGATTGTACATTTTGTCCAAGTATGATGAAGAAATATTAGGCATTTTCATTTCCAAATCGGGCATTTCCAGCCGTTAAAAGGCGTTTTCCAACTATAAAAAGGGCGTGAGCTTAACAAATTTTGCCCCCCTTCCCTCCACAACCTAGTGGCGCCAACCCTTTAATACAAATAAATATTGAATCTGAAACACAAACATAAAACAAAATGCTCTTTTCAGTTGCCATAATTTAAGTTAAGAAACAGTGGCTGATCGGGAAGTTTAACTCTAGTCGTAGTTTTTCAAAATGCATGGACTTGTATTTAATTGCTGTTCTCAACAACAAAAACAGAAAAGTTGCCTATCTGATAAATCTAATATCTAATTTTAAAACTGGCAAAACAAAATTTTACCATTGAAACTGCTCGCTGCCTGATGGTAGGTAAGGCCAATATGCTGTAAAGTGTCCCATTCACGTATGGTTGTATCTATTGAGGAAAAACATTTCTTTTTACATTGGTATAAAGAACATAAACCAGAGATAAATTACTCAGAATTAGCAAATGATAAAGTATGGTTCTAAATGTAATTTATCTTTGCAGGTTATTGCATCGATTAAGTACCTGCTTTCAACAAACAATATAATGTATACTGTCTTTACATGAATTAACATAAAGAACGAATGCTTTCCTGGCATCACATGATGTGCTTTCTACTTTTTCAATTTACTGGAAGATACTTTTGGAAACAGGAAATGGGATGTAAAAGTATTTCTACTGAAGAAAAAGATGGAAAAATCAAAATAAAAGAGCCTTTAATATGGGTACAAAGTTTTAGGGTTTTGTTTAAGGAGCATAAAGAAAAGAAAGGAGAGAAGGATTAAGATAAAGGAGAAGACATCTGACAAAGGAGAAGTTAACGATAAGGATAAAAAAGGAAGTGTGAATAAAAAGAATGAAGGAGAAGCTTCAAGGAAAATAGAGAAGAAGAAATTAAAGAATGGAAAAGAACCAAAGAGAGGTACGATGAAGAAGAAATGAAAATAATAATCAAGGAGAAGAATGAATAAGAAGAAAGAATAAGAAGATTGAAAAAGAAAAGGAAGATTGAAAAAGAAAAATAAGAAGAAAAAGAAAATGATAAAGGAAAAGAATTTAGAAGAAAAACATTAAAAAGAAAGATGAAGAAGAATGAGAAAAAAAAGAAAGAAGAAGAACAAAAGGAAAGACGAAAGAGAATAATGAAGATACAGAGTTTAGAAGAAGAAGAGGAAGAAAGAAAAGAAGTAATAGAAGAAGAAGATGAAGAACATGACGTAGGCAACCAAAATTATGATAGAAAAGAAGAGAAAGATGAAGAATTTGAAGGTAATAAATAAGAAAGACGAAGAGGAATTGAAGAGAAAAAAGAAAAAGAATCAAGCAAGCAAAGAAATGAATGAGAAGAAGAATAAAGAGGGAAAGAAAAAAAGAATAGCGAGACAAAAAGAAGAGTAAAGAAAAAATGAAGGAGAAAAATTTTGAAGTAGCAGCAGCAGCTCAGGCATGCATTATGTTGTGATTTTTGTGCACTGGAAGACACTCTATCAAACATAGCGGCAGACCATTGGAATCATTTGTAACATGATTATTGATATAGAAATTAATAGTATTCTTGATGCCAACAATGTAAATAGATCCCAAATCATTCTTGGTACCTCTTTGTTTTCGTGATCCAATAAATCTGCAAGAAGTTGCAATACAGCCTCGCAGTCATCTAAACATTGCTTTTTGCCTAAAGGAAAGATCGTACGTGATTGCTTTATGTCAACAGAAAGAAAAATGAGTGAATATCTTTACATAACTATATCTAATAACTATATAAATCGATTTAAGAGATATATGACAAACAAAAAGAAGTTAAGTAAACCTAGACATCTAAATTATATCTAGAAAGTACAGTAAGTACCTAACCTGCCTGTCTCTTAAAGTATATTATAATCGTAATGTATTTACTAGACTTCAATTTGCGCCTCTGAGTCTCACGCCCATCGCAATCGTTAGCAAAACACTGTCTACATGTTATCAGGTATTGTAACATTTGTGTGAATGGAGAAAAGGTCACTGTAGCAGGCTGCTCGACGGGCTCCAAGGAGTTCTTGCGGCGAAAAGTCGATAAAAATGTAGCAAATATGAAACACCGCAAAACGCCGAGAAAAACAACAATAAATACACGTGAATCAGTAAAGGCTAATATTTCGCCCCAGCATACGGGGCTTCATCAGAGCAAAATGAATTGTAACATTTGCTGGAAACAGTGACAATATATTGTTTAATGCACACAACATCTGCATCTACGCGTGTACAGAGGCCTGAATGTTGGTTGGCAACGATGGCATTTGCCTGATTTTATGATGTGTGCATAATTTCCTGGTTTTCGACCATAAATGACATTATGACATCCGCCCACTTAAGATATAAACAAAGAATAGACGCCGGCATAACGCGATTGCTGCCCAGCCCCTAGCGAAGTTGAGTCATTTAACTATCGTTTCAAAGCAGACATACTTTTTAGGGAATCATGGTTGTTTTGACAAGTTAATGTTCTTTAAACGTTCATCAATGCATTTTTATTCAGACAAAGAAAACGAGAAAAAGTATTCCTTCATTCGAACTAAACCAGAGTTGCTAGGTGGAATTTACAAAAGAAGGCCAGATGGGTAGGCAACTCAAGCCAAAATGCTCATAGAAAGGCCAAAACAAAAAATATTTCCCAAAATTAAATTGGGCATGTGCTGTTTGAATTTCTACGCATGCATCTTTTAAATAATCTCTTTACTTAAAAAAGAAACTTCTCCTTTTAATAAACCCTTTCCTGATAGTAAGAATCTATTTTGTATGACCTATAGTTGATAATATTTGGGTTACATTATGTAGCACACTACTGATTACTCCATTAATGTTGCTATTGCTCTTTAAATTTAAAATTTCTGCTGAAAAGGCCAAGAAAGGCAAGATTTAAGTAGTAGGCTAAAAAATATTTTCAGACAATTTAATTATTACAAAGGCCAAAATTGAAAATGTGGTCTGCAGAAGGCCAATCTGGTAACCCTGAATTAAATCTATTCGTTTTAAAACCCTGCTCTAAAACAGGACTAAACGCGTTTAAACCCCCGGGTATTTGTACACTGAAGACGACGTTAGGGTATTGAGCATTTTGACATCTGAAAGTCTGCCATTATGAAAACAAATAAAACAAGAGTCATACCTGCCGATCTTAGACAGAGATTCATCAATAATGCTACAGAATATTCGAGAGAATAGTCATTCAAAAGCTCTGGTTCTTCCAATGTTTTTATTAGCCATGCAACTAGTCCATAGTCAATCATTGTACTCTGCACTTGACGCCTTGAAGAAATATAATTGATTCAAATAAAATTTCAAAAACTTAAAATCTAGCCCTTTCAAACAACATGCGAAGACCTAATGCTATTGTAGTAATTCTATTTCTATTGCAATGATTAATTGCAGAGAGCTGATTGTGAAATGGCATTAAGATCCCAAAATAAAACGTAGGGGTAGGCGACTCCAGGTTGGATAAATTTTAACAATCACGGAGTGGAAATTTCATATAAATTTCGACAAAAAAAAAGACAAAAAGGATCAAATAAAAATCATAGCCATACACACATGGCAAAAGCCATGAAGCCTACTTTTATATAATTCTAAAATACATAGCAAAGATTTTTCAAGCATTTACAATGAAAGCTAGATATATAGTTGTGTTTTATTCAACAAGTAACGTTGCGAAATGCTCCATCTTTACAAAAGGATTTCCTATTATAGAGATTCACAAAATAATCAAGTTAACCAGAAGTAGTAAAAGCGCTATACATGTCACACTCTGAACGACTCAACATAATCTAGTATTAGAAGAAATTGTTGTGATAAATAGAAGATGCTGAGGTGAAAGATAGGGATAGTTTGGGTAGGGGAGCAATTCAGTCATTGTTACGATAGAAATCCAGCAGTTGGTTAATAAGTCAAAACACCATGAATCAATTGTGCCGCTTTTTCAATAATATATGACTGACCTGAGGCTAAGCTTTTGCATGGCACCAAGAATGTTTTCTCCTGTTTTTGTTCTCTCTGATTCACGCTTTAAGCACGACAAAAGCTGTTTCATCATCACCTCTGACTGTCCTATATACACTCGTCCTAAAAAAATATCATTGTGAAAGGATTATCCGCTGCCAAAAAGACGTAAGCTGGAATATTAAAGATATAACAAAGCATATGAATAACAGCTTTTAGGTAGTGGATAAATTCATCCATTAAAAATTTTTAACGTACAAAGGCTGAATTTATCATATAGAACTTTCAAATGGTTATCTTGTTAGCCATGTTGAACAAATATGAATTGCTGCTATTCAAAAACAAATGAAATGTTGACTGCAGGAAAAAAACAGCATGCGTTAAACAGACAACAAGGAAAAGTATAATAAAGAACAATTACATCATGAATTGAAAAATAAAATATTTAAAATGATTTTCAAATTAGCAAATTACCTGCTGTGAAGGAAGCCAATGTATTGAAGAGCATAGCAGTTTGAGACTGGATTAATTCGTCTGATGAATTTAGCAAATTCACCATGGTCTCCTAGTGTCAAAACAAATTAATAAATTTGAATAAAACCCATCTTTCGTTAAAATACAGCATTCAATTTTGAAACTCAAGCACTCTTAATTCTACTTTAATTCTCTTTCTATCTTTGTCTCAGATACTTATTCAAAATTATTTTCATTCCTTCATTCATCTAATGCATTTTATTCATTTCATTCTTATATAGCCATTTGATGTAATTTCAATACAGAGAGTCTTTGTTACACTACTTCTCAGCTAAATCAATATAATTCGAGTCTTCATTTTTGAGTCAAAACTGAATGAAACGAAAAAAGTTACTATAAAAAAAATTAAAAAAAACTTAATGATACTTAGCTACACCTCTTTAACAAAATTTTTAGTGGCAATTTGAAAGGATCTTACTATGAGGACAGACCATGATTCATTCAAAGTTTATAACTGATTAACAGTAACTTGGAAAGAAAATTTATCATTTATTTAGTAAAATATTATTTACGAACTGAATACTGCTTTAATATTAGGCTTACAAGTTTTGAAAGCAAATGGATTCTCTATAGGTCTATTAATGAAAACAAAACTCACTCCTTGTTTGATATCAGATGCACACCCAAGAATATCATTTGCTATGTATCCAGACACGACTGCGTCTCTTTGCTCACCTACTTGGGATCTGGCTAATCTCTAAAGTGGAGCAAAATGCGTGTTTAGATTATGTTTCAATCTCCCTGTCTTTTTACCACTTACAGCCCGATAGCAAGGTTTTAGTTTATATTCCTCTAATTGCAGATAATATAATCAATAATTGTTTATCAACCTGAAAGAACTAAAAATTAACATTTTTCTACGAAAGGTAGGGTAAGTAGTTTCAAGGGCCTCTTGTCCAAGCATCGAGGTTGGTGGTAGATAGTAGAAAGATAATTGATGATGATGAGATTTAGTAAGGATCACAACCAACGATATACATAAAAATAATTAGTTACATTATGATCATGATTATGATGATGTTTTACGTGGAAATGATGACTGGTTCTCATATTATCACCACCTTACCATTCGTAGAGCCTGGAGCAAAAGTGCTTTCTTTCTTGGTGATTGACGTCGCAAGTCATCTTTGATCTTGATATAATTAAGAGATGGAAGATATGGCACATCGTTTCCAATGGCAACCCTACGGTGAGAGAGCACATATTAGATTCCAGTAGATATTTTAAAGTACCATTCATTGATTGACTGATATTAGATACCAGAAGCTGATGAAAAGGGTTTAAAACTAACATGCCAAAAACAGAAAAAATCTAAAACTATAAGCTTCCACCCAATTCATGGCAGAAAAATAAAAGAATCAGGGAATAACGAGAACTGCAAGCTTTAAACATATAACGAAAGTAATAACAGCAAAAATTAAGAGATAAGAAGCAGTATGCATGGAAAACCGAGTCATAAAAGTATTGAACAATGAGATGTTTATAATTTATAAAAATAGTTATGAATAGTACTAATTGTTCGTATTTTGGTTTATACTAACCAAGGTGTTTACAATTTGACATTGATATGAAAATTTTTTTCGAAAACATACCCAGGTTTGGCGTTTGCTACAGATGCTCTTAGCAAAGAACCAGCCTATAAAACACAAAGGAAGTGGTATCTGAAAGAAAAACTGTAAGATATCCGAAAAAAATTTCTAAATATATGAAGAGATTTCTGCTACACTTTTCCAACTACACCATTCAAGAGTTTTATCAAAACTTGGTCCCTTTCAAACAAGTGAGCATGATTCTTTGCAGAAAGTAATTTGTTTTATACAATGCTTGAAATTGCTTTATATTATTCCTAATTAGTGTACGTTCACTGTTGTAAAAGCTTACATTAAATAATCTATACAAGTACAATACAATTTTGCAAAGAATAAAAAGGGAAAATTGAAAAAGAAATCGTGCTTTTTACGTATAGTGTTGATAGTTGCTTTATTTAAAATCAATGCTGTTGACAGCATAACATGCAAAACGAATTTGGCTTTTGGCTTTTGGAGAAGAAAAGCTTTACTTTCAAGAGATTATCATACCTATTCCACTAGTCTATCAAGTTTCTATCTATATCTATATCATACCTAGTCCACGAAATCGTGCTAAACTTTGTCCAACTTTTAAAAATGATGTTATTTAATGGAGGATATATGCGTAATGACCCACAATGGTGCACTAAATATAAACATGGATAATATTGGTCAAATTCTTTTGGACAATATTTGATAATATTAGTGTTGGTTATCAGATTTGGAATGAGTTAGGGTAGTAGGTTTCATTAAGAAACTTTTGGTTTATAAAAGAAAAGAATAAAAAGGATAAGTAAACGGCATGTCTGTTTTGCGATAAATTTCACGAGCAAATCAAACCAGTTGTAGCATCGTACAAAAATCCGATTGAAGTGAAAAAAGAAATGCATACTGTGCCTGGTCTTGTAAAATCAGTTGACTGAATCGGGTTTTGAGCATTGTTGAAAAGCCTTTCGCAAATTGATCTAAGATATTCTGGTGTCACCTGAAAGAGATACAGTGTATGTAAAAAGTCGTGTTCAAGAGCAGTATCAAGGCATTTTTGTCATTCTAGCTGTAGAAGAGAGTTCGCTTGTAGACCCAATGCTTTCCGCTACTGTGGATACAAAAATTGGAAAATGGCCAGATTGAAGATAGCTCAGAGAAGAGGGAACATAGCATACTCAAGTACTTTTCGTTCGAAACTGCTCAGGGTATTAACATCGGATAATGGTGCAAGGTAGTCAAAAATGGTCAAAAAGCACCTATCAAACGAACCATTCTTGCTCTCAAGTTACTTTTGATTCACAACAGGGTATAAATCGCGGCTTTTTTGCTTATGATTATACTCAGAGGGGTGACAGACGAAAAGTATTAAGTATGCTTCTTTTCCCATTTCCATGGTATCTTAAATATTGCAGTACAACAGGCAAATTGCTAAGCATTTGAATGAAAGTATTTGAATTAGAAGAAAAATTTTCAATGTTTTAATCGGTTGTTAATACGAATAGCGACTACACAGCTTCATTGAGCACATGAAGATGATTTTGAAGATATTTTTCGAGCATGGAAACAATTTACTGCGAGTTAAAACTTTAAGTAGAGATTTAGCATCCTAAATGAAGAGATAGAGTTCCTTAAAGTCTTTGCCGCTGGCCTTTGCTCGTTTTGCAGCAAAGTTTCTGCAACTTAAAGTTTCACTTTTGAAGGAAAAGGCATTCTGTGTGCTCTCTAAAAACATGATACCAGGCAAAATATTAACAATAACGTTACACAAATGAACAACTGCTAGAAAGACGTTTTTGCAGCAAAAGATAAACAATGGAATATTTCTTTGACAGGCCTTAATAAGATTTATAGAGGGATGCAATATAAAACAATGTATCGAGCTTTACAGGGAGTGGGACTGACAAGTAGTTTCCGAAAAATAATAGAAAGCCTAAAAGGCCTAAGCATGTTTCAAAATGTTTGCTTTTTCCAAAGTCATTTGAAAATCCTGTACGGCCAAAAATTATTTATAGCTTAATATAATAATCTATGTATAGATTGGACAGTATTATAAATACAACCATTTATTGAACTTATCAACGTTAGTACTGGTAACATATTAAAGATAATTTTACTAAAAGCTATGCTGAAAGAGCAGAATGAAATATTATCATGCATTTTCTTACTTCACTGCAATTTTTTTTGATGCGGCTCTAACGTTTTGAAGTTAGAGCCGCGTAACGAAAAAGGATAAGAAAATGGTTTTTACAAGACACTATTGAAGGTACAATATTGGTAGTTTTTCAGTGTTATGGACATCACTTCATGCAGGTATTAAAAAATTTTTTCAATTCATATAGCTTAACTATGTAAAAGCAAAATAAAACAAAGTATAGCAATACATGGTAGTAATTAAAAATGAAATCGTACCATTTTGCCTCTAACAGCACTTTCGAGTGAATCGACAAGCTCTGCTGCGATATTTATAAGATTTTTGTAGTCACCCTACAACGAAAAGATTTTTTTATGCAAACATATTACGGAATACAGGAAAAAACAAAAACTTTAAGATAGGGATGTAAGGGAGAGCAAAAAATAAAAATGGCTTCGTAAAACTGGCCATTTTTCAAGCCAATTTTTAGATCTTGTACCACCAAAAAAATTATTGTTTGAAAATTATACACCGGTTTCAATTGTCAGAATAATCGGACTAACAAACAAGAGTGCCTAACATTAGCAAGTTAAGTCATAATTGAGCAATTAAACAGCTGTAAAAAGGCGTGCAAATAAGAGCAAAATCAGAATTACTTGGATTTTCGTATATCTCTTGAAATACAGTGTAGCCCTGTACTCGTGTTCCGAAATCTGCTGTTGTAGAGCTTGGATGTGATTTTCATACTGCGTTTTCTCTAAAATAGAAACAAAACAAAAATAATTCCAGCTTTGTTAATTGTAAGGATAGATATAGATGCTTAAAATGTAAGGCCACGGTCTTTGTTTGCCTAACAGAATGCTTGAGTTATAGAATTATATCAGAACTGTGGTCATGTAAATACAGTGCTACTTCCCAAAAAAAGTGAGGTAGTTTATACACAAATAGAAATGGAATCTATTATTTTGCAATAAAGTTGTAAGTTTGCAATAAAGTTACAAGGAACTTAACGAATCCCAACAATGTCGGCACTTTCATAACTTCCATTTCGTGTTTTTTTAATTTTCATTGTTTGATTTTTTTTCAATTTTTTTTCATTTTTTGAACTAGAATTACCACAGCGGAAATAGTGTTATATTACATCTTTGTGGGTGATACACTCACTGTCGGCACTCTGACATTACAGACCTCCCCCCAGCATTTCTTTTCTGGCGCCATCCCTGTGTGCTTCGTAAACACTTGAAAAGTTAATAGCAAATCAAAACCATTACAGTGGAAAGCACTTACCAGTCACTGATCGATCACCTGAGGCCGTCTATTCATACGTCAAAGATAACAGAGTGCTATTTAGCCTTGCACAAAAAACGAGTGACACCGATTTGCTACTTGACATCACCGAGAATAGATAAAGCTCATACTTTTAAAAATAACAACTTTGAAAAATAATACTGCAGTTGCACTGCTTGCGCCTTGAAAATGATTTCATTCAATCTCAAAGAGAGTGCCTTAGCATTTCAAGATTCGATTGTGATTTTAAATGTACATTAAGTAATTAAGAAAAAAGGGCTGAATATTCAATTTTCAAATGATTGGGTAGGGAACCAGATAGTCATTGGCTCGTGAACAAATAAAGAAAGCAACAAGAATTCCTTTTACCACAAGCACCTTACTTACAAATTTAACTTTATAACATATTTATTTATTTCAATACAATAAACCAAAATTCTACAAAGTTTCATGAATGGAGATATAAATGGAGATTGAAAGGATACAAATAACTTGTACAAGTACGGCAGTGGAGCTGCGTACAACACCGTGCTGAGGAAATCTTCAAGCTTCTGCCGCAACTCTGCCGTCCATGATTCCTAAAAGTGTAGATTAAATTTTTAGCAAAGTTCCTTATTCCAGATTGAAATTCATAAGTTATCGTACGTTTAAAATGATTCATTATAGTCTGTCTAATGAGTAGGCAAGCACGAAACTCGAAGTAACAGCGAACATGTATCATTTTTAGCCTAATCTTTACTAATAGCGAAATTCTTAAAGAGATTACTATATTTTTTCTTTTCTATTATGACGTAATGAAAGGTTTTTTTAAGTATTATTTGCGTTTTCACTATGTTCGTTTAAACCATTAAAATTTAGACTAGCTTAACATAATAGGTTTTTTAACTAACAATGAAATTATCCTGTAATGTAACAAAAACTTCCAAATTTCACTTCATACAATTTACTGAACAGCAAACATTGATATTAATTTCAACTTGGACATCAGTAAACTATTATTACTTAGAGGCTGGAATAAAATAACTCAAGTATAATGTGCCAAAATTCTTTTTTCCTATCTATATTTATTTTAGAATAAAAGAGGAGACTTTCATCTTAAACTGCAAAATGAAATGATTAGAGGGCAGGCTTTAAAGAGAGCACTTTCGATGAAATGAAGCAACAGTCGATATGGCCTGCACTTCACTGTTTGTAATCCTTAAATGTGTAGCTAGAAAAAGAATCATTCACCTGGAATAGGATACTAAATGAAGGATGGTTTTTGAGTGATGATGCAGGTACGAATGGCAGCGCATAAAAAGTTACAAACTCTGTCGTTTGACTCAACGCGGCACCTCTTGTCTCGAGGAATGTTTTAAACGTTCTCATGCCCTTGTCGATTTTGTTCTACAAGAAAAATTAATCACTTGTTCTCAGCAGATAGATGTGAAGGGTGAGATAAATTGAATGATAAGCATGTGTGGTGTAAAAATCACTGATAGTTGTGGATGCAGGAACAAGGGGGTGGGTAGGAGCATGAGTGTGCTCAGGGGCGGCTGCTACCTTGCCTTGGCAAATTTTAGCAATTATCTTTAATTTGAGAATGTTTTGCCCACTTTCCTGGCATTTTTTTATTGACTAAAATGTTAGCTTCTGGTGCGTGTATTATGGCAAAGTCGTTGTTTTTGCGAAATTCCAATTAGTTTAGAAGTTATAAGGCTTTAAAGTTGCACCTTTCCGAGAAAAAACGACAAAAGCCGAATCAGTTTGGTGACATTATGACGTCACAATATGCGGCTCTCGTTCGCCACGAATTTAGTATATCTTCCACCGAAGTGTGAAGGAGTCATGGTCACGCATTGATATCTGCATCTAAATCTACAGCAGGAGCGTTTAAGGATCGAAAAATACTAAATGATTACAATCATTCTAAGTCTGCGGGTCGGAATGTGTCCATGTCGTGTCACGACTCTGTTTTGATCACCTGTGTAGGCCCACAAAGCTATGGCTTCCTGTTCCAGCTCTTCCCTCGCCTATAATTAATCGAAATTGACACTTCAGTTGTTCTCCAGGAACGGTGAACAACTAAAGGCTTCAGAATTGGTGTCTGAAATGCTCAAACTAAAAGCTGTTGGAACAGAACTGAGAGTACCATCACTTGCAGTGTTCAATTTGCGAATCGCCGTCGTTCAATTCGGTTTGAGGCGAGACTAACGAAATGCACAGTGACGTCAAAATTGCGTCACAGTGTCACCAAACCGAAAATTTTTGTCGGTTAATTCAATTCAATCATCGAAATGCAAGAGCTTACATCTCACAAACTGTAAAAAATATCGAAAAACAAATAACGAACTCGTGATCAGAAGGTTCAACTCCTTTAGATTAGCCAATAAAATGCAAATTTTGGCTGGAGAGGCCCTTTAAGTATATATATACCTGGTCAGAAGATCCTTGCTTGATATGGAATATTGCAAAGTATAGTTGAGTATTAAACTCAAGGCGCTTGCATGCAGTGTCATCTTGTAGCTCTTGTGGAATATTTTCAGACCAAAGTCTTATGAAAACCTGGTTATTGCCATGATCAAAAGCTTGCATGATCTTGTTCTAAATAAAATAGGAACTTGTTAGAAAGAATAAAATGCAAATGTTGAAACAAACCATTGCGTTGTGAATTTTGTAATTTTTGCAAGTACACAATTGCAAGTATAAAAAAACACTGGGTAGTGCAATCAACAACTTGAGTACAACAACATGAGATTACAAAAATATTTTCATCAGATAAGTATCTTTGCTCAATCACTAGTGACACTTGCTTTATTCTTTATGAAGTTTAAAAAATAAAATATTCTTTCGTTTGCTTAATTTTGACCCATAATATTACTAAAACTATGCCATTCAACTGAAATTTCAAAATTAGAATTACAAATAAGGAACCTCCAAACCCTAAAGCTGACACACTACTAGGACATTAGAAGTTCTAAGACAGCCAGGCATGGATGTAATATATAAAAGCAAACACATTGTCAAGATAATTCTACGAAAGCAAAGTTAAAATTGAAAAAAGTTGTTCCTCTATGTATAACATATAATATGTATAAATATATAAATGTATCAGTGTATAAATTTATAATATATACACAAATTTACTAATGTGCATAAATTTCCATGAGCTGATATTAACTTAATGATATTTCATGAAAGGCTTTATTAACTCCTTGTACAATATAAATCTATCTAACAGCAAAGGCAATATTGAACTGAAGTTTTCCCCAAACCTGGATATGCAACTGATTTTCATCTTGTGATGGTGGAAGAGAATCCAGCTCAATTTGCTTTCCCTTTTTTCCAACTTCATCTTCAAATTCTCTCACACTCTTTGCATAGTCCAACATTTGCAGATACTAGAGAAAAGGATGGAAACTATTTAATTGAAAAATTCAGAATATGTTTGCACCAGGTAAGGTTTATAATGGTTCTTGTGAGAACATATTTGTTTTGGCCAAAGAATAGGCTCAGAAATTGATTGAAATGGAGGCTCAAGCACTGGAGGAGTCCACGTAACTAATTGGCCAAGACCATATTTTGATGGACAGGATAGCATCCTGGGAAACTCAGCAGGAAATTTTGATTGACCAACTTTGGGGCCATTCACAAAAGACATCCAGCAAAAAGATGAATTTGTTGACCCCCCTCCCCTCTTTTGTCTAGCATTTTTTGTATTCAGAGCCCCCTCCCCCTTCCTCGGACATATCATACTAAAAGCTATTCAACCATGTATATGTGAAAAGCTGCTCTTTGTTCCAACCGGAAGCTGATTTGATGAACAATTTTTGATTTTCTAATACGTTTTTGTATGATGTTACATTCAAATAAAGCATTGGATAAAGGCAGTAAAAGTCGTTAAGTAGTCAGTTTCTGTGAATGGCTGCTTCAAAAAGATGGCAATATCCATAAGAGAAGATAACTGCTACTTCATCTTCCTCATTTGTTGCTTCATTCTGTGATGCTCTTCACTCTTCTGTGCCAACCTTTTGTGGCCAGTTATCTCGAGAAGCATTTTTGCCAGCTCTAGAGAGGTGAAATTTTGCCATCATTTCACAAAACCGCACTGGTATCTGCTACCAACTTCTTCTTCAAGCCTTTTTGCTCAGATGGACAGAACAAATCATACGGCAAGGCCACTTGCTCGTAGCCTTCTGGTTTCAGATGTGATATGGCCATTGGTTTGCAGAAGACCATGTACTAGCCAACTGCAAGATACCTTTCCTTTATGAATGTCAATGCAAACTGAGACTAGAAATGTCTCATTCCAATATCTTGAAATCTGGATGTCCGGATTGTGTAAACACACTCTCCCCCTATGTCTGAATTTATCCCAATTCACCAAAACCCCCTCTTCCCCTTAAGCTTAGACATGCTTTGTGAATGGCCCCTTTTCTGCAAACTAATTTAACAGTATGTCATATGTTCACTAAAAATATTAAGAAATTATATAAAGTAAGCCTAGGTTATTGTTACACAGCCAAATATATGTCTGTATATACATTTATATATAGAATCTAACATGTAGTTATTTTTTGTTTGAAACCAAAAAGATAGAAATAGTTTCATAAAAGCATATCATGTATCCTGATTTAATAAAAAACATACCACAGCATCTAGCAAGTTTTAGGGAGTTCGTACAAGTGACATCTCGAAACAACGAGAGACTCGTGTAACAAAAAACAATGATTCCACGGGTAATTCGTTATTGCCACATCGTTAAGTTTTGGTTAAAATTGCTTGTTCGTAATGAGCAAACTGTAAGTGATTTTAATCTGTGCTATTTGCATCATCAATCTAGTACAGTAAACTCTGGCCAAGAGGTGAAGCCAAGCAACAGTTTTTGTTGCCAGACTAAGGCCTAAAAACTCACTATGCACCTTCCCATAACTATAAAATTGCTTCTAAAAGCGGCACGAAATAAAATCTTACCTCTTTAACAACTGCATTTAGATTACCTTCAACAACTTGTACACCATCCATGCTTAAATTGGTATCTTTTCACCAAACTTAACCAAACTTAGAACTTTCCATACATCACCTTGGCAATTATTTCAAATAATTCTGTTTAGTTTCTTGAAACGAGACAAGCAACTAGAACGAGACTGCGAGGCATGCACCAACGTAAAAGCACTATTTTAAACAGAATAATAAGAAAATTACATTTAGCTTAAAGCTAAAACAATATATTATTTTCTTGAGATATTGCCAAATATTGTCACACTTATTTGAAGGTTTTCGCATACCCATGTCCCAAATTAATTTTAACTATTTCAAACAAAAACAAATTGAAGGCCTTGCTATTTGTCATGGTATCGAAGTATTCGCACCTTTTCCATGTGCTCAACTATAACTGATTGGGAGAAAGATAATATAGTGTCTCAGAAGAGGGTGCCAGATTGGCCTTTCCTGCTCAAATTTCTTATTTTGGCTTTTCCTGGTCAAATTTCTTATTTTAGCCTTATTCAAATTTTGCCTTTGGTTGGTTGGCTGGCAGCAAAGACATCAAGATAAGCTTTAGAGATATGGTGTGCTAGGGATGGCTAGCAAGCGCATCGAATATACAGATATTGACCGAAAAAAACCAAGGCAACGTTCTAAAGCTTTCTTTCATCACTAGTTCCCATAGTTTTATCTACAGTGGAATTCGATATAACGAATCCCGGATAAAAGGAACTTCCTGGTATAACGAACTAAATGTCTGGCCCCTTGGATTCTGCCTAACAATAACAAACGCCTTACCAATTCTCTCGGTATAACGAGCCTTATTTTATTTTGCCTGGTTGAATAATATTTTGTTGCGAATAGATCTAAGCTTTAATTTCGCGTTTTGAGATCAAAACAATGCCTAAGTACTGTTAAGGTGCTTTTAAATAATTAATATGTATGTGGCTTTTTTGTGTTTCTAATATGACTTTCAGGTTTTCAATAAGTTTGGACCCAAATCTGTCAATATTTTCTTTAAATTATATTTTGTAACTAACGTCGTAGATGAGATTCATTCTACAATGATCCGTCCACTGTATGCTAACGAAAAAACACAAGCTATCTCAGTTGCTGGTTTTCAAAGACAAATTTCTTTTCCTTACGAGTCAAGAAAGACAATTAAGTACATCAGTCCTAGCAAATTATAATGTATTGTAAAATTTTGGTTTATCATCCTGGATTCATTTGTATTGGATTGCTTCTCGTCGTTTGTGCTGTTCCTACCTATCATTCATACCTGTAGCTCAAGCTCTTGATCTCCTCAATAATATTCCACGTTCATCTTAACTGTTTGAGCGTAGTAATACTTTTTGTGAACTAACAACTAATAGTATCAATGTAGGTTGACAAAAAAGATAAAAAGTCTCTTCTTATAGTTTGAGTACCACAACAGTCCTCTCCTAGAGTTTTGATAGTCAATTGCATGCTAAGTTGAATGTCCGATGTCAAAGGATGATTTGGCTTTGCCCGTTTTTAATAAGATATCCATATAAAGACATGGGGTAATTTGACATCACGTGACTAATTAAAGCTCATTTTACTACTTTAAACGCACTTCTTCAAAAAAGATAAATTATCCTGCATATTCTACTGCTTAGACCAGCTCTCTTTCGTTAAAAACGCCATTCCAACCAAGTTTCTCCTTCGCAGAGGATAACCAGGAACTTCTCCTGATTTAAACCCCATTTTATCCCTAAGAACAGCAGCAAATTCCCAATTACCATCACCATTCAATATCCCCAATTGATAAAGAACTAGAAAACGGTAATCCAAATTTCAACGCCCCAAAGTGGTACTCCCCGCCATTTCCGTCTGGTCTATTGGGGGGGGGGGGATTCGGCTAATCTTTATGGAATTGAAAATTAAATACCAAGGGGCTAATCCGAGGATTTACGGTATACAATTCGCAAGCAGTTTTGATTTTGGTCATATATTGTTTGATTGATTATTTAGTACTTATTAATATTTTACCAGCTATGCTATGTTCAAATTTTGTAAAAAGGGTAGAGAGAAGTTATAGAGGCCCCTGGGGTAAAGAAGGAAAATGTAGATCACCCTGGGGTAAAGGAGAAAGGAAATTTGGCAATAACGCTCCTTAGATTAGCTTAAGATTTCTTTTCAGAACGATTTCTTGGAGCAATTTCGACACGTTAAACGGTTGTCAATTATTCGACGTTAAATGATATGGGAAGATCACTGGGAAACAAATTTTTATTATGCTTGAATGCGCGCGTGACCTATGAATTAGCATTACTCATGGCGTGATTGCGTGAAAATGAGTGCTACAAGCGAATTTTGAAATTGACCGCTTACTTATTTACCAGCAGAAAGTGTTGAATTCCCAGGACCAGACCAGATCATAAAGATTTTGTGAAAAATCCAAGAAATTGCTCGTATTAGAAAGCTATTAAATGATACTGATACCCAACAGCGGACCGGAAACATATGACATATATTGCTCCTAACCCTTTGCATTTTATTTAACCTTTCAGTTCTTGTTTTTTCTAAATAGCACATTGTATTTGATTATTAATGTATCCTCTCCTATAAGGATTATGTCCAAGCTCTAATGAATAAGTCTTCCGGAAGTTGTCGATTGAAAAAAATTCTTGGCCTCTCCGTCGTGAACGAGGCTCGATGGCCTAACCATATGTTCATTTAATCGTCAGAGGGATTTTGGTTGTAAGAACGTATCAATATTTGGAGTTGCTGAAGACACTTAATTTCTTTAAAGGAAGAATATAATTTTGCTTCATTAGCATGCCATTCGTCTTCAGCCCGACAAAGATATACTAGAATTGGGATTGGTCGTAAATTCAACATTGGGAGGAAGAAAGTTTTTGTCTTATCAACAATTTCTTCAGAAGAAAAGAGAAAAATCCGGAATAATCAAAACTGGTTATTGGATGATTGTTTAAAATGGCTGCAGACCTAGAAACGCAGCTTACTATATTCGTCCAGAAGTCTGTTCCTGATATTGACGCAGATTTGCTCCAATACGTTGTCGGTAAGTTTTTAGGATAACGAAACAGGAATAATAAATAAAAAAGGCTTCTTACCCAAGGCTTCTTATATGAATAACCAATACCCAAGGCTAGGCCTACCTAGACCAGTGTGACGATCACATCACTTGGAAATAAAACATATTATGGCTGTCCCGTGCAGGTGCACAGGGAGAAAAAATTCCGACAGCGACAGCAAAAACGGGGTCCTGGAAAATAGTTGTGCCAAGAACCTTGAGATTTGCTGAGGTCGAACCTTTCAAAAATGGTTAAGTCCTATAGTTATCTTTTTCAATTAATCACCATTTTTATGATTAAATCAAGATTTCATCAATTCTAGTCTGTATTCCAGAAGTTACCAAGCCATAGCCTTGTAGAACTTTTTAAAAAGCTTGCCACAACCCAGACTAAAATCTACGTATCTGTAATTTTGGTATGCTTGCGTACTTTGGCTATAAGGCTGGCGTTTGGTGTACTCTTGGCACAAAACTGATGTAATTTAGTGTACATTCAACATGTTGGTCTATAGTTAACATTTGACAGAGTGGGCGGAGTGGAGTACCGGTGCAAATTGGCGCATCACTGATTATCTATGGCATACATATGTGGCGTACCAATTTCAAACTTTCCAGTATGGGCCACCACCACATTTATGAAGAGAAAATTTATGACAATTTTGTAGGTCTTTTCCTCAATTCAGCTAATTTAGAATTGCAACTTTTATTCTAACACAAGGAAATATCCAAATTACAGATTAATTAAAGAAAAATATCCAAAGTGTGTTGCCAAGTAGTCTCTATAAAAGCCCTCCTTGCCAGCCTTAAGGTTACGGTAAACGTTTTCTGGGTGAAAACATCATTTTTTCGATTTTTTCACATTCAAGTAGCCGAACTTTCAAGGCACACAATGATACCAAATTTGAAACAAACAGAAATTTTGAAAGTGGAAAAAATCCCATGTAAACGAATGTTTCCATAATTTCTTTATCAAAACTTCTAGTTGAGGCATGAAAATTTCTTGACCTGTTAAGCCGATTATCGTTGCTTTGCGGTTGTGGTCGCATTTCTCATTTACAATATCGCATGGTACATCTATATATCCAATGTAAGGCCGTGTTTATTTAACCAGGCTTATTGATCTTAAATCTTTAAGTGACTTGACCCGGATTACACTGTGGCTTACGAGTGTATCTTGCAAGTGCGATCAGTGAAATCCCGTTTTCTCCCCACTCGAAATTCCTCTACATGAAGGTACGAAAAAGCTATTATGAACCCAAGGAACCAATCGAATGGCTCGAAAATTTGCACACGGCCAGGGCAGACGTTGGGCAAACAAAGTGTGTCTCAAAATTTTTTTATTTTCTCTGGTCCGTCTTTTATATACCCAAATACAGCTGCCGGAGGGTGGAAAAATTATTTGCCAATTTTTGACAGGGTATAGTTTCAAGAAGAGGAGGAATTTAAAAAATCTGAGACACACTTTGGTAGCTTAGGACCTGCACTTCCTGCTGGTCTAAGTCAGATTTTGTTACCTCAAACGCAAGGGTACATAATAGCTTTTGAAGGTGGTACACTTTTTGACCAGTAAATTCGCATGGAAAATAATATTTAACATTATTTGCCAATAATTTTTATCTGGCTAGATACGCCATAATCTTGTGCATCGAATGATATATAGTTTATCCAGATTCCTTGAGCCGTTTGGCCTTTAGGAAGGAAAAACCAATTTTCGTGTTCAAAACGTTTACCGTAACCCTAAAAGATGTGGTCTTAAGAATCTTTCCTAGGGGTGTAGCCCCTAGTACTCTCCTTGTTTCAGCCAGATTTTTCAAATGGACCCACAGGTGAAGCATGCCAAAACATTGTTGCATATGAATGAGCTATCTCCTGCAAACTGGCCCTTTGCCCAAACAGACGTCTTTTTGATTGAGCCAAAACAAATGAAAAATACCTATAAATGTGTATAATTACCCTTTTGAAATGATGAATGACCAGTTCTGTTGCATATTTATTACCTTTTACCCAGATGTTGTTAATAGTAGTGCTGAAGACTTTGAGTCCTCTGATGAGCTGAATGATGCAGTGGGCCACATCCTACAAGAAGTCATACCAGATAATGATGATATTCAAAGTTTAGATGACATCTGCAGTGGTCTTTATCATATAATAAAAGGGTTAGTAAAACGTAATTAATTAAGCATGTTTTGCAAAATTTATCAATATGCAAAATTAACCTATGCTATATGGTTATGTAGTGTCTACTATAAAAGTTGTTAAGTCTTGTTTGTATGAAATTATTAACAATTAAAAAGACACTTGCAAATAAGAGGCGAGACTTTTTGAAGACCCCATTTAACAAAACTCGTATTTTATCAGGCACTGCAAACAGTGATTCAGCTAGCGACCTGTTACAAAGAGACATACATGTTGCTGATAGGTTATCAAGAAGTGCTCCTGCCTCGACATCTATGAACCATATGCCTTCACAGATAGCACAAAAAGACATTCTTAAAGGCGATCTTGCTTGCCCTTTAAAATACTTTCGACTGCACAATGTCAGCAGTTATCGTTCCACAACTGATTTACTGAATGTTCACGACAGATGATCCTAAAATGTTGTAACAAGAAATATATCAAAATGCAATTAATCTTACCAAGTCATTTTCGTGCTGCACCTTGATGCATATTTTTTTCACATATTTGACATTTTATACTCTTAATTTGTCAGATAAATCTTTCAGATATTAAATAGGTCTCCCCTCTTGTGCCACATTTCAGAAAAAGGAAATATTATGTTCTTTTTCCTGATTGTTTTTTTTTGTTTTGCCAAGAAAAATTTGTTCATTAAATGGATCTTAAATTTGGTAATATGTAAGTTACAAATAGCATTGTTCTTTATGATTCTAATTCTAGTACTGGTGAAAAGGATGACAAATTGGTAACAAAGTTGAATGCCCCAGTTCATATAGGAAAAATGGTTGAGGAATCTGGTATGTTTGTAAATTTCATGGTATATCATTATTAATGCGTATTCAGCTTTATTTTCTTGCAAAAATATTAAAGTTGCTTTCAATTTCATAGAAAAAATCTTAGATTAGTTCTTTTTCTAAATTAGAGCAAGATATTTTTTGCCTTTCAAAACTTTTCTTTTGATGTTTTCTTTGTAGCTCCAAAAGAAATAAAACATAAAAGCATCTGGAACAAAGAAGTGGAAGATAATGCTCTGGTAAGAATTTTGTAGTAAATTGCAAACCTGTTCATTCTTCAGGAATGTATTTGGCTAAGGCACTTTATCAACCTCAAAACAGAATGAAAGTTGACTGGCAGTTGGTTGAAAAGAGAGAGAAGAGAATAAGAAACCTACATTGATTATTTTCTTATTTGTCAACCTGTGTGTTTTTTCAAAATTTGAAATACTTTGCTCTGACACACCAGTTGGTTTCAGAGACCTTAGTGGACACCTGCTGAAGTAAAGGTTATTTTTCACTGGAAATTATTTAACATAGGCTTTGCAAAAGCAAATAGGATGTTAGACAAGAATCTGCTAGTAAATTCTGAAAATTTGGGCTTTTTTAAAACCAGTTTTTAAACTTTGCACCAACAGAAAATTGCTAGGAAGTTAGTATTGTAATATTGTTATCTCTATCAGAATTTTGCGATCAATTGTACTATGGTAAGATAAGTCTTTCAGATGTCTTCCAAATGCATAATCTTCCCATCTATGATCAAATGCTTTTCTATATAGATCAATTGCCTAATATGTATAGACAAACCGCACCATCTATTTTCAAAAGAACTATATTGCAAAATACAGTTTCTGTACAGGTTTCATGGTAGAAACACATTTTAAGATAAGTTGCAATGCAATCATTTTAAATTAGGTTTTTATGATAAACTTGTGTTTAGCAAATCTTGAAACTTAGATTCCTGCAAAATCTAGTCTGCTTGATAGCTCATTTTTTATCGGTTTTTATTGTATACATTTTTTAATATCAGAGGACTGTTGATGCAAAGAAACTAGAAAAGGCAGAAGCAAAAATCAAAATCAAGCAAGAAAAGCAAGTTGTTAAAGACACTAAGTCAGCAAATAAAACAAATTCTGACAGGTGAGAAAATCTGTTGTTGTGACATAGTACTTCTATAAAAGGACAACATTTTATATAAGTTATTTATTTTGCTAATGCTGTAGCTCTGATTTTTTTGCATAATGCTGTTTTTTATCTTTAATTTGTTTCATCTTCTTATGGCTTGTTAATAACTGAGCTTGTTAATGACTTGTACTTAACACTCATTTCTTACAAGTTTAGTAATCTGCCCAAAGTTGACAAGAGTTGATACCAAAAAGTTTAAAAACTCTGAAAAGGATTGTTATAATAAAATGCTATATTAACAAGGAGTTGAAATTATTCTCAACTAATTGACTGCCTGGCCAACTTAAGTTGCCAATGATAAAATGTTTTATTGCTCAGAAACTTTACCCTGAGCCATTTTTGCAAGATTACAAATCAGCTGATAAAGTAGACAATGCTCAAATAGAAGTTCAAAAGAAATAATAGTAAAATTCCTACAAAATTACACAGCTAGAACTATGTTTACTATATTTTAATTTTTTCATTTAATTTAATACATGCAAACATCACTCAATATAGAACAAGGGACTAAGATTAACAAGAATACAAAAAGATGAAAAACAGCGAATCGCTATAAATGAATACAGAAAATTGATATTTGTATGGAGGGGCTTTCTTAAGAAGGGGCTCTCTCAATAGATAAACTAAAGATATACAGTAGAATCCTGTTATAACATACTCGGCTGTTACGTACTTTCTGATATAACATACTGGTGTGCTTGGTCCCGGCAAAAGATATGCTTGGTTTTAGTCAATTTTTACTTACCCTGGTTGCAAGGTACTGCGGATATAACATACCTAATACGCTGGTCCCTTAAAGTACGTTATAACCGGAATATACTGTAGTAGAAAAAACATTTTAATAGAATCATGGCAATTATCACATGGTCTTTTGAGAATATCATGTACGATGTTATATTGCCTTTCAGCATGATGGAAGGTGCATCAACAAACCAGGTTATTCAAAAGAAAAGTATGAAAATGGAAGCCATTGGAAGAGTAACTGATATAAGGATTGAAAATTTTGATCTTTCATATGGTAGCAAGTAAGTTCGTTGGCATCTTATTTTAAATATTTTCAATTTAATATTTAAGCAGAATATTATTCCAGAGATATTATATGCTAGATAAAGATCCGAGCAATTTAAAGATGGATTAAAAAAGATTTCCCTGATGTGTCTATTAGGCATTCATTTCATAGCAAAATCTGTTGATAATAAACAAAATTTTGTAATGCAAAAATATCGTGTTTATCTGTTAATAATGATCATTGTTTGTGTTACCTTCTCTTTTTAGGGTATTGTTGTCCAATTCAAACCTATTGTTAGCATTCGGAAGGCGATATGGTCTTGTAGGGAGAAATGGGCTCGGGAAGACAACACTCCTGCGAGCAATCTCAAGGTTTAAAGAAGCATTTGAATTTATTTCTTCGCCACCCGTCATTTGAATCAGTTTCATTAATTCCATATAGTTAGCAAGCTAAAATTGAAATTTTTTTATTGAATTCTTTTTTAGACGAGAGCTGCACATTCCCTCACACATCAGTGTTTTGCATGTGGAACAAGAAGTAATTTTTCAGTTTATGCTCAGTTTGATGGATTATCATAAATTTGCTAACTAAAGGCTGAAAAACACTATGCATTTAAATTGATTCAATTAAATGGATCGCTGGAAAATGGACAGTGTAAACGCAAAATTGGATGTCAAAATAGCTGTTTCGACAAAGTGAAACTTCCTTTTAAAAAAGTGGACTTGTTTATCTTTCGTCCAACTTTTTTCTGTTGTATTCTCTAACCCTCTTTCGAACCTATTGTCTTGATGGCATGCACTGCACTTCCAGGGCTTCACTCCATCAGCCAGGTTGTTTTTTGATCACGCTACTTTCTGAAATTCTTATAAATGCCTGTAAAGAGTCAAAGAATTGAAAAAGGCGAAGAGTTTATAAATTTGTAGAGAGAGGAAAGCTATCTTTTGGACACAAGATTGCCTCTGTATCTCAATAGAGATGCAAGGCAAAAAAATTAACAAGCTTTGCTGAGAAGCTATCTTCTCTGGTATTGTCTCTCGCAGCCTTGTGTTAATTTTTATAAAATCAAAATAAACGAGTTGCAAGAGCTCATCGATATTTTCGCAAAACATTCTCAAGAATCTTTGATATTCGTCGCCTTCTTCCAGACGAAATTCTTGTAAAAGCGTGTTATCAACTCCTAGCTCATTTCTCCAGGTCAACCAGGGCTTAACCCAGACGGGTTTTTGTTGCCTATTTAATTTTTTGCGCATAAGTTTTCGTTTTTAATAAAAAATTGCAATCTCATCCTCATCATCCTCATCATTCCTCATCAGAGTCCATGAAGAAATGAGAGGGCGCTTTTAAAACTCATTCAATTTAATGGATAAGTGTGAACGGAGACATTTTTTTCATTTAAATGGACTGTTCATTTAATCGAATCCATTTAAATGCATAGTGTATTTCAGCCTTAAGGACAACTATTTTGTTTGAGAATCGTTTTGCTGATCAGAAATTGCATTTCAGTTTGTGATAATGGGGAACCTGCAGTAGCATACGTTTAAAGGGTAAGGGGGGCTCTACAAAAGTGCACCGTCGTGTACAATGATGCAACATACATAGATTTTACTGGCAACTTCACATTACTGGAAAGAGAAGGTCACAAAATATTTGTAAATCATCAATACTTGAATGGATATCCTTCAACTGCGAGCTAAGAGACCGTGAAGTCCGTCACGTACAATCCTGTACAGCTGGATTTAGTTGGTAAAAAAATCGCTATATGGGATGCAAATAGTTAAAAGACACCTCCAATGGTTGATTTAAGTACTCTGCATGCCGAATGAAATTTTCTTTGCAGTAGATACAGGCAAACATACACTCGTTTCTGAAAATACACAGGTTCATGATGTAGAGTAACTCATTTTAAATGTTATTTTCTTCCACAAATCATTGGATAAATTGTTGTCTGGATGTAGCATAGTATGTCTGGTTGATAGCATTGTCTTTCGCTTTAACCTTAAGGCTATGTGTGAACAACTGTTTGCATTGTTTAAGCTACAATACAAAGAACTTTGCGTACGTTCCACCAGCTAGAATCTTTATATAGTACACAACAATTTACTTTATTTCAGGTTGTTGGCGACGACACTGTGGCAGTTGACAGTGTTTTAGAATGTGACACAGTTAGAACACAGCTTATTGAAGAAGAAAAAGCCTTGACCGCTGATTTGAATAAGGAGTAAGTGCTTTAAACATGCAAGCAGAAGAATCTTGCTCTTTAAGAAAAGCGGAATATATATATAATGTTTTGCAGAGGACGAGTAGCCGTCAGAGTTTGAGAGAAAAGCTTGAAAAATTAGTGAACTTAGTAAAACACGTTATGTTTCTGCTATTTCCGGCTTGATAGTTTTCAAGTCCCTAATTGAGCAGGCTCCACAATATCTATGTGACATTCTCAAACAGATTTCGCAATGCTCATTTTACTATGAAAAAGCTGAGTCAAAACAGGCCCCTATCCTTTATTGTTTAAATACATACATTTTAGAGATGGTGGTCTTTTTCTAATAATTTTGAGCTCGTATATCATTTCGTTGAACGTGAATTTTAAACATTGCTAGTTAAGTTTTATAATTTTATTCAATTAACAGCTTTTTAATGTTATTTCAAAAGATTATAATTAATGTTTTTAGTGGAGGGCCTCTTAAAAACCAGCTTATGCTGAAGGGCAACCCTCTTTAAGAGAATCAAATATGAAATATGTTTTGATGCCGTTTGTCCTAAAAGAAGCTGATAAAACGAGGATTAATAGTTTTGAGTTATGGTGTTACCGTAGACCTTTAAGGATAAGCTGGACTGAAAAATAGACTGATGAATGGATTTCAACAAAATGAGTTGTAAACCAAAACTCCTGGCATCAATTAACAGCTGGAAGATGGCTTTTGTTGGGCATAGTTTAAGAAAACAGAACCTTGAAAAAGATCTTCTAAACTAGACTGTAGCACAAATCGTGTCTTATTTTTGAATGTGTTGCGATGTTACTGCTCTAGCAACGGATAATTGTAAATGTACCCTGACTTTCATTTTTGCTTATTTCCCTGCTTTTTCGTTGCCATTTCTTAGAGTCATTTATACATCAAGTTTAGCATGGTCTTTAGTTTTGCGTTATTGCAAAAATCTCGGTTTCAGATGATTGCGTTTCTCCCGAGTTTCGAGCTAAATGCTTGTTTATTGAATGTATCTGACTGAGTTTGGTTTTTTTCTTGTAGAAAACATGACAGTTCATGTAGTCAAAGGCTGTCTGAGGTAAGCTTTTACGGGTTTGCACAAAAGAGTATCAGCTTCAATACATGTGGTGCATACATACCGTTATAGTCTCAGGCATATAGCAAGATACAAAGCCCCATTCCCTTAAATGAAGGAGCGGGTTGCTCATGTAAGATGCATTGCCTTTAGGAAAGGGAGGGGGGCACATATTAGTAGAATTTCAGTAAAGAAGTTCAGCTGTTTTCATTGTTTTTTATTTCAACTTCAAACCCAAGCACTCCATCTAACAAAAATTTAGCACCAGCCCAGCAAAAATCCTGCACAAATCCAGCACAATTTAGCACAAGCACAAATCTAACAAAAATTTAGCACCAGCCCAGCAAAAATCTTGCACAAATCCAGCACAATTTAGCACAAGCACAAATCTAACAAAAATCTAGCAAACATCCAGAACAAATCCATGACAAATCCAGCACTAATCCAGCACCAATCCAGCATCAATCCAGCCCAAATCCAGCAGTTTGACAGAAATAAAATTGCGTTCTCGTGGTAGATGAAAGCCTTTACGTACTATTATCGTGTACAAACAGCTCTTTAGCTAAAAAGATTCCAACTATAATCAAATCTAACGAAGAAATTTTGTTGAAGATGACGGCCACAGGAAAACAAGCTTACTACATATTTTTCTCTAGATTGTAGCAGATAGCGAGAAACGTATGAGCTACTTGTTCATGATCTCTGCATGAATTAATATTAATTTATGTTGTTCTTTCTTGTGTATAGGTTTACGCAAAGCTTGCAGATATTGAAGCTGATAAGGCTCCTTCACGGTATGTAGAATAGCTTGATTTTCCCTAGAAATGTTCTTTCAAGATGATAATGGCTAATAGGGAAAAATATGAAACCCAATAACTCTTGTTACAGTTGGCTGTAGACCAGCTTCGTCCCGAATTAGGGCTCGTCATTAATAGACTGAATAGACTGAATGGGGTAGACGACATCAGGGTAGACTGAATGGGGACCTAAGTTGCGAAACTCTAGATAAGGTTGTATATAACTTGTCACTGTTTTCATTTTGCCAGGGCATCTGTTATTCTATCTGGGTTAGGATTTAATGCGGAGATGCAAAAAATGTTCACAAGGTTAGTGTTATTTCAATGTTTATATGTTTCGCTCATTGTTCGTTCATGGTGTGTGTCTTGGAATTATATTTTGTTATAATAAGGCTCGAAGGCTAACGTGGCCCATTGCCAACACAAATACTATACTTACAAGTTAACTCAAAATCTCAGATTACAGGAAAACAGCTAATACAATGATAAGCAAATGTAAAAATGATTATAAGCTATACAGTTAAAGGCAATCTGTCTCGTTGTGGATTGGTTAACGAGAACAATGGATGGAACAATAGCCTGAACATAATTCCAGCGCTCCGCCATATTTTTTACAAAGCGATAAATTGAAGGGGGACTGAAAACAATAAAAAATCCCTTTGTTCTTATAATCAATCAACGTCGTGACAGATTGCCTTTAACGTCACATAGATATGTACATTGAGGACCCCGTGCCCCTGAGTAGCTGTTGCGAGCTAAGCAAAGGAGTCGAAATAATATGGTACAGTTTTAAAGGCAAGTTTCTTTAAAGATGCGGTAAATTAGGGTGTTTTTTAAAGGAAGGCTCACTTGTTTTGGTTGCTAAGGAAAATTAGGGAGGCACTTCATTATAGTTAGGCAGTTGCAAGGAATCCTTTAGGATAAAGGCAATTTCACCTGTTTGTATGCAAATTAAAAGTTGCAATTTTTCATATTGACGAATTCACTGATATGTCTCCTTTAGAGAATTTTCTGGTGGCTGGCGAATGAGATTGGCTTTAGCAAGGGCTCTTTTCAGTAAACCGGATCTGCTGTTACTAGACGGTTTGTTTAATTTTTTTTTCTAACAGGATAATTTCTCTCTGATAAAGCCATTTTTGTTTTCGTTGCTGCTTTATACTTAAAGTGTGATTACTGCCACTAAGCTGTAGAATATCTAGAAAAATTCCAAAGGGGTCAAATTTCATGATGACAGTTGCGTGTTAGAAATTGACAGTACTTGTCCAGCATATAGAAGGCATTATCGCAAGATTCTCATAACTTTCAATTGTTCCCATAGCTATTTAAATTACAATTTGAAGACTCTTATCTTTATGCACAAAAATGGTGGTAAAATCCCTTAGTTGGTATGAAAGCTATAAAGCAAAAAAAGATGAACCAGATAATTCAAAGTCCTAGAATTCTTCAGTCATAAAAAAGATGGCCTTTTTAGATAAATACAAAGACGCTAAAACGTTTTATAAGAATCCAGTGACTTTTTAATACTGTATTTTGCACTATTTGGGATTTTTTAACCTCTATATGTTATTACAGCGCGTAATATAATGCATTATCGCTCTTAATGGAACGACGCGTTGTATCTTTGCATTGTAGAACCCACAAACATGTTAGACGTGAAAGCAATTTTGTGGTTGGAAAACTATTTGCAGGTGATCTATTACTTGAGGTATATTCACCAGGGGCGTAGCTAGTGGGGGGGGGGTAGGTGTGTGTGTGTGTTTGTGTGAAACCACCCAATAGTTAATGAGTTGGTCGGTAAATCTTCAGTTGGTCCACCGAATGCTTAGTTTGTCAGAAAATTGCCTATCAGTAGGTGATATAGCACCTAAATGTTTCTTCTTCTATGTCTTTGTTATTAAACGTAACTACTGATGAGCCTCCACTCCCCTGTCTGGAAGGCCAAGCTACGCCACTGATATTCGCTTCTTTAAAATTTTTACGATGACTGTGCGAATTAAATTACATAAAAACAAACGACTGTTTAGTGCGGTTGTTTTGTAACGATGTTCTTTTGGCTGAGAATCAGATGATCAGGTATTTGTTGACAATGATATATGCATATTCCTTGTCGTAATGCCACCAAAACACTTCTTCTGTATAATCTCTGTTTATTTCTATGCCTCTTTTTGGAACTGTGATGATCTCAATGTTCCCATAGAAATAATATAACCACAATTTTGTTTGTTTATGGCTTTTGTTTGTCTTGATGCTCAAGACATGATAAGCAAAAACAGACAGTTGATTTTGCCTTCCTCTGCGCTTCTAAACAAACATGATTCCATGTATAGTACATTATTACGTAATCATAAAAGAATGTAAACTTTGTTTTCGATTATTGCTATTAATTTTCTGTGCTCTTGCCATTTTAGAACTGGCCTACAACTTTGCTGGTCGTTTCTCACGATCGTATGTTTTTAGACAGCGTTGCTACTGATATCGTTCTAGTTCACTCGAAATCGCTGGATACGTATAAAGGAAATTATTCGGTAAGTTCAAAACTTTGGCCATCTTCTTAAAAACTTCAGAAGTTTGAGGTGGGACAAAGAAAATCGCAGTTTTAAGCATTAGGTGATATATTCAACTAGCGAACTGTTAGATTATGTTACATTATGTTCGTTAAAGACTAGACTTCTAAAGTCATGCTGTCACAGATTCTTTTTTAGAATTTCAGAATTTGAATAGCATAACCCGAGCATTATAATATATCCCTAAATATGCCAAATCAGTCAATGGTGTTACATATTGGCTGCGATATGGCCACATGAGCACAAGCTCTTTCACCATTAAATCTCTGTACTGTAATTTGGTCGCTATTCAGGCTCATTCCCCATCAAGCTTCTGTAATTTCGTCTCTGTTCATAAATCAATGAACAAAGCCAAAATAACAGTGATCCGTAATCAAACTTCGAATCTTTCATAAACCATATTTCACCTGGTTACTAATAGATTTAACTGATTTTTCATTCTAAAAGGCATTTCATGTTTTTTTTATTTTGTGGTCAAAAATTAAAAATTCTAACTTGGTTGTTTATGACATCACACTTTAGAACTCTATTTGTCCTTATGAATGAATAAAGTTACTGCACCAAATGCACTTTCAAATATGGTTGCTTTTCATTTGATCCTTTACATTTGAATATGACCTTCAATGCAGGTTTTGTAAATAGAATAAATATTCCTATTTCCCATGCCCCAACCAAAGTTTTAGCTCTCATTATCGCTGAACGAATGGTGTTTAAAATGAGCAGTTCATTTCATCTGTTTTTCATTAAATTCGCTACATCAAACCTGCACTTTATATGAAAATCTAAATCTCAAGACTGAAATATTACTTTGAAAGCGAAGCTTTATTGAAACCTAGAATGGGGAACACAACATATGATGTGAGGTGCCTATGATGTTTAGCCCCTTTTTTGTGACAAAATCTTACAAGAATGAGCCACATACTCAATGGCTTTTAGTACCATAATTCGCGTTGCTTCTTTACCACGTGATACAAAGACTGTACCTTAGTTTGTATTTAAAGTAAACGGCTCATATGGTGATATACCTTTCTGTTACTGCTGTATACCTACAATCGCGGACAAAAATAGCTGAGACTTTTCAAGGAAAGTTGATATTTTCCTTTTTCTTTAAAAAATGACTTTGCTCCCTCCCCCAATTCAATGTAGAGTGCATGATTTTGAAGTAGCGATGATGGAACTACAAATCCAACATCGATTCGGGGGGAAAGGAGGGGGTTCGAATTTACAGGGGTAACATAAAGTAGAAAATTGCAAAAATTTCATTTTGTCTCAACAATTTTGTCCGAAATTGTAGCGTATTCAATTCATCCCCTTTATACTGGTTTATCTGATCATGTTGCTACGAATTGGATTTTATTTAGCTACCTTTGTAAGCCAATTTTAAGAAACATATTGCCTTATTTATACATTAGGCTCTACCCACACGATACAATACAATTCGGATTAATAGCGTATTCAAAAATTACCGCTCTTGAAAGCAAATTCGATAAATTGCAGATACGATAGCGTATTCATCGAATACGTGTGAACAGGAGCCCTATACGTAAAGTAGAATTTTTTGGTCCAAAAATATCCGTATACGTGTTGAGGGGGCCTTACAGTCGGAAACTCAAGTTTTGTTCCAGAAATCATAACTCTCGGGACGAATATACCCCGTAAATGTGAAAACTCAAACTGTATTTGTGATCATAAACTATATTTAAGACCCAGCACATTTAAATGGAGGATTCTTGTTGTTTTGTAGGTATTTGAAAAGACAAAAGAAGAAAAGTTGAGGAATCAGCAAAGGGAATACGAAGCCCAGAAGCAATATAGAGATCATTTACAGGTTGGGTATTTTAAACAGTATCAGTGTGTGATTGTTTTCTTAATTGGATAGTTTAACTATGAATCTAAAACAGTTTGTATTTCTTTACATAGCCTATATAGTTCATATATCTTTCCGTACACGCATTCAGCTAATCTGGAGCTTCTTATAGCTTTAAATTTGGGAGGAAACGAGTCTGTTATTATCAAACGATAAGATTCAGTATCTGTTTAATATAAGTACTTTCGATCTAAACTTTTAGCATCTCAGGTTGTATGAAACATTTCATGTTTTCCTTAGGCCTTCGTTGACCGATGGAGAGTTAATGCCAACAGAGCAGCTCAGGCACAAAGCAAAATAAAGATTCTTGAAAAATTGTAGGTATTATACGATATAGTTTTCTACAAAGTTGGTAAACTTTGATGAATAGCTTATAAATGTTTGTGTTAAATTGTTGTTTCTTTTAGATTCATAACTGAAAAATGCTCCTGGATGTTTGCTACTACAAATGATTATATTTGGATCTAGCAACTGAACGTTTTGTCCTTGCATAAGTTTTTTTTGCTTTCTTGATATATTTCAAACGATTTTTACTTACATTAAGTATAGAGATTGTAGGTTTTCTTTGCCGTAGCTTTTTAGGTAAATTGTAGTTTATAATAACATTAATGATTAAGGAAGAAATTTCAACAGCGAGTTTATGAAGTTACTTATATAAGTATGAAATTTTAAGATAGCACTGAAAAACATATCATTCAAAGCTTGGGCAAGCAAGGCCGTCTTTTCATTCAGTTTCTTTGGAGTCTGTCTGCATCAAAACAATGGATCCCCAGATGTGTAGACAGAAAGAGTTTGTTTTCTCTCTTGAGTCAGTGATCGCTGATTGGTAGAAAACAAAAGAACCAATCAAACGCGCTTCCCTTTCTCTCACGTTACTTTCGATCCGCTTCGGTACCTTTCGTTATTATCCTACGTTTATACTATAGGTATGTCGGACGAGAAGTACTTTGGTATGGTCTGTCCCTGTGCTTCCTTGCTATCTTCAAATTTTGTTGTAACTTATTTGGTTATAAAGTTTTGATTTTTATATATCTTTTATTTAGGCCAGATCTGAAGCCTGTCGAAATAGAGCCAGAAGTTGTCTTGAAGCTACCAGACTGTGATAAACTCAATTCAACAGTGTTACGATTTGATGAGGTAGATTTCGTTTGCCATATTTGACCAGGCACTATTTTGCAATGGGATTTGCTTTTTATGTCTAAAGACCCTTCTTCATTGTGTTTACAAAGCGTGGTGCAAAAGTTTCCTTTGAAATCGTTTGCTTAAACTTAAAGGCTCTTGCGCAACGAATGTCGGACTGATAATATATTTCAGCATACCGCACTATGTTTCCAATTTCATGTTTGTGTCTTAAAGATAGCCTACACGGAGGAGTTTATGGACTTTCACACTGCATAAGGTATATTCTGCGCCTTTATTGAACTTTTTGTGTAATAATCAATATCTTACTAGTAGATGATCTTTTTCTCATTTTAGGTGTCATTTAGCTATGATGATAAAAACAAAATATTTGAGAATCTGGATATATCAGCAGTGATGGACTCGAGAATAGCGGTTGTTGGGGAAAATGGCTCTGGAAAAACGACTCTTCTGAAGATTCTACTCGGGGAACTAGAGCCAGTGGGCGGCATAAGACAAACCCACAGGTGTGTGTTTTTCCTCCGCCCTTTTCCCTTTAATTGTAACTGCGAGAAGAATAAAAAATGACTTTTTATCAGACTCAAGTCAATTTGAGGATGTCATTTGCTCGACCCATTAAGCTTTTCAATGTAGCTGTGATAATTACTGAATTTGATTAATCCACGAATTCTCTCAAAGTATTAAACCACTCAAAATTCACACAAAATTCACCGCAAAATTGGAATTATCAATTGTGGATATACATTTTCAGCTTACTCTCGACGTCATTATCTGACTTTATACTCTGAAGAGTTTCGGATGAAAAGTACTTAAATATGTTGTGTTTCGGCTATATCTTGCCAACTTCAGATCTACTTTTATTGCAGTTGTTTTGTTTATTCACAAGGCAGTGTGTACTAGATGCCTTGGACTAATCAGTTCATTATACTAACTGTTTGATTCACAAGAGATTGTTCCCAGTAACACCTATTCACTCATCTTTGTCTTCAGGAATCTTCGTATTGGCTATTTCAGTCAGCATCACGTTGACTCGCTGAACATGCAACTGTCAAGTCTTGACTTATTCAGAGATAGGTTTCCCGGTAATATTTGTTTTCTGCTTACTGTAGTTAGCACAAAGCGATTTCAGTAACGTTCTTGTCCATGTGACAGAATCGTCCTCAATGAAAGTTTTCAAAACGTTTCCGGACGCTGCCTGGTATATGAATCATGCATGCATCTCAAGCTCTCATGCTATTAATATAATGCTGCTTTCATTGATTTGTTGAAATTTCCATTTACAGTTATTTTAAGATCCATTTGAGACACTAAGTATCCAACATGGACATTTCTATGCAACGAGCTGGAATATAAGGCGCACTTTAACTGAAGTATATCTTCTTCACAGGCAAGAGTGACTTGGAATATAGACATCAGCTTGGGTGCTACGGTGTATCAGGTGAACTGGCATTAAGGCCAATATCAAGTTTATCTGGAGGACAGAAAAGCAGAGTAGCATTTGCTGTCATGACAATGAATAGGTAGACGATTTTTATGCATTATGTTCACGCAACTTTTGTGGTACATGAAATGTATCTTTTGTGCTCTATCGTCCATGATGCAATCCTTGATTTAGTGAACTTTTTGCTAGCTTTGTAGGATGCAATTTTCTGTATGCAATCTACAAATGCCATTTATTGTGTGTTCGAGATGTAAATTGTTAATTCCTGTGCATTAGACAACGATATGTTACTGTTGATGATCATTGACAGGTCTGTTATTAAAAAATCATAATCCGGTTCTGTATGAAAGTTGAAGTATCCATGAAAGTTGAAGTTGAAATTAATGCATTTGATATAGTACAGCATCATTTAGGTATAAGTCTAAGAAGATTATTTATTTTGCAGCCCAAACTTCTTCATCCTTGATGAACCCACCAATCACTTGGATATCGAGACAGTCGAAGCTCTTGGAAAAGCACTTAATAAATTCAAGGTGATCTAATAGATCCTTGCTTTTTTTGTGAGGGTCCATAGCAAATTTTCTAAAGCTTTGTAAACATATACCATTTTGTATTACATTTTTTATTACAGCTTCAAAATCCAAGCAAATGTTTTGTATTAATAATGATTCACCACAGAGGGATAGAAAGTAAGAGCTGTCAAAATCGTAAAATCTATGCAAATGATGCAAAGAAAGTATTCAAATGTTTGAAATGAAAGAGGAATTGGTACGAATCTGTCTGACGTTAGCTAGAACGATGACAGATTCAGATTCAGACAGATTCAGATTCAGATTCAGACAGATTCAGAATCTTTTTATGCAGATTCAGAAATCTCGGTTATCTTGCCACGATATCGGTAAGAGCTCGGTATTTGATAATCTGGCAAGTTGTGAAGAGAAGCAAGTTTGTAATTTTGTAAGTAAATCTATACCCCTACTTCTCCCATTTGTCTAACATGTTACCATGACTAATATGATTTCATATGATTTCGCTAGGGTGGTGTCATCTTGGTCTCTCACAATGAGCAACTGATTCAAATGATAGCAAGGGAAGTCTGGCTTGTCGGTAATAGGACTGTTAAGACGATAGAGGGAGGATTTAATGCCTACAAATCGGCACTAGAAGAAGAATTTAGAAGGTTATCTAGTATGTAGAGTATATTGAATGGCAATTATGATTTGTTAGTCCTTTTCATTTTCTTCTGTCTTCTGTTCGGTGACTCTCGATATACTTTCTTTGTCCATCAATGGGCTCAACATTCATCAACAAAGTTTGTCTGGTTAGAAGAATCATTTGCAATAAGAAATAGAGTGTCTAAGGTTTAGTAGTATCGCTGAGTGCTTGAAAACGTCTTTCTGACAGTGATCAGCTTTCTGACAGTGACCACTATTTCTGTGATCAGTTGCGCTGGTACGCTTATCAGATACCATTTGGTGCACAGGACCTTGAAGGGCTGCACGAGTTTCAAAGTGTGCCGTGTTTGCAAAGGTCGTCAAAAGACTCCTGAAGACCATTTGAATAGATTCCTCGAGGGTCCCATAGTTGGAAGAAATTTGACTTAGGCACGAAATAGCACGAGCTGTAAAATTTTAGATTTATTGAATTACATTTTTATATTTCGCAAAGATATTCAGGAATAAAACAGCTTCATAGAGATATAATACATTTAATAGGCAAAAAAATTAAATATAACATATCTGAAGCTTTTTAGACTCCGGTAATTTGATATCATGTTTTTGTTGAAAGCGTTTTTCCAAAAATTATATATTTCTGCTCTTTTTTTCTACCAGGGCTTTTTCTTTCATTTATTGTAATGTAACGTGATTTTTTAAATCTTTTTGAGCCCTTTCGCGGCTACTAAGACCCCGTTTACACTGTGCCGGATAAATTTTATCCGCATCAAAATTAGTTCAGATAGGCGTCGCGTTTACACTAGACTCACGCTATCCGTACGAATTTGAGAGCGGCTATCCGAACAAAATTAGCTCACCTAGGAAAGTAGATTAAATTAGTTCGGATAGCTATGTGGTACAGTGTAAACAGTTTTATCCGGATAGATTTTAACCACATCGTATCTTGCTCGATAGCGATTGGCTATTTCATCCTATTTAGTTTTCACTGTATCCCATTCAAGACCTTTCGCCATATTGACTGCCTAGTAGGCGATAACTACTCGTGTTAAAAATGCAGTATCTTCGTCATTCCACGTAAAATTGGCATCCTTGTCAGCTTTCTTCGCTATTTCAGCGTCATTTTGTTTCAAAGAACGAATTATTAAAACTAACTTTGCCTAATTTGTTTTGACAAAATCTTCGGACTTCGTCTGTAAAAAGAGCAGACGATTCTGAAGAGAGAATGAAAGGTCTTTTAACGTTGGCGTGAATTTCGTTGTTACTTTGTTGCTCAGAGATGACTTCGTTTTGAGCGTTCTGTGCATGATTTAGGTCACGTGACTGCAGTTTTCCGGCACCGTGAGCATAGCGGAATTTCGTTTTCGTCCAATCAGATGCTTTGTTTATCAAATCTAATAATCAATCAGATCCCTCCAATCTTGCATGGTTTGTTTACATTTGTCTCTAAAACACCCTTAGCTGTGGAGGGAAACCACTACTGGAATTTTGGGCCGCCACGAAAATACACATTAAACAAAATAGCGAAAAATAAAAATCTACAATGTTTATTATATTTACTAAAAAACTACCGCTGCTTTTGAGTGGGCTCAACGTAATATTCCTAAAATCTTAGGTTAAACCTTTCCTATCTCTCGGGGAGGGGGGCTAGGCCCATTCTATCCAGTTTCCCACAAGACCAAATTTTAAGTAATAAGTCTAGAAATTGTGGCTCTTCGATCAATTTTACGAATGTGTTGTAGCTTGTAGCTAATACGGATCCTTTTTCATTTATCTTAATGACCCTTATGATCCGTCAAAAAAAACAGACCTGATCCACATGAAAAGTAAGCAGTATCACCTGCATAATTGTATAAATTAGTATCTTCCACCAAATAAAAAATTTCGTTTATATAGATTTTGAAGAGCAGGGCTCCGAGCACCGAGCCTTGTGGAACGCCCAAGGAAGTATTTTCCAGGTACTGAAAGAGCTATTTACTTTCATTCTTTGCCACCTTTCATGCAAATAGCTATGTATTAGATTAAGGTCATCTTTGCTTGATCCGTATGCTTCGAGTTTCATTGTCATAAATTCATGATTGAGAGAGGCTGTTAAAAGCCCGGGAACGATCCATTAGAATTGCTCAAGCATATCCTTTGTTATGCAGGGGTGATTTGTATTTCTCAAGTAGTCATATAGGTAGGTGCCTGCTGTATATTTTCCCGCTTACAGAAGCCTTCCTTAAATGCACATAGATATTTGGATAAAAGGAGATCAGAGAACGGCCCAATTTGCTCTTGCATCATACGCCTATAAACTTTTGTTATTGGAGGTAGGACAGTGATTGGTCGATAGTTTCCCTTTAGCAATGAATCTAGCTTCTTAAAGACAGCCTGCCCTGTTTCACTTCAGATGGTCACATTTCTTTATTTATAGAGTGGTTTAAGAGTTTTTGTAATATATAAAAGAACATATCAGAATATTCCTTTAAGGATATTGACAATGAATGACTTCTTTTGTGATTGGTGAATCTCTCAGTGACAGATACCTCCAAAAACAACCGAAAGCGTACCTTCTCGTTGAAGATAAGCTAGAAATTAACCCTGAAAACTGCAGTTCAAATTACAAGCCTTACATGTTTCCCAGATAAAAATAATTCCTGGTAAGTTCAAAACGTGAAGGGGCTTCGGTTCTGATGACATTGCTGATTACTCCCTGAACAGAGGCGTATCTAGAAAAAAGCTGACAGTTGCAGATTTACAAAAGAAAAAAGGCGGTGGTCAAGGGTGTGGTCTGCAATCAACGCTACGCCCTATCTTGATGCAAACAGCCAAGGTACAAAGGTTAAATATCATAAACAACTTAAAACAGAGTTATCTTTTCTGATTAGTGGCAAAATATTAAATCAATATGATAGGTTTTCTACATCATGGATGCAACGGTGACAACAGCCTGAAATGAAAAACAACGAAGAGTTGTTGTACACCTCATAACAGACATCAAGACAAATGCATGTGTTCTATTGTGTGGGCCACCTACGTTCGGAATAAGAATTTGCATATGCATAAACTGGGCTATCTTTCCTTGACATTAGCAAAAGCAACATTGATGCAGGTGACAATAGTCTGAAATGAAAAACAACGAAGAGTTGTTGTACACCTTATAAGAGACATCAAGACAAATGCATGTGTTCTATTGCGTGGGCCACCTGCGTTCGGAATAAGAATTTGCATATGCATAAACTGAGCTATCGTTCCTGTACATTAGCATTAGCAACATGGATGCAGGTGACAATAGTCTAACATGAACATTTGTTCACCTGGTAACATAGGACATTTGTTGAACACCTTATAAGATACGTTTAGACAAATGTATTTGTATGGTGTAGGCCATTTATTTTGCTTATAAGAAATGTGATGTGAGCTGTAAAGTAGCCCATTATGACAAGGCATGTTAAAGGGCCTCTCCAGCCAAAATTTGCAATTGCATTTTATTGGCTAATCTAAAGGAGGTGAACCTGCTGATCACGAATTCGTTATTTGTTTTTCGATATTTTGTACATTTTGTGAGATATAAGCTCTTGCATTTCGATAATTGAATTGAATTAACCGACAAAATATTTTCGGTTTGGTGACACTGTGACGCAATTTTGACGTCACAGTGTATTTCGTTAGTCTCGCCTCAAACCGAATCGAACGTCGGCGATTCGCAAATTGAACACTGCAATTGTTGGTGCTCTCAGTTCTGTTCCACCGGCTTTTAGTTTGAGCATTTCAGATATCAATTCTGAAGCCTTTAGTTGTTCATCGTTACTGGAAAACAACTTGAAGTGTCAATTTCGATTAATTACACGCGAGGGAAGAGCTAGAACAGGAAGCCGTAGCTTTGTAGGCCTACACAGGTGATCAAAACAAAGTCGTGACACAGCATGGACACATTCCGACCCGCAAACTAAGAATAATTGTAAACATTTAATATTTTTCGATCCTAAAAAGCACCTGCTGTAGATTTAGATGCAGTTATCAACGCATGACCATGACTCCTTCGCGATTCGGTGGAAGATATACGAAATTCATTGCGGACGAGAGCCGCACACTGTGACGTCAGAATGTCACAAAACTGATTCGGATTTTGTCGTTTTTTCTCGGAAAGGTGCAACTTTAAAGCCTTATACCTTCTAAACTAATTGGAATTTTGCAAAAACAAAGACTTTGCCATAATACACGCACCAGATGCTAACTTTTTAGTCAAAAAAAAAAATTTTTATTGACTAAAAAGGAGAGGCCCTTTAACTTTTCAAGCCAAGTTGGTTCTCCTAGTGTCCAAGGCAACTTGTTGTTGTAGTTGTCCTTGAGGTCGTTCGACCCCTGGTGATGTTATATGAACCTGACGTCTCCATTCAGCTCTATTTTTAGTGTCTTTGTTGAGCTGATAAACATTTCTTGTTGTCATCGTCTTAATGTTGTCAAACCACTTTGTTGCAGGTCTTCCTCTACCTCTTTTCCCTTCAATTTTTCCTTGCATTATCAGTTTTTCTTAACTGTTGTCTGCTCTATTTATGTGGCCATAATAGGTTATATGCCTCTTTCTGATGGTGTTGAATAATGATCTTTCTGTTTTTATTTGGCCTAATACCCATTCATTCGTTCTTCTAGATGTCCACGGCACCCTTAGGAGTCTTCTCCATACCCATGGCAACTTACTTTATATATATATTTTTTTTTTATATAAGGCTTGTAGGCCGAAATGGCCCATCGCCAACACAATTACCATACATACAAGTTGACATAATTACAAATTAATAATAAATCTCAGAACATAAGTACAAATTAACAATAAATCTCAGAAAACAGCAAACAGCTAATACAAAGATAAACAGATAAAAAAATGATGACGAGCTGGAAAGTTTACGTTACGAGGATATGCACGTAGAGGACTTCCCAAAAGATTCCCGTGACTCAAAAGCCAGCGATATAAAATTGGCTATCGATATCAGACAATCCGTATCTTCTTGACTCATCAACCAAATAAACTTATCACAAAGGTCAAGGGATGATATTCTGGGAAATTTTGA